GCCAGGGACCTCTCTACATGTAAGTTGCCAATGGAGCAAGGGATAGTAAAGTTACATGTGTCCTTCTGCTTCTCTGGCAACGTGTTCTGCAGAATGGCCGAGCACTCCTCGCCCAGCATCACTGTCGAAAATCCCCAAGTCGCTTTTTGTTGGTAATTAGCTCATTCATGAATTTGGCGTACTTGGGCATCTTCGACAGTGCCTCCACGAATGGCAGGCTGATGTTAACCTGCTTCAGCATTGCCATGAATTTGGCAAACTCAGTCTCCAGCTTATCTTTGTGGAGTCGAGTGGGGAAGGGAAGCAGGGGAACGTGCTCCTTAACCACTGGCTGTGGCTTGGGAGCATGTGCTTCCTTCTCCATCCCCACTTCTGCATCGTTGGACGGAAGTGCTGAAGCTGGTAGGGGCTCTTCCTGCCTGGCCGGGACAGGTACCGCCGATGTTTTCTTGCCACTCCTGGTGGTGATGGCATTCAGCTACTGGTGCGGCTCCCGTGGATTGGGGATGGTAGTGGCAGATAGAGTTCCTGGTGCCCTGGTATTGTTCTGGCGAGCTATTCCTCCAAGCTTATGCTGGAGGTCCTGCAGTATGGCACCTTGGTTCCTCTGACCCGCCTCCAGTGAGGCGATGCTCTGATCTATCCTGGTAAAATTCGCCTGGCTGGTAGTCATGAATGCCACCAAAATATTTTTTAGCTCAGTCAGCTGAGTATCTGGAACTGGAGCTGCTGCTGGTGGCTCGGCATACTGGCGCTGCAGCTGTTGGAAAGGTTGCCCTTGTCTGGGCTGATAAGGCTGCTGCTGTAGAACTGGCCCCTGTCTGGCCTGGAAGGGCTGCCTCTACTGAAAACCACCAGCTGGTGCTGGGAAACCAGGTGGTTTGGTGGTGTTGCCATTCCAAGAGAAGTTGGGGGTGCTGGCGCCACCCCTCATTGTATGTATTACTGTATGGATCGAGGCGCCGAGCATTGGCGATGAAGTCCAACTGCTCTTGTGGTATGGAGGACTCTCGCATAGCCTGGCAGTCTTCCACCAGATGGTTGGAGCTCTCACACCACTGGCACTGCGCAACTGAGGGCCCGGCCAATCCTCTGCCCGGAATAAGACTGTTGGGTTGCTTCAGTGTCTGGACCAGCTCGACCACCTCCCGCTCTAGCCCGGATCTAGCCTCCATGGCGTGCACACCACGATCCGGGAACTCCTGCTTCTGGTGCTCTACCCCCAAGAATGATCCCTGGCAGCCAGAGTACTGATCATCTTATTCAGTTCGGGAGGAGTCTTGGTGAGAATATCCCCTCCTGGACATAGGGACTCGATCACCCTCTGGCTCTCTGGGGTCAGGGCGCTGTAGAAATTTCCCACTGTAAATGCATCACTGAAACCATGATGGAGACACTGCCAGAAGAATCCCGAGTACCGCTCCCATTCATCACGTAGTGACTCATCTGGCTCCTGGCGGAAGTGAGTGATCTATCGCTGAATCTCTATAGTCTTCGATGCCGTATAATACCTGTGCACGAACTTGTTGGCCAGATCGTCCCATGAGGTGATGGACAATGGGGGCTGGTCTCTAGCCACCTCTTCGCATGCCCCGCCAGAGAATGGGGAAAGAGGTGGAGGCGGATCGCATCATCGGGTACACCATTCATCTTGAACCCATTTGTCAACTGTAGGAACCAGGAAAGGTGCACCCTCGCCTCTTCATCCTTCAAGCCATGGAACTAGATAGAGGATGTAATCAGTTGGATCCAGCATGGCTTGATCTCAAAATTGTTCACTGGAATAGGCGGGTATAGGATGACAGGGCAGATATCAGCGACTCGTGGAGTGTAGTAGTACTCCATGGTAGGACCCAGCGGTGGTGGTGGATGATGAGCCCCATCTGGTTGGGGAACTCCGTTGTTGGCCATGACTTGATTCACCGGAGGAACCTGGAGAGGCATCCCCTGGGGCGGGTTTTGTTCACTGACACGCTAAAACACAACACCAAACTGTGACCAAGTGTAATCGCAGTCCGGAAATGTAGTAACAGGCAAGCTCTAATTGTCAACCTGGGGTCTAGATCTACTGCCTACTCCGTGTATATTTGTTATCTAGCAAACTAAGTCGATTGATTGTGGGTTTAACTAAAAGCCGTAAGAAAGCAGGAAATGATTCGGTTTTCTAAAGCCAAGGAAGAGTCACTCGGAAATGAGTCCCCCTAGATCCTTAGTTAGGTCTCAATTGTAATTACCCTGGGTTGATTTACTATTGATTAAACTGCGGAAGATCCGACAGTAGGTTGGAATCTCTTAAGCTGACCAAGCCCTCTCAGTCCAACTACCCGGCAGACGACTAGTCTTCACCGGGATAGAAAGCTAAGGCTATGAACACAGAACTCCACTAGTGGAATTGGATTCCAGTACAAAGCAGTAGATTGACTAACTCTCGTATAACCAATCTACCACTACCGAATGATGAAGCTCTAACAACCTAATCAGATTCTATCTATCTTAGGTTGCAGCAGAAATCAAGAAAAGATGATCAGACTTCAATTGATTCAATGAATCATGCATCATTCGATTAAAACCAAGCAGTATAACAATCCCAAGTCATTACAATCAAGATCCCTAACACATGGAACTAGGGTTCTTCATACCCAAGTGAGAGAAAGTTCTACTCCATAGAGAGAGAGAGAGAGAGAGAGAGAGGGAAACAGAATACAAAGCACTCATACTCATAATAATGGGAAGAATCTGCTCTGGGATGTCAATCTTCACTCCTATGATGATCTCCAAGCTTGATTGATGAAACCCAACTCCAAAAACCACTCTTAGGGGGTGTTCTTCGCACTTTTTCTCTCTAGGGCTCTGTTTTTGCTCCAAAAAGTCGATTCCCCTTCAAAAGACTCGAAATTGGGTTAAAACCCAGTTCTTCCCTATCACACGCCCAGGCCACACGGCCGTGTGAAATCCCCAGCTGCCCGTGTGGAAGTGCAAAACGTCGCGTTTCACTTAAGTGGCTTCAGTTAAGCTACACGGCCAAAACCACACGACCGTGTGGAATTTTAGGCGTGCCCATGTGAGCTCCCCGGACTTTCTACACGGCCACAAGGGGTCCCATACACGGCCAGTGCGATTTTCCCGTGCAAAGTGGTGCCACACGGCCAAGTCACACGGCTGTGTGGAATTTTAGGCGTGCCCGTGTGGAATTTCCAGCTTTTCGTCAAACGTCCCAACTTCGTCCAATCGACCCCGAACTCGTGCCCAAACCTTCTTTCACGTACTAGGACCTGAAATATCACAAATAAGAACAACCTAGCGTGAAATCAGCCTAAAACACGAGAGATGAGACTCAAACGGTACAGGAATGGTGGATAAAAACATGTGTATATATCAAGTCATCATTCACCGTCCATCTCGTACTCGTCCTCAGAATCGCTGCTCAAGTGGCCGTCTATGCACTCCTCCGTAGCCAGTCTTGCTCGCTGATCTCTCCTACGTTGGCGACAAGTGCGTTCAAGCTCTAGGTTCAACGGTAGTAAGCCTCCTGACTGGCTACGGGTCATACACTATCTGCACACACCAAAACAAGCAACCCGTGAAGGCACAAGTGGGACAAAGCAAACAAACAATGCAAAAAAGAAAAGCTAAATTAACAGAAACCACGTTTCTTCAACAACCTAGCCGTCCCCGGCAACGACGCCAAAAACTTGACTCGCCTTTACTGTCACACTAGAAAATGGCCAAGTGTAATCACTTACTAGAGCGTAATATAGCGGGTTTGGGTTTTAATGTCAACCCGGGTCCTAAGTGTGCTGACCCTTCCGTGAATTCTTATTATTTAGCACTGTGAATGTAGTGAAGGTCTTCGTAAACAAACAAACAAAGCAGTAAACAGTTGTTTTCAAGTTGAGAGAGATCACCCGGATATGATTCCCTCTAGACTGCCGTTAAGCCAAATTGTAATTCACCAAGTTCAAATTCAAGGATAGTTACTGCAGGAGGTTCTTAAAAAGTCTGCAGTCTCGACTAAAGGTCTCCAGACCCTCTCAATCTGAGTCTTCAGCGGGCGACTAACCTCCACCGGATTAAACAGATTGAGGCCCTAACGAACAAAACCTCCTCTACTGGAGTAAATCCATTACAGAATAGTGAATTGACTCCTCGACTAAAGTCGTCAATTCACTACCTTCAATCAAGGTTACTCTATCAACCTAGGCAAATGTTATCTTTCTAGGTCAAAGCAAAAACAACGGGAATGTGATCAGGATTCATGCCGTTCATCAAATCAAACCTCAATTGAATATAATCAAACCAATGGATTCATACTTGGGTTCATACAATCAGACCTAACATACAAATCTAGGGTTCTCCATACCCAGATGAATGAGGAAGTTACTCCATGGAGAGAGAAGCAGAAGCTAGCTCAGATGCATAAATCATGCTGTGAAGGATGGGTTTCTGCTTCTGGTTGTCAATCGGCACTTCTCCAAGTGTTAGCCGAGCTCGAATGGTGATGAAGATCAATCTAAAGCACTTGGGAACTCTGGTTAGTTGCTTTCTCTCTCTAGGTATGGCTTTCTTTCACCAAAACTTGGAACCCTTGTGAAATTGGCCTTCTTTCCCTCGAAAGGGAGCAGATCACGATCCCCGGTCATAATACCCGGTCGGGTATTTCAGCTGCCCGGCCGGGTATTTTGAAACGCAGCGCAGTGAGGAAGGGGAAATACCCGATCGGGTATTTTAGCTATCCGGCCGGGACCCCTTCTGGGATTTTGGCGTCCAAAACGTGTATCCCCGACCTCTCCTTGCCTTTTACCCGACCGGGTATTTTCACTCTTGGCCGGGTATTTTGCTCCTCCAGCTCCCTTTTACTCCAACGGTCCCCTTTTTGCCCAAAACTCGATTCCTCGCCTCCACGTCAACGCCAAGTCCTGAAATGTGACATAAACATACAACCTAGCGTGAAATCGGCTTAAAACACGAGAATCAACATCTCAAACGGCTCAAGAATAGGGGTATAACATTTGTAATTATTGGTCTATCACTCTTCCTCTTTAACTATACCCTGATTTCTTCTCCTTCTCGACTATAGCAGTGACGATCCAATCGTTTGATCTCTGACTTCTCTGTGATGAAATCTGAGATACATATTCAGATTGGCAATGGCGAAAGAGGAGAAGAGTAGGGAAGCGGGTGGGTGTGGGTGTGATCTTGGGCTCTCAAGCCGCAATACCCACCTTGATAGACAAATCAAGGTGGGATGCACTCTAGTTCTTCATTGCATAAAGAAGAGTAGATAGAGAAGAATGAAAGTTACTATCATCTTACTGTGCATGCACAAACTCTTGGGTGAGGACCATACTTACTATCTTAGGATGCACATTCAAGGTGTGCACCGTTGGACTTCTCAACAACCATTAATCTCAGGGACTCAAGAGGGTGCTCTTTATTCTTTCTTTCGATTTAGGAGTTGTCGTTTATTGGTCTCCTTTTTCAACGTTGACGCACATTGCACCAAAATTTTGCAAGCTTTTTTGCAAATAAGCATCTCTTCCTCATGACCAAGAGTGGATGGATCATTGCCTTCCCTTTTAAGGTCAAATGCGAGAAAGTTGATGGGCAGATTCGTATTAGCACGAGCACCACTTCCCAGCTTGCACTCCACATTGGGTTGCCACACATGTTTGGTACAAACGAGAGCTTTGAGTTCTCTTGAATAGCTGAAAGGTACTTTATACCTTGACATACGATTCCGTGAGGAGGAAAGATGTTTGGGGGATGGTAAGTACTGAAAGATGGTTGGAACACGGTAAAACTATTTGATCCCCAAACATATCCTCAAAGAGCACTCTGAGTCTTGAGGATTGGTGTGCGTCTCACGTGAGAACCTATTTCTCAAAATATTTTTTCTCAACAATAAGCTCAAATTTGTAAAAGTTTCAAGTTCAACAATAATGGAGAATCCCATACACATGTTCTGCCTAAAATAGCAGACATTATCAACTCACCAAAGAGGAAGAATAGAGTAAAATCCGTCATACACTGGTACTCTAATCATGCAACTACTCCCTAAACGAGAACAACACATCAATTATCTATCAATTCAAAGCATATTGATTAGGGGGACTGCAGGGAACAAGGTGTTTTGGAACCCTCAAATTTGAAAACATTTGGGTAATGCATTCAATGTTCCAAAACACTATCATTTGACCATTCAACACCACAAACACACACACAATCACTAGCATACACTCCCATTAGCATTCATCAACGTCTTACATTCATAAACAAGGGGGGATACTAGCAATTAATGGCTCAATTAATCATGATCATCATCCAAGCATTCACACACATCCCCCACACTTGAGCAACGCATTGTTCTCAATGTGGGAGATTCAGAAGAGAAGATAATGAAGGTTACCATAGGTCGGGTTGTGGGTTGGTGAAGGTACACAAGTGTAGGTCTTTGTCTTCCTGGTGATTTTCACAACGATAAAGCGCATAGAAAGAGTTATATGTAAGATAAATAGATAATACAAGTACGATTACTACTAGTACTAGAATATTTAAAGTACGAAAATTAAAACGGAAATAAAGCAATAATTAAACATTGTTTTAAAGTAAAAGAAATAAAAGCAAAGAAAAAGAAAAGATAGAACTTAGGCCCTAGATGTCTAGTACTCAATCCTCCTCGGAAGGTCCTTCTTCTTCTTGGAATGGTGCAAGGGAGGGGAGCGAGCCAGTTGAAGTGATACATCTTCAATCGAAATATCCATCTTCTTCATTATAGCATGTATGAACGCCATGATGTGGAGTCACGCTTCCTTCTCCCTCCTTTGATTGTGAAGGATCGCCGCTATCATCGCTTCGACTCGATAATTCCTTGCATTGTTGATTGGTGGGGGAACCGGATGAGAAGTGGATGGAGGGGCCTCTCCTCCCTCATACATGCTTTCCACATGTTCTTCCTTATTGACTAGTCCTCTTCGTTCTTTTACTGTCGTAGCTTCCGAAAGGCAGAACACGGTATCCTCCACGTCCAACGTGTTAGTAATTGGAAATGAAAATCCACGTACTCCCCAAATGCCATCATCATTCATGTGCAAGACTTTCATTCTCGATTTCAGGACGTCGAAGGAAATAAGATTAGTCTTACTATGCAACCGAAATTGCACAGCCCCAAAGTTGACTTGGAAAAACTTGGTAAGACGTGTGACAAAAAATCCTCCATGAAGAACAATGGGTGGATGATCTGTTTCATAACGCTTGAAGATGGACAAGATGGCCAAAATGAGCTGAAAAGATTGATGTAGGTGCATGCTTTGGAAGAAATTCATGTCTCGGGCAGTCAAATTGCCTTTGCTTCGGTTCTTTCCAACCATGGACCTATCAATCACATGGTGGATGAGCCACCACTCCGGTTTCACCTTACTAGCCTCTGATAACTTGACATCACACGATCGACTGTTGGATTTCTTGACTTTAGATTCATAGAAGGACTTGAAACATGGGAAGTCGAATTCCCTTGTCAAGGTGGCAAAGGCGTCCAATGATTCAACAACATCCGCCGAGTAAATATCCATGGCTCTTGTAAATTCCTGGATTGACAGTTGTTGATGCTCTCCTCCTATTTGGAATTGTATGTTGTCTTCAAGGTCGGCGACACCTCTCATGTCTTGAATGGTAAGAGTGCTAATAAACTCCAGAACAAGTACCCGGTAGATGTTTTCTTGAGTGGATAACAACTTAACCCTTTCCAACTTCTGAATCTTGAATCGGATCGCATCCTCAATCCTTAGTTGTGCGAAGAGTATCCATTCAAGACATGTATAGAAGTTTGGTCTTAAATTGCTCGGGGATATTGTCCAAATAATAGTCAGTGATGTGCTCTGAGCCGCCTTTAAACCTTGGCTTCATTATCTTGATGGTTTGCCCTTAGTATATGGGGAGAGAGAGAGATGGTGGATGTGGTTCTTAGATAACTACTTCCTTTGACCCAGATTTATTTTTCTTCTTCCGATGGCCTTGATGAGGATGATAAGTTCGAGAATGCTCCATATTAGAAGAACTCTCTCCACGGGCCATTTCCTTAGTCTTGTAAATTATCCTTCAAAACAAGTAGTACAAAATGCACAAACCATCAATCCAAACATCAAATATCATAGAAAGGAATATTCAAAGAGCTCTCATCAACTCTCTAAGTTTCCCGACACACTTGATTGATACTAAGACGTGCACAAAATATAGGACTTAGATGAATATGGAGTTCAATGATAAGGAAATATAACCTATAATCTCCCCAAACAACACACAATTAAGTAAATAAGAGTTAACAAGTGCATGGAAGTTGATGCTCAAAGTCAATTAGTAGGATTGAAGAAAATGGGGACTACGTAGTTGGGGACTTTCTTCGAACACTTGGTGGGCGGTCTTTGAAAACTCAAGAAATGCATAAAAATAGCCCACTAAGGTCTCCCAAAATGCATAGCAAGATCATTGAAGCCCCTTGAGGTATTTCGAATACCTTGGCATGTGGGCCATTGCTTCAAGGAAGAGAATGTTGAGGTGGAGCTTTCGGAGCATCTCCATGAAACCTCCGCATACCGCTTTCAATCTTTCTTTCTGCACCCTCGAGGGAAAAGGTAGGGGTGGCGTGTACTCAGCCAATGGAGGTGGCGTTGACGATGCCTTCCTCGCCACTCCTCTCTTTTCTGCCGAGGTTTCTTCTTCTCCAGACTCAGGTAGACAGTCTTCCTTCTCAATCACTTCTTTGGCAACGACCTCCGGAGTCACCTTCCCACTTCGTAATTGAATTGCATTCTCGCCGACATGATGCTTGGGGTTTGCCACGGTTTGAGAGGGTAGGGCTCCCTTTGGTCTCTCGGTGAGGATCCCGACAAGATTGCCGATTTGCACTTCCAAATTATGGAGGCTTGCTTGATGACTTCGAAGTCCAGCCTCAACCGAGGTAAATTTGGAGGTTGCCACATCCATAAATTGCTCAATCTTCTCGAACTTCTGAGAGCCTGTACTCACAAAGGTGGTGACTATATCTTCAAGTTTGGAAAACTTGTCGACTTGTTGACCACAAAAAAAAGTCGGAAAATGACAAATTAACAACACATAATCCTAATCTTTTTCGGTTGGCTACAATTAATAGAGAATCCAATTGGAAAATTTTGAGTTCCCAAATGACAAAGTAATTGAGTAATTAATTGTAAAGAAAATAAAAGAAAAGCAGGCCCAACCCAACTGCAACTGCTTGTTGGAACCCTTGACCACCTTGTGCTTGGTATGGTTGTTGGAAGTTCGAGTTTTGGAATTGAGGCCTTTGTTGGATGAAAGTTGGCCAAGGTTGATAGTTGCCCGTTGGACCTTGGAAACCGGGAGGTCTTGGATTGGTAGGGGAAGACCAAGAGAAGTTGGGATGATTGCGCCACCCGGGGTTGTAGGTGTTGCTATAATAGTTGTTCCCTCTAATATTGGCAATGAAACTCACTTGCACCTCGGGGGCACTTATTTCCTTCATCGCTTGGAAATCCACAATTTCATGATTAGTGCGTGAACACCAATCACAAGACATCACCACTCTCTTCCCTGGCTTCTTGTCCTCAAGGATCACCTCGATCAACTTGTCAAGTTTAGCTTCAAGTGGAGCACTTGCTCTCGCACTTCACACTCCTCTTTCAGTGCTTCTCTTACCACCCCTCGTCAAGCCCCAATCATATAATTTAAGAGCCATATCTTCGAGCAACTCGGTCACTTGAGATGGGGTCATATTCATCAACCTCTCTTAGCAAAGAGAGTCGATAAGGATCTTGTCATCATGCATAAGACCACCATAGAAAGTCTCTATCCAAAATTGCTCCTCGAATCCATGGTGAGGGCATTGGAGGAAGTAGTCGGAGAATCTTTCCCATGCATCCCTCAATGTCTCATCTTCCTCTTGCTCAAAGTGAGTGATCTTCTTCCTCCACTCGACTGTCTTGGAAGGAGGACAATATTGGGTCATGAACTTGTTGAGCAAATCATCCCATGATGTAATTGAGCGAGCTGGACGGTTGTTGAACCATCAGAGCACTTTTCCCGCAAGAGAGTATGGGAATAGCCTCAATTGTAAAGCTTCCGCCGGGATGCCATTTATCTTCAAACTTCCCCCAAGCTCAAGAAACCTTTGCACATGCTCCCTCGGTGATTCGTTGGTGAGCCCATGGAACAAAGTGTTGTTTTGAATCATCGTCACAAGAGCTGGCTTAATTTCAAAGTTGTTGGCGGCCACAAGCGGATGCAAGATGGGGGTTGGATGTCCGCTGGCCGTGGGGCCATGTAATAGCCCATAGTTTTTGGTGCTTCCTCGGCTGCCGCCCCCTCATTGTGGTTTTGAGGCTGAGCAGCTCCTCCTTGTAGTTGATTCTCCGCCATCTCAACTTCAATTTCCACTTCAACTCCTCTAACTCCGGGACCAACTTGTTGTCCCCTCTCTTCACTTCTACTTCTTGCTTCTGCTAACTCCCTCTCCTGAGCTAGGAGTCGGAGAGTCCGGTTTATGTTCTCATCTAGTGGTGCTAAAGGCGCCGGATTGCTCCTGGTCATGCACCTCCCTGCACACACTTAAAGAACAACACCACATCTAGCACAAGCAAAAACCACACAAGTAAAACTTAAAATAAAATCTAGATTAACACCAAACAAACTTTTCAAGATAACAGACCGAAGTCCCCGGCAACGGCGCCAAAAACTTGACTCAACCCGAATATCACAATAAAATCACACCTAAGGCCCAAGTATAAACCTTAAATGGGTGCAATATAGGGCAAGTATGTTTAAATATCAACCCGGGCCGGTCCATGTACCCCTACTTCAATTGTTTGAAACATTATCTAGTGGATTATTATTTGTTAAAATCTCTACGATCTACTATTAAAAAGCAAGACTTGTAAAGTAAAAGTGTGGAAAACTCTTGGTGAGAAGCTTCACTTGGGTGTTGCTTTCCCCTAACCATCTACCATGAACCGTGGGATCGGATGAAACAGTGTGTGACGAGGCAATTGTGACCCGTAGGAGGTGCCACAATGGTTAGAAACCATTCTCCCAATTGCTAGGCCAAGGTAGGTGTCAAAGGCTACAATTGTAGCCCTCTTGGCCCAAGAAATTGAGGTTGACTTACCTTCTCCCTCAAACCAAGGTTTGGACGATATAATCACAATTAACCCAGGTGTCTAATTCAAACTTAGAGGTTGCCCTTAATTAACCTAGTTAGAAGGCATGGAATGCCCAAGAAACCCCATCTCTAATTGAGCCTCTTAAGTTAATGGGGCTTCTCTCTAAACTAGTCTAAGAGGCATGGAATGCCTAAGAAAACCCAGCTCAAATTGAGCCTCTTAAGATAAGGGGGCTTCTCTCTAAACTAGCTTAGGAGGCATGAAATGCCCAAGAACACCCAGCTCAATTTGAGCCTCTTAACATAAGGGGGTTTCTCTATAAGCTAGGTCAAAATAGCACAATAGATTGCCAAGCACACACAATGCACAATCACCATTAAAAATACCTCAATTCTTAACTTAAACACCTCCATCACACAATCATTCAATCCACACAATCAATTACATGATATAAGGTAGGGTTCTACAACACCCAAGTGAAAAGGGAAACTACTCCATGCTAGATAAAGGAAGAACACAAAGGAAGAAGAAAGAAACCATCATTGTGATGCCTCCAACCCTACTTGTGCTGGTAATTAAAGATCCTCCTTGGGAGAGGAACTTCCAAAATCTTCACTTGGAGCAAACCCTAGCCTCTTCTCCCTCTTGGTTCATGCTTTCTCTGTCTAGGTTTTCAAGAAGAAGAGGGTTTCTCTTTCTTTGGGATCCTCCTTCTTATTCCTTTCAGCTCTCCTTTTAAAAACAAATCGAGTCCAGTTCACGGTCGTGAACATCAGGCCCGTCAATCAAAACGCGCAACTTCACTTGAGGAGTTCACGGTCAATGGCTCCAGTTCACGGTCTTAGCGACCGTGAACTGCCTTGGCGTCAGTAACCTCTGAAACCCCTTTAGATGCTTCGCGGTTCACGATTTGTGGTTCTAGTTCACGGTCCTGGTAACCGTGAATTGTGGCTAAGTCCTCATCTTTGCCTGTCTTTGCTCCTTTTCTTCCAAATTTTGACTTCGGGGGTTGGTTTCGCCTGTTAGACTCTGAAACACATTGAAACACAAGAAACCTAGCGTAATGGGGAAAGGGAGTCTTCTATTTATAGCCTTCAGAGGACGGACAAGTTCACGGCCAGGCAGGGCGAAGATTGCGGTCGCGATCTTCTTCCTTGAGACCGTGATCTACTGACGTTGTCGTTTTGGCCTTCAAACGTGAGGGGTTCCCAGGCTGACTTCACGGTCGCAATCCGTGAAGTGAGGCTACAAACTTCCTCGTGGCCGGGTGAATTGTGGCCGTGATCCAACTGGGGAAACTCTCTGTTTCTCCTCGGCTGGCTTCTTCACGTAGTTCGCACCCAAAGCCTCCAGATTCGGGGCCGCGATCTTGGGCTCTCAAACCGTGATCTTCACCTTGAGTTCGCAGTCTGCTTTCTTGATCATGATCTCCTTCTCCAGGTTATGATCAGCAGCTTCCTGCTCATTTTGCTACACTTGTGCCCCTTTTCGTACCTAATTCGCAGGTATTGTCTAAAGCACACTAAAATCACATCATAATAAAATAGGAACTGGATAGGGATGCAATTGATGATATTCTAACGATTATGCACATGATTTAGCACGAACCAAACCTACATATGAAGGATAACACCAATTTGGATGTTATCAACTATTTATCAATTATACACAAAATTAGAAAAGTAACTCTCAATATATTTTTGTGATTGTTTGAATTGGTTTTCCCTTCGATGTGTCATCCCGAATAAATTTAATTTAATTAACAAGTTTACAATAAATTTCATCCCATCGTAATTTCTAATGGGTCGTTTGGATGAGGTGATTTGATGAGCTATTTTAGCTGATCTCAAATAACTCGTTTGACAAAAATAAAATGGAATATGGTATTTTGTCCATGAGGCAATTGAAATAACTCATTTTAATTTATTTGAAATGCCTACCAAAATGAAATGGAATGTGGTATTTTGTCCACTGAACCAAAATGAAGGAACCAAAATGAAGCATCCAAACAGCCCACAAAGTCAAATTCATGCATTTTCATACCAATAAGTTTGTTCAGCTTTCAATTAATAATTTCGGTTTTCATGTCATAATAAATAATTGAAAGTTGATAGATGAGGACCCAAATTACAATCAAGATGGACCACACAAATTAATTCCGATTTTTCATGAAATTTACCTGAATGGTTCTTGTGTTTGGCGATCAAATAGTTAGTGTGCTATTTTTAGACGACTCTGTCTTCCAACAATTTTCTAAATGGAGGATCTCTTATCCATCCAAAAACAAGATAAACGAACACAATATATGTTAATTCGTCAAAAATTCGTCTGTTAAATTATTTTAAAAAGATTTGGGATCTTAATTTCATCGACGGGTCCATCATTCCAAACAACCTGGTTTTTTAGTTATTCATAATAGCGGACGAAGGGCGGAAGGACTTAGCTAGCTCAAGTGAGCTAGCTAATCGTATAAACCAAACTCTACTCCAGATAAATAGAAGAATTGTAGCTAGTAAAAACTGGACAAAAGCGAGGAAGGACTTAGCTAACTCAAGTGAGCTAGCTAATCGTATAAACCAGACCCCACTCCAAAAAGTAGATATGAGAATATGATGGTAGTCCGTCTCCAATCAACACACAATAGTAACAGCGTGAAAATTAAACACATAAGAGTAGAAAAGTTACCAAAACCTTGTGGTCGATCACATAGAGGAAACGAGAATAGGATAAGTACGTTACACCAATAAATTACCAAGAAGTTAAATAAACTTCTTAAGGTAATTTACTAATATAACATATTATCTCTAATCTCAAGAGTTGGAATTGTTGTTGTACGTAGCATTACCTTTGGATTGACAATAATAATGATATACAACAATTTACACAGAGTTCCTCTACTTATATAGGGCTAGAAGGATGTAAGAAAGAAATAAAGTTAACTATCATCTAATGTAGGAAGTGTGTCCTAAATGAATTTGCAACACCTCTATTTATAGAGGGAAATGAGATGGTCGGTCCAATAAATGGCAAAATGCCCCCTCGTCCCACTTGACATGGCCGAGCGTGCCACTTGATTCACTTGGCTAGCTACTTGTTTAAGCTACCATGTGCATTTGGCATGTCCATTTTTGAGAGAGTTCAAATAATCAAGCAGCTTGCTTGAGCTATTTGCTTTCCATCCACCCGTGCGCCAACCACAAAAATTAATCCTGATTTCTCACGTAATTTACCTTAATGGTTCTTGTATTTGACGATCAAAAAGTTAGATTTTTATTTCTAGAAAATTCTGTCTTCCAACAATTTTCTAAATGGAGGTTCTCTCCTCCCATCCAGATACATATAAACGAACACAAGAGATGTTAATTTATCCAAAATTCGTTAGTTAAATATTTTTCAAAAGATTTGGAGTCTTAGTTTCATCGAGGGTTCCACCATTCCAAATAACTGATTTTTTAGTTATTCATAATAGCGGACGAAGGGCGGAAGGACTTAGCTAGCTCAAGTCATATAAACCAAACCCCACTCCAAATTAATATGATTATAAAAAAACTCCAGATTAATAGAAGAATTGTAGCTAACTAAAACTGAAGGAGAGGGCTAAAGGACTTAGCTAACTCAAGTGACTAGCTAATCGTATAAACCAAACTCCACTCCAAAAAGTAGATATAGAAACATCAAAACACATAAAACGAAGTATAAAATTAGAAAGACATAGAGAAAATATATTAATGAGAAGCGTAAATGGCATGAAAATGTGGGTATAAAAATGTATAAATTTCATGATATCAAGTTCCTTGTACCTAGCAGCCCTTTATAAAACTTGACAGCCTCCTGACTCATTTGAATTATATTTGTAAGTACTTCTCCTTCATCAGTCACCAGCTTACAAATAGTTTGTCTTGTCTGTCTAATTTTCACAAAGTCTTGAAAGTACTTGGTGTTTAAATTTCCATTTTGGATCCACAGGTGCCTAGATGTTTGTCAGTATAAAGACTCCTCTACCTTAAGAAGAGATAGGAGGGTGGCATGTGCCTCTTTCTCAGCTAAGAAAGTGGATTTAGTAGGTCGAGATAAAGTCTCAGCTTGCAGTCTAGACAGTCTCCTTTGCCACTTTCGCCCTAGCAGAAATCTCTGAAAAAATCTTCTTTGTTCAATATCTTCAGTCTTCTTTTTACTTCTTTCATCTTCTGGTATACCATGAACATTATGTTCCCGTTACAACTTTGGCCCATGCCTCTCTCACTGTATCTTTGTATGAGGGGTCGGTTTGCCAACCATTGAAGTATTTGAATGCCTTAGAAAGACTTGTCAACAGTGAATCAGTGGTGACTAAGAGGCCACAGTGGTAAGACAATCCAGGTAGTATCACCTGAATCACCGAATTTGGGAAAGTTACTAGTCATTCTCCATTCACCAAACCTCTAGCAAAATGCGGCAAAATGAAGGAAAATTCATGGAACGACCTCATCATCTCCAGCCCTTATGAACTGCGAGATCACCCTAGGGACGCCTTAAGGGGTCTGCTAAAAAAGAAGCAACACCAACACAACAAAAATCAACAACACATTTACCTCACAAAAATAAAAAAAAATTTAGAACAATGAAAAAACATGTTCACTATCATTGTTCTCTTCTATCGAAACAACCAAACAAAATCAATTGGTTGGAGGGAGCATGGAGATCTGAAGGTGGATGGAGATCGGATGTTCTAGGTTGTATCTCGTCCTTGGCCGTCTTGGGAAATTCTGTGTAACATCCTGACTCTTTTTGAAAACCAAACCATAACTCAAAGCGAAGATCGGTTACTCCGGAGCAACCAAACCACTTTTTAAAATAAACAACTGACATTATTTAATTTCAAATGAAAATCCCTAACACTTGGGCAAAATCTCATCTCAAACACTTAAAACAACTTAACCCAGAATCTTGAACCTTGAATCTCCAATACATAAACTCATAATCATGGACAAAATAATTAAACTAACTATGGCACTAACTCCTTGTTGATTCCCTGATGCCTCGTCCATGCTAGTGTGACAGCTCGCCTCGTCTTACTTCTTCTCGGAATCCACCTCTGCTAACCCTTCCTCAACCTGGTGAGTGAGAAGGGGTTAGTCTCGTCGTTACTTCCTAAGGTCTTTGCCCTAATCAAACTCCTTTCTAAAACACGTTATTAGCATTTCCTTTACTTAGATGAAAGTCGTTCTCGCTTTCATCATTAACACTTTATCCTTTAGTACTTATAGAAGTCATTTACTTCTACCCTTAACTTATACACATAAACCTAGGGACCACCGCGTTACGTATCGCCGTCCGGTGTACCTATCCTCAAGGCAATGGTACTGCCTTACGGATCGCCGTCCAGTCCATGCCCGGTCAACTACTACGTTACGTATCGCCGTCCAGTAGTGACCCGACCATCTACCGCGTCTAGTAGTGGCCCAACCACCCAGGGGTTCTTCTTACTTACAAACATACATCACATACATAGCACAACGCGTGCCTCCACCTTAAGTAGGCGGTGAGATGCCTCACACACATAATTGCACTTACTTGAAAATTTATGAACATAACTTGAAATGAAAAAAACATAAACTAAAGACCTCGACATAGATTTTACCACCTCTACAATCACCTCAAATCTATCGAAACCGCCTCTGTTTCTGCTTAAAAATTTCATGAATTGCTTCCACTAAATTCTCCTCGCCTCCACAGGCACCGACTATTACTCGTTTGGACGTCAAACGAACAAGATATGACCAAAATACGAATTCTGTCAGATTCCAAAATACTAGATACCAAATCCGTAATTTTCTAATTTAACACCATTGACCCTGACCCTTCTGAAAAATTACGAAATCAACCCCATAACTTTTCGAATTACCCATATTGGTATCTGAACTTTGACATATTCTTTTCCAAACTTCGGAGACTCAGTTGTCCCTCATCCGACGTCCGAATTCGATTTCGCCGACACCGTGACGCTCATGAGATTTCCCTCTTCACGATGGTACCAATATTTTGAAGCTTTATTGAAGTCGACTATGCCAGTGTCATCGACGTATCGTTTTTGATCACCACCGCCTGGTTGCGGCCAGTCCCGGTCGTGCTCATCCTGATTGATTGACGAATCCGCTCATCTTGCTACCGGCGGTCGTCTCTCTTCCAGTGATTAACGAACATACACACATATATGCGTGTGTAGGTAGACAACCTTAGAACCCCTCGAAACCTTCTTCCTTCTCTTCTTTCAGCCTAGTTCCTGGTCATGCCTCCATCGACAATCCACCGCCGTTGTCATCATCGAGTTCCTCTCTCAATTTTCCTTAGTTGGTCACAATCTCCCCTTCTTTAGATTTATCCCGATGCATCCATCTCTTCCTAGGCGGTGGAGTTCGTGAAGGCCGATCAACATGTCTTGGCATGGTTCCTCGTCATGAAATTCATGCGCACCAACACGGCAACATGTCAATCAATGCAATCAACTTGGCGGAGAGGCCGGTGTAGGCGGCGACGGTCACTTGAATGGTGTCGAGAGCGGACTCGGCTGCTGCTCTCAACTATCGCTCTCTTTATTTCCTTCGCCTTATCATTTTCCCCTTGTCCATTACTACTGCTATTATTTGAGGAGGAGAGGAATTGAGAAGTTTTGGGGGAATAAAGATGGGGTTACGGATGGGATGGGTTAATGATGGTGAGGTGAACAGGTGGGGTTGAAGGAGAAGAATCGATTTCCCGGTAACTTTATCTGTAAAACAAACTCTTAAAATTGAATTTCCACTAAGCCAACTGAGAGAACCATGCCTTCAAAGTATGTAGCCTGAACACGGATTTTGACTTAGTCAAATTCTGCCCTTCTTCTTTCCAACCTTGATAGCTTCTTTGACAAGTAATTGTGACTCGTAGAAGTGGCCAATTTGGATCATATCAGGCTCCCCTCTTCAAAAAGCTTTTCCCTCAAAGCTTGATCTTTTCTTTTATCAAAATCATCGCAGAACTGATCCCAAATTGGATCAAAAGTGGGCTGCTCAAATATGTTCTGCTGCAGAATTTCCTTACCCAGAATCTTCAATTCGAAATTGGGCATTTCTTGTTCAAGCATCGTCTTGACGAATTGATTGCTCCTAAACCTTCCAAAAACCTCCAATAACGATTCTACATCGTTCTTTCGACTGGATTCGTGCCCAGTCCTTCCGACGAAATACCCATTCTTGGAGACGAGTTCCTGCATTTGCAGAAGAGCTTCTGCAGAACTGGGTATTTTGATTTGCAGCTGTCGTGGCTTGATTCTGGGTAGGGAAGTCGTTCCGAGGTTAGTTTCTGATGTTTCTGCAGCATTGATTCGGCTCAAATTGAGCTGGATGGTCCAACACAAGGTGTCTTGGCCGTCGTTCGTCGTCACAAGCAGAGATGGTTTTGGCAAAATCACATCTGCAATTTCGGGTTCGTTCTCCTCCATTAAAGCTGCACTTGACGTTCCTGGGGTCGTAGGAAACGTGTCGCCATCGGTGGGTGGTCTCGAATCATCTCCATAGGTCACGACGAGATCATCAATTTTGGAACTATGTGCTGCCGAGAAGCGGCAGAGCTTCTGAGTTCTTGTCAATGGAGGTGTACGATCGCCTACAGTCTGTTCTGGGGTTTCAGATGAGTGTGAAGTCGTTCTTGGGCAGTCAATGAACTGATCAGAAGCAACTAAATCCTCCGAATCATCCTCTAGTGCAGCGACGGGTACAACAGAAGGAAAACTCTGTTTTGCCGGAGAAAAACAGAGTCGGCAGGCGGCTGCTTCTTTCTCTACCTTCGAACCACTTGAAGCCTCTTTCTCCTTTGCCCAGCTCTCCGAAAGTTTTCGAATACACTCTTCTATGGTTGGGTTGAATTTACTTGGAATACTTCGGTCGTGATTCATCTCTGAAATTGGATTCTTCACTGCAGAATTCTTTGGCAAGGCTGCTTTATTCGTCAGCACCTTCAACTCATCTAATCGACGATTAATTCGATCGAATTGGGGCAGGAAGGTCGCGTTGAACGCTTCTGTGACCATCTTCTTAATTTCGTCAACGTTAATTTGTTGAGTGTCCATGTCCGCTCCACGAATTGGACGCCCCGAAACAAACAAAATTGCTCTTCTCTGTTTTCTGTCCGCGAAGAAACATAACCTCTCGATCTCCTCCTTGCCCCTGTGTTGAACGGGGCTCTGATACAACTTGGAAAGATGGTAACTTTATCTGTAAAACAAACTCTTAAAATTGAATTTCCACTAAGCCAATTGAGAGAACCATGCCTCCAAAGTATGTAGCCTGAATACGAATTTTGACTTAGCCAAATTCTGCCCTTCTTCTTTCCAACCTTGATAGCTTCTTTGGCAAGTAATTGTGACTTGTAGAAGTGGCCAATTTGGATCATATCAGGGGTGGTATGCAACGGTTTGGGAGCAGATTAATTCCCCTCTTTTTTCATTTATTTAACTATAATAATAATAAATATTATTATTATTCATCATTCACGTTTGGAATCTTTCGTACGTAACCGTCGATCCAACCGTTCGGTCGAACCTTAACCCGAAAGCGGGGTGTTACATTCTGAAATACAATCTCCGATTCAAATCCAAATCCTTTTTCTTATTCTCCTCTATCTTTCAACTACGATGTTAAAGAGATCTCGTTCCTCTCATCTTTCTTTATTGAGAGCGGCAAATAGAAAGATATGGTGACTCTCTGTTATTGTTTTTCCTCTCGATCTAGTTATCAACCTTTGCCCATGTTTCTCGTCCCAAAGAAAGAGGCAAAGATGAAAATTATGGCGAAAAAGGTTAGGGATCAACATCATGCTTCTTTGGTCCGATCTCTCCTGCCTACTTGGAGTCGTCCAGATGGTCTCGGTACCGGTGAGGGTAGTAATGATCCCCCTGCGACCTTCGATCTAAGTGTGTGGCTGGCCTTGCTCGATGATTTTGGCTTCCCCAATTGGAGGAATTGGTTAGAAGGGCTATGATGATGAGACGCTGAGATGAGAGGGGGAAGGGGGCTGCGACGACGATCGGAGTAGAGGGAGAAGAAGAAAATTGGGAAATTAATGGGAAGGAGTAAGGAAAAATATTTTAATGAATACTTAAGTAGCACCTAATTATATAAACAAACAAAGATATATCACCCCTATATAAGAAAAATATTTTAATATAAATCTATAAAAAAAAATCAATAGGGCAGACATATCGTAATTCATAAGCTACATTTTTGTTTCTTTGATTTGGACCTGGTTTCAACAATATGTTGTGTTCAAGCCCATAACAAAATTCAACAACCCAACTAAATATGATCTCGTTCCTCTTTTTTCATTTTAATAGACACTGCAACAAGAAACAAAAACCGACAATGATACTAAATAGGGACTTACGTTTGTCATGTGTTTACAATCAAATTGTTTTTTCACGAGTGAGAATTACTTTCCCCAGGTTGTTTAATGAGAAACAACAAATAAGTTTGGCGTTAATGACATGGTGATATGTGTGTTTTCATAACACGCTTACTCATTTCTTATTCAATTTCAATGTTTTTATAGTTTGTTCTATGGTTTCTAATAGTTTTGATGGATGACTGCTGTTGGAGGCATCAACTTTGATGTTAGTGTTACTTGGATTCTCCTCAAATCTCTTCCTATTTGCTATGGCTGCACAGAGGTTAGTGGGTCGCTACTAACTACACTTCTAACATACGGCAAGTGTAACTGTCAAAAGAATTGTAGTATAGTGGCAACAAGTAATAATATTATTGTATTTATGATTTCTTGATTTACTATAACCCATCTTCATATTATTATACAGCAAATTCATATTCGGGTTAAATAATTAAAACTACATCAACAAACTATGAAAGAGTTAAACTAACTAATTAAAGGTAGGAGGCACACTCAGTTAATGATACCCCATAGTCACTAGTCGGATTAATGATTGATAATTTTCTAACTTATTTCACTCTTTATTCATGATGTGCAGAGTCATTGGCTAGTTTGAATCACGAGTAAAGCAATCAAGGCCTTATTGAGTCTTTTACTTAGAGGGACATTATCCTTAACTAACAGAACTGATCAAGGCAGTCCACACTAGACTCTCTCTATTGGGTAAGATTCTCATCCAATCCGAAACAACTAACAGACTCACTCTCACACAATCGATCCTCTATTCCCAATGATGCTGCTCTATCAATCTAAACATATATTCTCTCTTAGAGATTGGATTGAACTAAAGTTTAACAAGCCAGAGAAATCGTACAACCATCAAATCCAACAAACATAAGTGAACTAAAGTTACTTCATAAAGAGGAAATAGAATATATAAATATGTTCTTGATATTCAATCTTCTGTTCCAAGCTTGTTCCTCATGGTCCAATGAGAAGAAATCTTTCAATTTTGCTACAAGATCACCCCTAGATCGTCCCACCCAGGGTTCATCCATTGCGTGTTTGGGATCCAAAGAGGAAATATAATGCATAAATATGTTCCAATTAGAAGTGAGAGATAGGGTGTTAGGATTACGACATTGTGTCAAATGAGAAACTTTATATTTGATATAGACCAATAATAAATTCCTTTTGTTTTCACATGCATAAAAAATAAGGGTTAAAAAAGTTATATGGAATATAAATGTAGGAGAGCAAGAAAGTCCATCATTTTTTGGGTGCTTCACATTTCTTCAATGATGGAAAGAATTGTGCACGGGAAAAATTGGAGTTGGTTCTTCGTGCAAGGATATATGAGTTCATAAATGAAACAAATAAATGATAGTTTAAGAATTTAAACGAGTTGTAATTTTTAAGAAGGGGTAATGCTTGATAATAATGGGATGTATGTGAAAAAGTCTAATAGAGCCACCACTTTAGTCTCATGGGGTTGAAATGTCAAAAACCCAATGGTTCATCTTTGAAACCTAACAATTATCGTGTTATATTATTAAAGATTTCACATGCTTCTAAATGAACTTTATGTCTAACGATTGACACAATAATAAAGTTACCTTGAATATATTTTATGGGCTTGACAATTTGTACAATGACATAATGTCGTTAAATTTTTTTATCGAGCAAAATGTCAACTATATTGTAAAATAACATGTCAACTAATCCTGTTGAGAAAGAGAAAGACAATTATTGGAAAGATTTTCTTTGTCTTTTATTGATTTCGACTAGTTATACGATAATGAGATCTTTTAAACTAACGTTCATTCTCTTCAAGATTTATTGTTTCCAACTAGTTAGCTCACATTGAGGATCAACGATTCCTTTTATACATTGCTAATTTGGATATCTTTGTGTAGAAAGCTATGAGTTAGATTGTGCTACGGTTTCATTTGTAAACTTCATAACGAAAATGCACGCAAGTAAGGCTGTAAGAGAGGAAGGGAAAAAGAGAAGAGATCGAAGATAATTGACCTGATCAGTTTCATGTTGCTTCAAATTAGTTGTCCCAATTTGTTTTTATTTTCCAATTTTACGTCACAGTATAAACTATAACACATTTTCCAAAAAAATTATCTTCTTTCTGTTTCATTTCCTCCTCTATAGTTAACACTCCACATGCATAAAATTATCAAAGTTTTAAGTTCTCTATTTCCCTCCCTCAAAATCCAAAAATGTCATGGTGAGGATTATCTTTCGATATGCTGATGTGGAGATAGGAACCTCCACATTTGTGCATGAAGAAAGGTTGAGATAACACTCGACTCTATGGATGACTGGATGCCCTGTCGTGGCTCCCACCAACAAAAACAAGGCACTATCCAATCAAAGAAATGTTCTCGTTTCTCATTATTAGAAGTAAAATGATATAAATTATAATTATAAGGATTAAGGAACCATAATGAATGAAAAATTTTCAAGTTGTTTATTTGGGAAATATGTTTACAAATTGGTTTTCGTTATGAAAAATATGTTTGAAATAAGTTGATTAGATATCAAATGGTGAAATAAAAATTGAAATTTCAAAAAAATATTGGGGTGTCAGATGATGTGAAGACAAAGTGTCACAGTGTTTTGTGAAAAGAGGTAAAATGCTTATGTTCTTTCTTTTTTCATAATAAAATTTTGGTTCCTATTGTTGTGGATGATAAATTATCAATGAAGTATTCTCCAAATCTGAAGAGGAAGACATAAAGAGGGTTACAGAAAGAGTTGATTCTCATACAACTAAGCATACATTTAATTTGATCATACCCACATTTTAATATATAGATTGTTAGAAATAAGAATTATCAAGTTGATTTGCTAATAAGTTTTTAATAAAAACGATTACATAATGTTACAAACAGTTTCTCCAACCTTTAAACATTTGAGAAATAAAGCCACATGAAGATTTTTCATATGTCAAGAAACAAACAACTTGCACAATATACAAAATGATCACCAATATAGCAGCAACCACCATAGAAATCATTTTTAAGATCAATATATCCTCTATATATTCTCGAAAAAAAATAAGACCAATAATTCATTATAGTAATCATAGATTTCATATGTGTGGAACCACAAAAACTCGAAAGTTTAACTAATTTTAGTGACTAAGAATGAAATAAAATATTTTTAGACCAAATGTGATATTTTCTTAGTAATCCTAATGATCAATCTTGTAATTTATCTTAAATTTAATGAAGGAAAAAATCTAAAAGTGGAGTTACTTGCCTTTGCAAAGCTTGATCGTCTGAAAGCTTTCCTTTTTGCTCTGAACCAGTACTTCAAGCTGGGCAAGCGTTGTACGATTATCAATAAATTTTAGGCGATTATAATCTCCAGAGGACAAAATATAGACTTATCAAAGGTAAGGAAGCTGTTACGGCGAGGACTGGTTTCCTGTGCTTTTGGATCTTCCAAGTTACGCGGGTTCACGGTCGCCGTGGATTCGAGATCCCAAGCTTCTCGGCGGCTCCCACTCTCCCTCCCTTCCGATTCCTCTTATAGCGCCGTTTGAGATCTCCGGGTCGGCAGAGGAACTCCTGGATGGTTGTTGGGGAATTTCACACAGATTTGCATTCAGGGAGTCGTGACCCACTAGAAATTGTTCAATCGACAAAGAAATCAATTGAATCGCTGACGACGATAGAGATGCTGTGGAGCCTGGCCGACAGTGGATAGGCGCGGCAGGAGGGAGGCCTGGCGACGCGGCGGCTGGAGGTTGTCGACAGACATCTAAGGCAGAGACGTTGCGGAAGGGAGGCCTAGCGACGCTGATGGCAGTCTCGCGACAGCAGCACTGGACTCGAATCAACGACGATGCCAAAAACAAGGATTGTTCAACTGAACGGACGGCGGGGCATTTGAGGTAACTGAATGGACGGCGGCGCATGGAAGAAAAGACAGACGGCGGTTACCTGGGGTAACTGAACGAACGGTTCTGGTGAGATCTGCTGCAAGTAATTGGTAACTGTGTTTTTTAATTAATTAAAATTTCACACCTTTTGGAATGAGGTAACTGCTCCAGGTAAGTATTTATTTCCTTTATCTTTTTAATTAACCGTTATACATTTTCTTCATTATTTATTAGTAATTTGTTTTCTTTTGATACTTACCCTCCCTTTTATTCATTTTATTTGTCAATTTCGTCCGTTTTATTTTTTTGCTTTTCTTTAACTATTCTTTAAAAAAAAATTAATTTGACATAGTTTTGGATTCGGTGTATCCGACTAAGCCTTAATGGCTAGTTTAAGACCATTTGGTGGAGCTTAGTTGTCCTACTATGGGGGCGCTTGTGTGTTTTGTTTTGTTTTGTTTTTTTTTTTGTAGGGGCACTCAGAAGAGCTCCCGTTATCGGAGAGACTTCCTCAGAACTCATGATCAGGATGGAACTATCTTGCAAGATGCTCAGAGCTCGGCTTCTCTCTGTAATTGGGTTTTTGCTGTTTTGTTCTCCGCTGTCTCAATAGGGCTGCCCATCATGTGGCATAAAAGGCCCTCTCATCGGGAGTTGGACTATTGGTCGACTCGCGCGCTCTTTTTATTTTCTCTGTATGTCTGATTTTATAACAACTGACTTTGCGAAAAAAAAACTAAAAGCGGTAGCAAATAATGATTTATCTAATTTTTTTCTTTCGATAAGCAATATATTACTTCTTTCTTCTTTCTTTCCAACTCCACATCCAATCTTTCGCACTTTACTCTCTATAGCCATATGAACTTCAAAATCCATTCCTCTCCCACAAATCCAAAGAAATGTTGCTAGTCGAGATTTTTTTCCAATCTTATAAGTTGTAATCCATAGGATACCCCGCCGCAAACAATTATTTATCTATTTTTTTCTTCCTATGATAAATTATATTTTTTTTACCTTCTTCTTTCTCCTTTCTTTCCTCCTATACACTCCACTCTCTCACACTCTACATAGCCACTGAGCTTCCAAATTCTGAGAAATTCATTCTCCTCTCACAAATCCAAAGAAATGTTGCTAGCTAGGATTCTTTTTAGATATTCTAAGTTGGAGCTCAGAATCTCCTCTTGCATGCATAGGGGGCGAGTTCAGATAACTCTGAACTTACGGGATGGAGTATTTCGAAAGGACCACCGATCTGATTACTAAGGTCAATACTCTATTGATATTGTTCGCAATCATGGATAACACTGCCAAGCATGAAGGGAAGGATAGTAAGAAAATTTTGTCTAGTCAGACGGCAAAGCAACATTTAAATAAGTCGTTCAAATTTTGGAGCAGATAAAGTTGAAATATAAGGCGAACGAGAACAAGTGAAGGGATATTATGAAAAAACATTTTCAGGCAATCGCAGGCGCCTCTATCCAGTGAAGTCGAGCCACCTGCGTTCATCATTTCCGACGGAAAAGCGAATGAGTAAGATGAAGGATCAGGGTAGAAGTGAGAAGAAACCCAACCATGAAGTTGCCATGGAAGATGAGACCATCAAGATGAAAGATGAACAAGAAGATGGAGTAAAACATTGAGGAACCGCGCTAAGGAAGCCGTCCAACCGTAGTCCATGAAGCATTATAGTGAAAGCAAAAACAAGGTTTGGATTGTTATGGAAGCAACTAAGAGCTGAGTTGATTCGGTGGTGAAACTGTTCTAGTGAAGTTTTTTAGAGATTGAGAATGACATGTGGTGGAAATTCTTGTAGTTGTTTATCAGTTAATTTTTGTTGTTTCGAACCTTTATTTCGGTACATTATAATAATTTGTGTTGGTCTTTTGCTTTTCTACATTGATTTGAACGAGGGAAGAAGTAATAAGTGTTTTCAAATTCACTAGTTTGGTTCGCTTTTTTTGTATTTGTTCTTTCATGTTTTTATTGTCTGTCTTACGAATATACGCATCGGCAAAAGATTAGGATGACTGATATGGTATATACCAATAAACCAATTTCTCTAGTCATAGCAAAGTCTATACACTAATTAATGAGTAGTGACATGTAAAATTTGCAACTAATAAGATATTAAATTAGTTATAAATCTTGAATTTGAGCGTTCAAGGAATAACCATAGAATATATGTACATTAATATATCCCCTTATGAATTGAGAAAGAGGAAACATGCCTAATCTACTGGAAAAACGTGGGATAAAAAAAGAAAACTTTAACGAAAGTCATAGTGAAAGGGGAAATTTTGCCTAATTGACAGTTTGAAAACATGGATGGGGGGGGGGGGGGGGGGGGGGGGTGGGTGGGGGAGAGAGAACTGTACCCGGGAAAAGAAAAGAAAAAATTTAAGGTAAGTTATAGAAAAATGAACCTTCCCTAATCAACAACTAGAAAATCTTGGGTTAAAGGAAAAATATTTGTTTTTAAGGTAATTCCTATTGAATCATATGATGTACCCTCCCACACCCTAGCGGACCGCTTAAGTTCATTATACATAATACTCCATTTTTTATTAGGGATACTAATTGGTTCAGTGTCGGTTAACCACTAATCAATATGACGGTTAGCGGTTAACCAATAAGGAAAAAAACTCATACATATAACCAAACTAATAAGCCTTATTGGTTAACTGTCTTTTATCTGCTCGGTTAGCAATTAGTTTGGATATTAACTAATATCCACTAATTAGTTTGGAGATTGGGGGGGGGGGGGGAGAACTGTACGCTGGAAAAGAAAAGAAAAAATTTAAGGTAAGTTATAGAAAAATGAACCTTCCCCCTAATCAACAACTAGAAAATCTTGGGTTAAACGAAAAAGGAAAAAATATTTGTTTTTAAGGTAATTCCTATTAAGTCATATGATGTACCCTCCCACACCCCAACGGACCGCTTAAGTTCATTATACATAATACTCCATTTTTTATTAGGGATACTAATTGGTTCAGTGTCGGTTAACCACTGACCAATATGACGGTTAGCTCTAGTTCGATCCCACTGTACTCTCGGTGATGGTTTCCTGACGGTGCAGTCCGACGGCATCCGGGGGACGTGTTTGGTGGCCAGTGGCCACGCACACCCGACGTCAACATGTCTAAGGAAATACCATCCCCCTGCTGTCCCGCGCTTGGCGGCTGCTCCCTAGCAACTGTAGTATCTGAAGTGGTCTGGATACTTGATCACATACTGGTAATGGTATCTTTCATAGTGATGTCTACCCGTTCACCTATCCTCAACACTTCCCCGCTTGCCTCCTTCTCAACTTGCTGCTTCTCCGAAGCTTTGTTCAAATTCCGGTCAGAGCTCTCCGTCATATTCCTCCCCCCATTCTTCTCCTTCCCCTGTGGTTTCACGTTTTTTCCCCTGTGGCCACCCTCTTCACTGCTCTTGCATTGGTGGTCTCCTTAGCTAAGGTCTTCTCACTACTAAATTCATTCTCTTCCTCACCAAGGACCGTAAACCTTGATCCTCCTTGGGATCCACTAGTCTCGTCTCCATTGGTTGGTTTAGAGCGATCATTCCCCACACTACGGGCAGCCGCTTCTTTACGTGGATATGACTTCTTCCTCGCTATCATCCACTCACCGTAAATGGGAGCTTTCTCCGTGGTCGCTGGGACAGTCTCCACCGGGACAGTTTCTGTCTCCATAGCCACCACCGGTTGCATGCATGAGCATCGCCCACGTTCATAGTACGTACCGCACTGCAAACAAATATTTTCCAACCGTTCGTATTGAATAAAATAAGTTTTCCCTCGTAGGATAAACTGAGACAGCAGAGGTTTGGTTAAGTCCACCTGAACACACACTCGTGCATAGTCACTACGTGCCCCAGTGCTCGTTGCCTGGTCCACCCTAATAGGTTTTCCAATTCGTGTCCCGATTTTCATCACCGCTACCGGATGGAAGTACTGAATTGGGATTTCTAGCAACCGAGCCCAAACCAATGTTGATGATATCTCGTGCTCATACGGGTTGAAATCCTCGGTCCATTGGTGGACTGTAAGATAGTTATCCCCCACCATCCAGGGACCGCCAGTTACCGCCCGCTCGTAGTCCACGCCACTGGTGAAACAAACTAGAAAATATCCCTTTTTCGCTGACGTCACCTGGATCGTTCCCGCCCTTGCCCAGAGACTGTTTAACCGTTTCGCCATCAACGTATAGGAGACAGAGCGCCCTAAGGCTTTAACCACCAGAGCGGACCTCCATTCCCTGATGAACATCCTCTCTTCCGCTGATGTAAAATAGACAGGAGGGCACTTAGGATCACCTTCTCCCTCGAAGCCTGCATCGAGACCCTCCTGTCTCACCGCTTCCGCTATATCCTCATAATCGGACTCGGCAACGTACCACACGCCTTGTCTCGCTTGATCTCCAAATAGCTTTCGTGTTGCCCCCGAACCAGTTCCCCACGCCGATTGTTTAGGGCCCTGCGACGATGGACTCTGTTGGCTATAGTTTTCCACATATGCTATTTCCTCATCCATCACCGGTTCCGATTGCTTTGCTCGTTTCTTTGTCTGTTGCGCCTCTCTTGCTCCTTTTGGATTTGGAGAGGATGATTCAGTTGGGGGCCTGCGTTGTCCTGCAACAGTTTCTGTAGTCATGAGGCTGTCGGAGCCTCCTGCCCCGGCCAGCGGTGTAGGCACCGCCGGCATGGATTGCGATAACTCTAGGACTTCCGCAATCGTCTCTCCTTTTCGCCTCCGTAAAAGTCAGATCTCTCTCTTACTAAGGGTAAACTTGCTCCCTTTATATAGACTTCTAATTCTACTACAAATTTAACAAGGAAAAATTAAACTAAACAACGAACAAGGTGAAGGAATCCAGATTAAACAAGGTAAGACAATCGGCCAAACATATTATCTTCTATAGCAAGTAAGCAGCTTTTTCCGCAAGTAATCCAAACAGGTGCAATAGTTACCTTGGAACCTTTGCCTGAAGGTTTTCAGTCATCTTCGAGTTCATCCAAAGCCAATCCATTCTTTAGTAAGTTTCAAGCTACTCATGGCAACTCGCAGCTCCCTTCGAATGTGTCAAGAACGCTTCAAATAGTCTCCCAAAGTAGGTAGCGTGACACGGTTTTCATACTTAGGCAATTTCAGCCTTTCATGTTCTTCTTTGCTCCAAGAGTCGAACCATACTTTGAACTTCAATGGAGAACAATCGAAGCTAGAAATCAAACTCTCATCATAATATATATCTATGCTTAAAGCTTTGCATAACCACTTAAAAGAAATCGTTTCTCTCTTTTTTGAACACATAAAAATAAAGCTCATAATTATTTCTATACCATATTTTATCACTTAATGATAATATTATCTTATATTGGTGACCCAATTAACCAAAATCGATTGAACTTTAGTTCGTCTAATTTTGTTGTTCTCTTAATTTGATCGTTTTTGTCAATGCAATGTATTATATGGTCAATAGAATTTAAACTCACTTTATTTTTTAGTTATCATGATAACCATTTGAATGCACTTGAAGTAGTCATTGCCTTCCTTCAATTTTTTTGGCCTCGTATACTCCTGATATGTTACTAATGAATAATGATAGGGTTATAGTTGTTTGTCACCTTGGATGACGAGTTACTAATGTTAAAATAATAGTTTGAAGTGAAGAAATAGGTTGAATTAACAAATTGATAAACAAAATTACCAGATGAGCAATCCCCTAAATTGTAGGCCATGAAAAAATTAGCGTCATTTCTTCCAAATTGTTTTAATGGTAGGAAAAAATCAACAACACTTAAATCAGTGTTTTAGTACAAAATACTTTGTTATTAATTTTTTCGGTAAAATTTGGAGCAAGGTTTTACATTCCTAGCTTCGCTCCTGCCATGTGTTGCAGAGAATAATAAGTAATAATTCTTTAGAGAGATGATAAATGAAAAGAAAATATTTATCAGCTAGCAACAAAGTAACCCTTCCACGTCAGAGCTTCCACTTTTTGTAAAAATGGGTTTTTTTTACAACAAAAATGGGGTTAATTACATGGTTGGTCACTGAGATAACAAAAAACGTTCATGTTTGGTCAATGGAAATATTTAAATCCAATGTTGGACACTCAAATTAGTTAAATAGTTCAAGTTTGGTCACTCTCCTTCCATTTCCGTTAACTCTAGCTTACGTGGCAATCAACTTTCATAGTTGACCATTAAATACGTGACAGACAATTAAAAATTATTGAAAAATAAAAAAAAATAAACTTTTATATTTTCCACCTCATTATTACATTCATTAAAAACCAAAAAAAAAATCTAATTTATTTTCTACACACCCCCATACCCTACCCTACCCAACCTCACCACCACCAGAACACAACCTCCGGCGACCCTCTTCTTCAACTCCGCTTCCACCTTGGTCGAGCTCCTCAAAGAATTGTTGGAACAACACCGCCCTGATTGCTTAGTCGTCCACACCTTCTTCACCTGGACCACGGAATTGGCGGCAAGTCTGGGCGTCCCTAAGGTAGTTTTCGGCGGGAAATGCTTCTTCTCCCTATGCGCCGAACAGAGCCTGGTCGAACACTACCCCCACAGTAGAGTCTCTTCCGACGACGACGCTTTCTTCATCTCGAATCTCCCCGGGGAAGGAATCGAATTCATCAGGGGAAAATCTCGGAAGCCTGGAAGTCCAAAAGCGTATTCACCCATTTCTTCAAAAAATGCCTCGATACGGAGAGGGATTCCTACGACGTTCTCCTCAACAGTTTCTACAAATTGGAACCTCTCTATGTCGGCCCTTTTTCTCTTTCGCCGGCGGCGCGAAGGAGAAAGAGAGAAGAGAGATGGTGACAGTGGCGGGAGCTGCTGCAGTTGACTGTCAGGAATGCTTGAAATGGTTGGATTCGAAGAAACCCAATTTGATAATTTATCTCTATTTCAGCTCTGATACAGAGTTCACGACAGCGCAAAATTTGGAGCTGGCGACGGGGCTGGAAGGCTCGGGATAGGAGTTTGTTTGGGTTGTGAAGAGAAGGGAAGATCTGCCGAAGGGATTTGAGGAGAGAGTCGAAGGGAAAGGATTGATAATTGAAGGGTGGGCGCCTCAGCTGCTGATTTTAGGTCACACGGCAGTGGGTGGATTCGTTACCCACTGCGGCTGGAACTCTGCCGTGGAAGCGATTGCTACTGAAGTTCCTATGGTGACGTGGCCGCTGGGGGTGGAACAATTCTTCAATAAGAAGCTGGTGAGGTTGTGTTCTGGTGGTGGTGAGGGTCGGTCGGGTAGGGTATGGGGATGTGTAGAAAAGAAATTAGATTTATTATTATTTTATTATTTTTTAATGAATGTAATAATGAGGTGGAAAATATAAAAGTTTATTTTTTATTTTTATTAATTTTTTAGTTGCCACGATACTATTTAACGGTCAGCTATGAAAGCTGACTGCCACGTAAGCTAGCGTTAACGGAAATGGACGAAGAGTGACCAAACTTGAACCATTTAACTAATTTGAGTGACCAAGATTGGATTTAAATATTTGCAGTGACCAAACATAAATGTTTTTTTGTAATCTCAGTGACCAACCATGCAATTAACCCTAAAAATGGGGTATAGTTAGAGTGAGAGGAAGAAGGAATATGACCAGCCATTTTACCTTATTTTAATCATTTCTTATTTGCTGCACATGTATACTATTTTTTTTTATTATCTCATGTTAGACCATCATCACGGTGTAGTTACCATGGTATCCATTTTAATCGGTAGTATTCAGATAATTTGGTTTGGTTAATTTGATTAATTGGTTTGGTTAAATTTTTTAGCTTGTTTGGTTTGGTTTCAGACACTCCTAATAAACCAAACCATATTAACCAGTTAAGTAATTAGCTATATATCTAATATATTATATATGGTAATGACTGGTGTACGTCAGGCGTATAGTATACATCAGGTGATCTAGCCGTTAGATGTACTTAGATGAGCTTCAGCCAATCTCAATGGTCAGTTTTTGTTTTTCATTAAATCAAACTTCGGGTTGGGGTTTAGAAAATCGGTGCCTCGGGTTTATCTATTAGAGGTTAGAGTATAGTATCATACCCCCAAACTCGATTTAATTCATGGTCTAGATAGAGATATCTCACTAGTAGTACCTGACGTATAGTATACGCCTGACATACGACAGTCTGACCCTATTATATACATATTTAATACTTTGCATAAACACTCAAAAATCAAATGTAAGATATTTGCATTAGTTACATGTATTTATGTTAAGGGTTAATTATAATTTTTTGTTGATTATTACGTGTTATTTATTATATAAATTGTGAATTGATGTACTAACCGGAATTTTTTCCCTCTTAATGATAATGTGATGGTATATTGGTTATTTTGGTTAATCAATTAACCAAACCGATTAAACTTTAGTTTGGTTAATTTGGTTGTTGTTTTAGTTTAAACGATTTGGTTATGATATTGTGTTCTATAGTTAATAAAATTTAGACTTATTTAATTTGACAATTAACATGATAACCATTTGAACACCCAATGGATTCAATCTGCCCATGGTAAAACTTCATATGGGTTCGATGTACTTTTATCTTCAACAAATAGTGCAGCCTTTAATGCAGGACGAAGCATATGGTTGCCCGGCTGGTTAAATGCTATTAATGAAAACAGTAATTCATTATTCTTAACAATAAAATGCACACCCTACCAACGTTCATTTTCTTCACTTTTACGGTTCAATCCTAAACCTACAATAACTACAATGGCATCATATTTGTGAACCTTTTTTATTCTCAAATTTGCTCCCTTTTTTGCCCTTCATTTGATTTTCGCATTCGGCCTCTAGGTAGCTGGATATATATCTACTAGGCAAATAAGTGAATAACTCAATATACATCACCACTCATCCGCTATTGCGCTCCTCCGCTGGCTTCCGCTCCCGCTCCCGCTGCATGACCATTTCAGCTTCCTTGGTTGCCGCCTGGGCTGCCTTCGACACCAGCAACATCTAAGTAGGGCGGCTAGTATTCCTCTACTTCTTCCTTGTTTCAGCCTTTCCATATGCTCCGGTGCCGGCGAGGAATTGCATGCACCGGCGCGTGTGAGGCACCCCGCCAGCTGGCCTCTTGCGCTAATTCAGCTCGTCGATGGCCGACGCGTGTCACCACTCGTCCTTATCCGACGAAGGTAAGCGGTAATGTGAATTGGGGACTCTGATTTTATTCGCTGACGCGTGTAAGGCGTTACCCGCTCTCTTTATTCATTTTGTTATTTTTTCTAGGACTTTCTTATCCTTTTGGTTATTTCGTTCGTTTTAATAGTATTTTATTTTTTTCTTTTCTACCGTCAATACGTCTTTTTTTTTTTTTTTTTTACAAAATGTATTCTTATATTGAATCAATAAGAGATAATTACATCCTGGAAATCAACCAGGCTCGAAAATCAAAAACACAGCTCATAGTCGAGACAACGAAAGGGCCTTTCTAGCCACCCTATGGGCTACCATATTGTTATTCCGAACTATAAACAGCACACCTAACCTCGGATGAGAATGAAAATAGTGTATAACTTCTTCTAGAATAGCTCCCACCCGGTTATCACTAGTCTGCCGCGAAATAATCTTGTCAATAATCACCTTGGCATCTCCTTCAAACCTCACCTCCGTGAATCCCAGCCCCAAACACCAGCCAATCGCCTTCCGAAGGGTTAGCAATTCAATGACCATAGGATCACCAAGGTCATGAAACTGAATCCCTCTGGCCAAAATTACTTCCTGGGATGAAGTCATAAGAACCATACCCCCAGCCGAGGGAGCCCCCTGCCTGGTAGCCCCATCCCAGCGGCAGACGACCCTGGACTCACCAGGCGCGGCCGCTGGGAGAACAGACAGGATACGCGAAGGAAGAACTCGATCCCTGGGAAGGCTGATGCCTGGGAAGGGGAATTGCCTTAATTGCCTGACAGGTAGGGGGGATCGAACCATTGTCCCAGGTTGGAATCACACCACCGCCCCTCACCTGGGCACAACACCTCAGAAACACACAGGTCCCTGTCCTCTGGGATAATCCGAGGATTACTTACCGGGGCAGAAGGATGTAGGCGAGGAATCCAGCTGGATTGCAGAAGAGAAGCGGTCTGACCATCACCAATCTGCCAGCGGAGACCCTTCTCCAACAAATTTCTTCCAAACAGGATACTCTGCCAGCCCCAAGAAGGACGCGACCGTGCCGTGGCCGTAAGGAACGTACCCTGAGGAAAATACTTACCTTTATAAAGTTGGGCTAAGAGGGACTCTATTCATTCAGGATACGCCATCCAATCTTAGCCAAGAGAGCTTGATTAAAATGCTCGAAGTGACGGAAGCCCATACCACCATCATGCTTACTGCGACACATATTACGCCAAGACATCCAATGAATTTTGGAACGTTCACCCTCAATGCCCCACCAGAACCGAGCTAAATGCTTATCAAGAAGGCGACAGAGGGAGAAGGGGAGCTTAAAACATGACATGCAGGGGTAAAGCTAAAGCAACCGATTTGATCAAGGTTTCCTTTGCTGCCCAAGAAAGAGTCCGTTTCTTCCAGCCCTGTAGTCTCTCCAATAATTTCTCCTCCAGATACCGGAAGGTAGCCATATTAGAACGGGCTATCAGCGTTGGCAGGCCAAGATATTTGTCGTGGACGCCCACTGCACCCACCCCCAGGATCTGGGCCAAGAACTCTTGGTCTGGTATGGCAATATTCTTGCTAAAGCACACTGCTGATTTACCCAGGTTAACTCTCTGCCCACTGAGTTCTTCGTACTCATTTAACACATCAAGCAGTTTTTCACACTCCTGGGGAGAGCCACGAAGGAACAGATAGGAATCATCAGCGAAGAACAGGTGGGAAATTCTCGGAGCACGAGGAGCAACCTTCACACCTTCCAATTTGTGCTCAGCAATAGCCTTCCGCAAGAGAGCGGCAAAACCCTCAGTACAGAGTACAAAAAGCAAAGGTGAGAGGGGATCCCCCTGCCTAAGACCCCTAGTGGGAGAGAAATACCCCGATGGGGTGCCATTCATTAAAACCGAAAATGAAGTGGATGTAAGGCACTCCCTGATCCAGCCCCTCCAGGTAGAATTAAAGCCAATTTTCTCAAGAACCGCAAGAAGAAAGGGCCATTCGACTCTATCATAGGCCTTCTCCATGTCAACCTTTAGCGCCATGTAACCTTTCTTGCCTTGCTTCTTGATCTTGAGGTAATGCATTAACTCATGTCCAAGGAGAACATTATCCACTATCTGGCGCTCTTTGATGAAAGCATTTTGCCCCTCCGAAACTATATTCGGTAAGAGATTAGCCAGACGATCCGCCATGATTTTGGTAATAACTTTATAAATGAATTGGCACAGACTGATAGGACGAAGCTGGCGCATGTTTTCTACCGCATCCACCTTAGGGATCAAAGTCAGCCACGTGTGATTGAAGCCCTGCAGTATCTTACTCGCCGAAAAGAAAGAGCAGACTGCGTTGATCACTGAATCGCCAACAATGTCCCAAAAGGCTTTAAAGAATTTACCGTCAATACGTCATTAGTGAATCTTTATTAATACTTTTTCCAGTCTGGGCTTGCATTGCAGGTGCTATACTTTTTATTGCTTTTTTGGGTTGGGCTTCTATTTTCTTCCAACCTTCTTACGGCCACTAATTGATTTTCGTTATGGTTTTATATGTACTTTTTATCCTAGATTTTCACAGGATCATTCTTTGGGTCGTTTCATTATTAGAATTCCCGGTCCCAACTTGTTTCCTCTTGGAGAGCTAATATTAGTTAGACATGACGATTAGAATAGATTGTTCATGGTGTATGTGCGAAACCATTGGTCCTGTTGGAGAGACCATTTCTTTGTTAATTTTGCAGGTGATTCTCCTGCCAAAACTGCAAGGATTGCTTCTCTGCTTCGATTTCAGTATGGTTATTTTCATGATTTTTTTTAATCTTTTATAGAGTAAAAATTATGGATACTATCCGTGTCGTATAGGTATTAAAGAGCTGCCCGTTGTGTGGCGAAAAAGGCTTTCTTATTGATGGTTTGACTATTTGTCGACCGTCGTCCCTTTCTCTTATTTATATTATTACGGTTGCTTGAAAAAGCTTCCAATTCGTATCTAGGTGTTTCCTTGTGGGAATATCTTTGAAAAAAAAAAACTCAATATATCACAATGTGCTACATTATGCAACTTATTTCTTTGATGTTGGCTAATCCACTTTCCTGTTACTTTTTGCCTGAATATCTTTTGTTGCATCCTCTTGATAGCCAGTAAAAATCACCTGGAACCATGCACATCGAATCGAAGAGGTTGTGAGGTCGAGCTAGCAGGAAGAAACCGCTACTCAGAAAATAAGAGGATTGCACTTAGCTTGTGGCTGAAAAGCTTGAGATTGTTTAACTTGTTGGAGAAAACTTCATCGTACGGAGAAATAGAAATAACTTGTTACGGGAAAATCATTAGTAGGAATCAAAGTCATGGAGATAAAGATCATATATGCTAAATAAACTAATTAGGCGAGCAATATAAGGAATCATGGAGAACTGCCGTTGCTTGAGGGAAATCATGGGAAAATCTTGTTTCTTTCTCATTTATTACTAGGTGGCGATGTCGCGCCTTGTCGCGGGAGGAGATGGCCTATCCTCAATGTATTATGTGACCCGTTATGATATTTTGTTAGTATTATTATCCTAAAATTAATTTTTTGTTAGCAGTTTTGTTAATAATATTGACTTGAAAATATGATATTGAATAAGAAAAGATATATGACAGTCAACATCCAATTTTAAATATTTTGAAATTTTTGGCTAATAAACTATATTTACCTAAATTCAAGTAGACCCATTGATTATGGGTAGGGTATGGGTGACTTATATATGTGTTTGGAAGTTGTAGATGAGATTGGGTAGGGTATGGATATTTACTTTCATAATCTAAATGTGTATGAGTTGGGTGTGGATACTCATTTATTCGAAGGTGTTTTAATTACCCATACAAAAATTAGAACTATTTGTAGAACTTCAAAATTTTAGGTACCAAAATGTAGTAAAAAAATTAGGTACTAAAATGTATTGTTCCATCAATATTTTGATTTTTGAGGACTTGTATGCTAAAAAAATAAATTTAGGCTATAAATCTAAGATCTATTAAGTTTATGTACCGAACTATAATTTGCATAGTTGAGCCTTAATTCCTTTTATGTTGATGTATTTTAGATGATAATTATTTACTGTTTTTAGAAAAATGGAAACTATTTATTTGATATGTGTAGGTACCTAGTCAAATATATAATTGTTGAAAATCTAGCCCGGGCGAAAAAGAAAAACTCTATAGAGAAGCAAAATGAATACAAACGGTCACTCGCTAAAAATTTGAAGCCTTCCAATCCCATAGTGGACAATGATGACTTTCTAATAAGTAATAGTCATATATCTTTATTTTTAATTGGACTCGACATTGAGCTGAAAACGTTAATGGTTCATGGTTCAATTACTAATTATGGTTAGACGAAGAAGGCAATGAAAGAAATACATAAAGTGTTATGATTTTTATTACTGTTGATTTTTTTAAACATTGTTCTATTAAAATGTCATACAAAAACTTCGTACAGATCAATATCTTAATGTACTCGTATTATATTTTACTAAATATGTTGTCACATCACCGAATAGAATGCTCTTTTAAAAATGATCGTTATTATTTCAAATGGAAATCATACATGTTTATTTGAAGTAAAAATCTCATCAAAGACCAAAATGGTCGAATCTTCTTCTACAGTTGAGTGATACAACATCTTGTATGGTACAAACAAAATTTATAATTTTATGTTACGGTGGATTGGATTTATGAATTCAAGTGAAATGTAAACATTGGACCAATATGTAAATTTTAAAATTGTAGGTATGAAAATCTCATAAAGTTTAGATGCTAAAACATAATTGTTCAATGATTTTACTTTATAATTAAATTTGGGGTATCAAAATGTACAATATACATTATAATGACTAAGTTGTAATTTAATTAAATTTTAGGTATCAAAATGTAGTTATTTTGACAACAGTAACCTCACTTCACGTTTATATATAATAATAATAATGATAACTCACACCACTTTCTAGCTTATCATGATCAAATAGATAAATAGAGATACAAAAAACAAAAATCAAGATTGATAAATAATTGTTTTCTCTCTTTTTCTATCTCTTTCTTAGTCCCAGTTAATATATTCCGTTGGTTTATTGGTAATGTTAGAAAATATTTGTCTAAAATAACAATAATGAAAAACGTTATAATCATAGCTGATTTTTTACCTTAAAGAGACACAAATAAAAAATGTCACTATACAAATGTCATTAGAGTCGTGTTTTGTTGTAGCATAAACGATAATCAACGGTAGCTTGTAATCGGGACAACATTTGGGCATCCCCAGTTATTCTGACACTGCCTTATCAATCTCTCATAAAAAGGTGGATGAAATCTTGAAATACGAATGTTTTTTAAAAAAATTCCCAAAATACACACGTTATCATTTTTTTTTTCAAAATACACATATTTGGGCATCACTTCGGCTGTCAACCGTAGTGAATGCATTCACCGCGGCAGACGAAAGCGGTGAATGCATCACCGCGGTTGACGGCCGCGGTGAATGCCTGATCTAACACCGAAACTTCATATGAACGTAATTTTGTGCTCGGTTATCCGATTGTAGCGGAAATTTTTTCGATTCCACATAACTTTTCAAGATCTTCCAATCTGCGACAAGCCTTTGTCTAAAAAAAATGTTGTTTGTTAACCCGAACAAGCATTTTTTCATATTTTCCAAACTTTGGAAGGGCATGTAAGGAAGTGGTTAAGCACCATACACGGACCTGTATAAGATCCAGCATAACCTTCTCCCAATAACTCGAGTTATTGGGACCAACTGGTTCATGACATGGTATCAGAGCTGGTTTGTCCTTGAAGTCACGTGTTCAAGTCCTCACGACCCCCAATATTAACCGTTGTCTTTCAAGCACATGGTAGGGCTGGGCCTGTGCAAACTTCAAGCCCATGAGTCGGCTTTCGTTTGAGGGGGCGTGTAAGGAAGTGGTTAAGCACCATACACGGGCCTGTATAAGATCCAGCATAACCTTCTCCCAACAACTCGAGTTATTGGGACCAACTGGTTTATGACGTGGTATCAGAGCTGGTTTGTCCTTGAGGTCACGTGTTCAAGTCCTCACGACCCCCAATATTAACCGTTGTCTTTCAAGCACATGGTAGGGCTGGGCCTGTGCAAACTTCAAGCCCATGAGTCGGCTTTCGTTTGAGGGGGCGTGTAAGGAAGTGGTTAAGCACCATACACGGGCCTGTATAAGATCCAGCATAACCTTCTCCCAATAACTCGAGTTATTGGGACCAACTGGTTCATGACAGGGCATAACTTTTACCTCCTCAATCCGAATGTCGTAAAGTTTTTTTTTTTTATTACGCATAAGTTTTTATGAACTCCTCAATTCGAAATTGATAATTGTGTCTCCGGAATGTTAAGGTTCTCCAAAGGATTGAATATCTACATGCTATCGTAGACTTTCCTTGATATTATGCTCCATCTTTTCCTCTAAGTGGAGCATATTCTACTCTAATGTATAATCAAATCCATAATCTGAGATCGAGAATTGTTGCATTTTGGGTTACTTGCTTATTGATCCTACTCTCAATTGTGCCGCCGCGGTTGATTAGCTCTTCTCCCCGGCGCGTGCATAGAACCGATTAACTGATGAATTAAATTACTAGTGGAATGGGTTCCATTTAATACGACGAGTTATTATGGGGAGGGTAGCAATAACTTTCAATCACTCATGACTCTGTCTTTCTATCTTAAAAGAACAGAAACCCATGCACTAGTTTGCATATAGGTATGGGAGGGGAAGGACTTTACCTCCTTGCAATCATGTTTGTTGCTGTGACGTTTTTAAATTGGAATTTCTTAAATGCTGGTGCATGCTGATGATTTTTATTTGTTACTTATGTTTAGTGATGGCAATGGGGCGGGGCGGTACCTCAATTCTCATGCTCCGCCCCACGCTACTACGGGTCTGGGCGGGTAAAACCCGTGTGGGTACGGAGCGAGTCGGGTCGACCCATTCTTACATGTTGTTAAAAAAAAAATACAAGTAAATTTTACTTTTTACAATAAAACGTAGGTAAAAACAATTTAAGAATGAAAAATATTGATAATAGAATGGATAATTGAGCCTAACAAGTTGAAAGATCGACTCTAACTAGTTGAAGAAAAGTCAAAATAGGAGAAATATGTATAGATATTGTAAGAAATTGAGATAAGATGAGTCTAGAACGGGGCGGGGCGGGGCAAGGCGGGTCGCAAAATAGATACTCATGCCCCACCCCACGCTACTGCAAGTCGGGTAATACCCGCCCCCATCACGGGTCAGGTAATACCCGCTCCATCGCAGGTCAGATCGGGCAATACCCGCGGAGCGAGTTGAAATTACCATCACTAGTTCACTACTTATGTTTATTCCTTGGTGGGGGTTCTAATTCTTATCTTTTTTCCATCGTTATTGCTTGGTGGAATAATTATTACATTTCTAAAGCTTCATTAATTTTACAAGTTTAATTAACGACTATTCCTGTTTTTTTATTAAATAAAAATAATATAATGCTTATCCTGTAGAGGCACAACATATGTCGACAGACGGGCTTTACAGAGACTTATCCTTGATTATTTTCACTTTTATGCTTGATTATTTTCGAGTTATAAGTATATTTTCCCCTCTACTATGATTTTTCTCAAACGTGCCCTTTATAATTTTTCACATCAACTATGCCCTTTTATTATGATCACATTATCAAACATGCCCTCCATCCAAATTTCTGTTAGTCTTTCGTTAGATGAGAGTTTACTTAATTTGGTAATTACAGAATAACTAATTTATCCTTGTAAGTAAATAATCACGAACACTAAAAAAATAATAGTAATTTTGCTACAACAAAATGAGGGCCAGCTGTATCCTGCCCATTTATATCTTCGATTCATCTTTTCTCCACCTACCGTCAACAACCTCTTCCCTTCCAATAAAAATACAAGATCAGCATACCCCTTCTCCCAATGGCCATTGCACACGATGCCAGGATCCAGAGAGAGCTTTGCCCAATCAATTCAATCACCTGGACAATACATGTGATTGATATGGATATGGTTTTGTTGGATTTGCCACAATCAATTTGATATGAATATGTACGATTGTACACAATCACTAGTTTGTTTTCATTTGAAACTCCGGCCGATGTAGTGATTACCGACGGCGAGGATCGCGATTGTACACAAACCTTGTTCTTGCTGTGTAATCTCTCCTACAATGAACGAAACAGCCAGGTAGGAGAGTCAGTTCCTCACCGGATTCGATGGCGGCAAAACCCGGAGATGAAGATGAAAGATTTAGATGGGTATGTCATAAGATTGAGATGGAAGAATTATTATTATGGTTTGGAAGTTCGATGCTTTAGATCGAGTAATTTAACTTGATAGCCTCTATAGTGCTTTAAATGGGATTGAGGGTTTTCATTTTCAGTTTGCCATGCCCATGGTTTGCCATTTTGGTGGCTTTTTTTATTTATTCTATTCAGTGAAGACGCAGAGGATGGAGATATCTCAAGAGAATGCCCAATTAAGAGAAGAGGAGGCTGAGGGATGAAGTGATGTTAGAGGTGATGAGCATGAGCTACTGTCGGTCATCGTCGGCATCAGAATCGAGAGGGTCGTTCAATAGTCAAAACAGATGAGGAATTGGTCGTTTGTTCAACAACCAGGAGTTCAGTGGGAGAGGAAGACAAAGACGATTTTAAATATAGAAGGGCAAAATGCATATTTTACCTCCCATTCACATTGGTCAATCTACGGTTCAACCGTGGCTGGATGAAAATCTAACGTAGGGCATGTTTGGGAACGTCATTATGATAGAAGGGCATAATTGATGTGAAAAATTATAGAAGGGCATGTTTGAGAAAAGTCAATAGTAAAGGGACAAAATATACATATAACCCATTATTTTCTGCTTGTGGAAGAAAAGTTATGGTTGTCGTCTAGTATGTTTGGAAGTTTTTGCCAATGATTGTTGGTAAAGCAAAAGCCTATGCGGCTTTGGGCCTTTTAGTGGGCTTGAGTTTTTGCATTGGCTACTTGGGCCTGTCTACTTTTGCTTAGTTGGTTATTTTGCAGGAAATTGCTTGTGGCATGTTGTGTTTGTTTGCTCGCTTGATCTGCCTTTTGCATTTGTTTGTTTTGCAGGTGAAGCTGCTTATCGGATGCATGTCGCACAACTTCAACTTGTAAAGGTGGGACTCCATAGGTTCTTTTTTTGTTGCCAATACTCTCTGTTGTCACACTTTTATTTTGCTCACTTAAACATTGATAAAGCACCAGGTGGTGCTTTTTGATCAAAGTAACGCAGCAAACCACACTCTCGAACGATAGTTGAGGGAACGGTAGAATTCTCACCACAATCGAGGTGATTAATCGATTGATAAGAGAACTTGCTAAACGATTCTGGAATCCTCCACAGAATAGCTTGAACAAGGGTCTTTTCAAGAACTCAAAACACTCACGTAGGAGCAATTTTAATTCTACAATAATCTTCTAACTATTACAACGTAAATTGAAAGCTATTTAAAGACAATAAAAACCTAATACAAGCCTAATAGAACTATGAAACAATTAAGGTAAAAGTCTACACTGAAAAGGACACAAAATTCGGACTTAAACTCTCTTTCTTCAAGCGCAAGTAAGCTGCCAGCAAACAGTCCAAAAGCAGCTTTCGTACAAACTTCACGCCTTTCGTTCGAGGCCTTGCAAAACTCCAATATTCATCGGATTCCATCCCTTTGTAGATAAACATACTTAGTTTCATGTCCTGGAAGCCTTTGGACTTGAATTAGATCCATACTCCTCAAATTAAGCTCCAAAGTAGGCTTCACAAAACAGTTTCCAGTTTTGAGGTAGCAACTTTGAGGCCTTGGAAAACAACCTTAATGACATCTTCTGGATCCAAAAAGCATACCTTTGGAAAAAAGGTAACTTTATCTTCGGACGAAGACCTTGATCTCCAATTTTCATTGAGCCATTTGTGAGATACAAGCTTTCAAAGTAGGTATCATGAACTCGGATTTTGACTTAGCCAAATTCTGCCTCTTTTCTTTCCCACTTTGATAGCTTCTTTGGCAAGTAATTGTGACTTGTAGAAGTGGCCATTTGGGATCATATCAGACATTATGTTCTTCTGTGTCGTTGTGGGACTGGACTCTGGCTTCTTATCCATAGCATCTTCTTTGCAACGACCTCATGAGTCTCTCCCATGTTCCTTGGCTTAATTCAATTCGTTCAATGTATTTATTATGTGATCGATCAGCTCATTCTGGGTTTCAATCATGCCTTGTCATATGTACAACTAAAACTGTAAACCACAACATAACATAAAGTTCCTTCCACTTTTGTCTAATTGTTTTGTTACATTTTTACACCTATCACATAACTGAGAACGCGTCTCGATTCACCTACTGATGTTAATATTTGTTGTTCTTATGTGTAGCAGTATCTGGAGGGTGTCTCCTCACGGTTCACCACATTCTTCCAGGGAGGGTGAACTCGCAGAGGCAGAAGCCTCAAATGCTACTAAGAGCATGTCTCGAAATAATGTGATTCCAACTTCTGGCACTCCACAGGACAATCTCAAAAGAAAGCATGAACTGATCATGAATAATGAAGCTTTTATATTTCATGTTCCAATTGGTGGGTGATAGAACCTGCGATTAGGGTTCTATCGAGAATTGGGGATTTAGGGATTTAGAACAGAATTAGGGATTTGAGAAGAGAAAGATAGAGAATCGGCCTAGGCCTTTAGAGGGATTGGGAACGAGAATTGAGAGGATTGGGAGAATAGGATTTAGGAAAGGGTTTCTTAATATTCTTCTTGACTAATTATGAATGAAGGACCAATTACATATTTATAGGGAAAGACTAGAAAAACCTAATAGACTATCCTAATATGGCTCAAAGACTAATAACCATATCTAGATAAATCCTAATAATATTAATATTTATAATTATGGTTAACCTAAAAAGTAGGTTTCCATCATCCCCTTCCCCTTGAAAACCAACCTTGTCCTCAAGGTTGACCAACTCGACCCATTTCTTCACATCGTTCGTGCCATCCACACTTTGTCTCCTCCATTCCTCGACCAATTTGACCCCTCTTCTCGTCATGATCGCGCAATACACACGTCGACTCTTCCTTTCCTTGCGCTTCCTCTTCTTCCAATTGGGATCAAGTACTTGAGCGAGACTTCTAGCACAAGTTCTTCCTCCTTCCACCGTCGGTTCGGCTCTTGAACGGTCGTACCCATCCGTATAACCCACGAGAGATCGGTCCCCGTCTTTCCGTCCTACGATCACCAAATAATGACACAAAGATTGCTCTTTCTTGTACCCGCCGTCATTATTGTCATTGGTTTTCTCACTTGGGTGCTCCGCCGCTCCACAAGCCCATGTTCACTTCCTTCTTCCTTTGCTAGATTCACATCTGCTTGGTGGAAACAACTGCGGCCAAAATCATGGGCGGATCCTTTTTGGTTCCATGCTATTCCCGGTGAGTTTGGGCTAAGCACCCTTGAAAGCCCACTTCCTGATCTAGTCAGCCCACCGCTCCTTTTCTTCAAGTCCATCTCATTTAAAATTAACTCAAGCAAACAGCCCACCTGAGCCCAGAGAGTTCCATAAAAATTCAGCTCACCCTGCAAGTCAGTTATTGGCCCGGACGTAGGCTTTTGCTCGGCCCACGATACCTCAAGTCTCATCCCGCCCTGCATCTCCTTCCGACCAGAAACGATGCCCCCGAGGGCGATCCTGAAACCCGGATAGACTCGTTTAACTCCCTCTGGGCCCCTGGCCCAAACAACACGGTCCATTAGTGCAGCCTCTAGCTTTTGCTGTGCGGAGCCCACACTGCGGCCGACCTAGATCTTGTGAAGGAAAGGAAGCCGCCGCCGTCAACTCCCTCCTTCGTCTTCCTCTTCCTCATCGCGGCTGCCGAAGCCACCTGCAGTCGCCCACCCTTTGTTCTCCCGGTTGGTGACGTGATTCGAGACTCCGGCAAGGGGTTTTCCTGCCCCACTTCGCTGCTGGGCACGACCGCCGCCGAGGAGGATCTGCCTCGCTCCCCGATGTCTTCGCTCACCTCTGAGAACAGCACTCCCGGCGCGGCCGTCGTCGGGTTCGTCATCAACGGCGTCGCGCAAGGAACTGCCGACGAGAGCGGAGCCTCTTCTCCCTTCGCGCTCGGCGACCGGATTTCCCTGCTGGATCCTCGAACAGTGCGAGAACGGGAAACGTCGTCGCCCTCCGTCTCTTCCTCCTCCGGCAGTGCGCACCTCACCAGACGGCAAGTGGCCCGTCGCTCTTCTGGACTCGGCCTCGGTGGCGGTTCTTCCACCATCTCCCAGTCCGCTGCTGCCACGAACGGATTTCCCTGCGACGCCGCTGCGAGGAGAATCGCAGGGTTCGCCCTCGATTTCTTTTCCTCGGTGACCCGCCTCTTTCCCTTCTCCTTCAACTTATTCTCCAGCCCATCGTACTTGGCCACAGCGGTTGGAGTGGCCGTAAATCTCGCCTCCGCAACGTACTCCTCAGGACCCTTCTGCTTCTCGACAGCACCACCATCTCCAAGGATCTTCCCTCTGAACTTCCAATTAACCCTTCTAGTCTTCACGATTGAGCTACCACTTAGAGATTTAGGGCCTATGGAATATACCTGCGATCTTTCCTCTAGCAATTGAGTCTCCTTGTCACAAGACCCTTCCCTCCCGATGGAAGAGATTTCGATCTTCGAAGCTACAATGAGCGTGGATTGTGTTGACGGTGTGGAGGAGAAGTGGTCGAGTGTCGTGGTTGATGTTGGCAGCAGCTGCTGCTGGTCTTGGAGCTCAGCATCTGGTTCTCCTTCCTCGACAACAGCTGGGATGAGTACACTGGTGATGCTGCTTGGGATGGCAGCGGTAGGAGTCACAAGATCTCCTCCTTCGATTTTACCATCATCGGTAAGCTCGTCCTGCTCCCACGACTGTCGCGGTTCATCTATGTTGTCGACGCCATCATCCTCATCTTCCTCGCTCGGCGGCCCTTCGCGCGGCAGCGCCTCGCGCGGCAGCTCGCCCGCCGTCTTCTGCTGCGGCCGCGCCGCCAGGAGCCCGGTCGGGTCGTCCGCCGCCGCCGCCACCTGCCAGCCCTTCGCGCGCACCGTCTCGGCTTGTTCAGGGCAAATAGCATCAAGGGTTCGAATGATACGAGTCCACACTGGATCAGAGAGCCACGAGGAACTCATTGCAGGCTCTGATACCAATTGATAGAACCTGGGATTAGGGTTCTATCGAGAATTGGGGATTTAGGGATTTAGAACAGAATTAGGGATTTGAGAAGAGAAAGATAGAGAATCGGCCTAGGCCTTTAGAGGGATTGGGAACGAGAATTGAGAGGATTGGGAGAATAGGATTTAGGAAAGGGTTTCTTAATATTCTTCTTGACTAATTATGAATGAAGGACCAATTACATATTTATAGGGAAAGACTAGAAAAACCTAATAGACTATCCTAATATGGCTCAAAGACTAATAACCATATCTAGATAAATCCTAATAATATTAATATTTATAATTATGGTTAACCTAAAAAGTAGGTTTCCATCTGTGGGTGGGTAATTTTAGTTTCTTTTCTATGTTTTTATCTTCGGACCAAGACCTTGATCTCCAATATTCATTGAGCAATTTGTGAGATACAAGCTTCCAAAGTATGTACCATGAACTCGGATTTTGACTTAGCCAAATTCTGCCTCTTTTCTTTCCAACTTTGGTGGCTTCTTTGGCAAGTAATTGTGACTCGTAGAAGCGGCCATTTGGGATCATATCAGACATTATGTTCTTCTGTGTCGTTGTGGGACTAGACTTTGGCTTCTTATCCATAGCATCTTCTTTGCAGCCGACCTCATGAGTCTCTCCCATGTTCCTTGGCTTAATTCAATTCGTTCAATGTATTTATTATGTGATCGATCAGCTCATTCTAGGTTTCAATCCTGCCTTGTCATATGTACAGCTAAAACTGTAAACCACAACATAACATAAAGTTCCTTCCACTTTTGTCTAATTGTTTTGTTACATTTTTACACCTATCACATAACCGAGAACCCGTCTCGATTCACCTACTGATGTTGATATTCGTTGTTCTTATGTGTAGCAGTATCTGGAGGGTGTCTCTTCACGGTTCACCACATGCTGCCAGAGAGGGTGAGCTCGCAGAGGCAGAAGCCTCAAATGCTACTAAGAGCATGCCTCGAAATAATGTGATTCCAACTTCTGGCACTCCACAGGACAATCTCAAAAGAAAGCATGAACTGATCATGAATAATGAAGCTTTAATATTTCATGTTCCAATTGGTGGGTGGATAATTTTAGTTTCTTTTCTATGTTTTTATTAGCAAGAATCAGTGGCGGACCCAGAAAATTTACATAGGGGTGTCACCTTTTAAAAAATAAATTAAATAATTAATAAAAGTTAAATAATTTTAAATAAGAAAATACACGACTCGTACAAGTTAGAAAAAGTCCACGATGTGTTTTCATATTCGAAAATAATTGTAGAATACACTTGGTATGTACACTGCTCAAAAAATTGTCTCTGTATATCCTACTATACTAGACAATTATTCCCGAACTGATCGCATATTCGATTTCTAAACTTGTTCTTGAAGTTACCCAAAACTGAAACAACTCTTTCAACAATCTCCATGCAACTATAAAATCAATACAAATTAAGGATAGCTTGAAATTAGTTTAATTGTTAGGTTTTGAAAATAATTAGAGATTTTCGAGATATGTGGAGCTGGAATCAGGCATGTATGGTGAGGCATTTATGGCTGCTCCTGCTGAAAGAGGGTTCATTGTGGGTTGCTTGGATCCATACTTATAAACTGAAGGGAAGAGACCTGTGGAGTTATTCCTGCACTTCAGGTTCCTGGAATTGGCGCAAGGTGTTGAAGTTAAGAGGCAAGGTTGCCTCTTTCATCTCGACCAGCGGGGGGGAATTTCGATTCAAGAATGCTCCTATGAATACTTACTCTATCAAAAGGGTGTGGCAGACTCTGAGACCTATTCAGCAGACTGTTAGCTGGTGGAAGTTAGTCTTGAAGGGGAAAGCTATCCCTCGAAATAGGGTGATTACTTGGCTTGTAATAAGAGGAAATATTAATACTAAAGAGAGGATGAAGAGATGGGGCTATAGTGGGGGTATGGAATGTTGTCTTTGTGGAACAGGAGAGGAGGACAGAGATCATTTGTATGCTTGTTGTCCTTTCTCCCGTTGTGTGCTTGAAGCGGTTTTTGTTAAGTTTATGCAGATTCCAGTTATGCAGAGTTGGGACGAGGTAATAGGTCTGATGATGTCAAAGCTTGGTGGAGTCACAGAGGAAACTGAAACAGGGAAACTGATATGGCAGGCCTGGGTAAGTTACATTTGGCGAGAACGTTGCAGACGGTTATATTCAGCGAAGGAGAAGAGCTGTAATGTCTTAGTGAAAGAGATCAAGTCAGAAATTGAATGCCTGTTAGGGTCTCATCGAGTTCACCTGTTCTGGGATTCTTAGTCTATAGTGGTCTGTTTTGGTTTTTGTTCTGAGGTTTATTACAAACAGTTTTGTATTGATACCTAGCTAGCAGGGTGTGTTGCTAGCAACACTCTTTTGATGAATGAAACCCAATGATTCATAAAAAAAAAATAAAAAAATTTAGAGATAGAGACTGACATTTTATTGTTACTCAATGTTTAAAATCAAATAACAAATGAGTTGCAACTTAATAGAAATTATGTTTATTAATAGTAGTAGTTTTCTAGATTGTAATTATCCAACCTATCACTTATATTTCATATATAAATTAAGAAAATGAGAGTAGGATAATCTTTTTTTTTTTCCAAATTTCAGGGGTGTCACCCACTATCAATTATAATCTTTTTGTCCATACGTAAATTACCACCGGGGTTGAATAATCATTTTCCCAAAATTTAGGGGTGTCCCAGGACACCTGGGACACCCCCAAACCCCCTTGGGTCCCCCCTGACAAGAATGGTACGTACACCCACTGGACAGGTTAGTGGTTGGTAGAAGAATGATGTTTTATTAGATGTGTTTGGCTGTGAATAACCTTTTTGTTAATGGATTTAGACTTGCATTTTTATTTCAATTTTAATTTATTGGGCTAATACCACTATAACACCTGAACTATCGAAAAAATGTCACTTGTATCATATTATATTCAATATTCCATTTCTATCCTGAACCATCTTTCTGTTAGTATTGACCGGCGTTGACCATTAGTATTTAACAGAAAATATAATTAGCATTGACGTGACATCTCACATAGATTTTTTAAATACTTTCCATCTAAAATTAATAAAAAAGCAAAAAAAAAAAAAAAAAAAACTCAAATCCACTTCCTCCCTTCACCCCATTGTCGTTCCGTGCCGTTCGCCGTCCCCTTCTTCCCTGCTGCGAACCGGCCACTCCGTCCCCTTCTCCCTCTCACCTCCGCTCCACCCTCCGCATGGCATGCGCCGCCTCGAACCTTGTATTCACCTCCTCCCACTGCCACCATGTCCCTGAGATTTCTTCTTCATATTTGTTGAGTTTGAGCCATTGAGGAAAGCTCGACCCTAATCCCAACCTCATTTTTTTTGCGCTTGAGGAATCCGCAAATCCAAGCCGACAATGTCCAAAGATCCAACGATTATTAGCTAGCGACCGGGAGGGACGGTGGTCATCTGCTCGAGTTATGGTGGGATTAAGAAGGGGAAACGCGACGAGGAAGTAAGAAAGCCTAGATTCAGGCGACAATTGCGGTTGCTCTTTCTTCTAGATCGGTTTCTTCTAGGCTGGTCTACGGCGAGGGTTTGGTGCAGCTTCCCGACTGCTGGAAGCCTGAAATTTTGGTTCCTCGTGGATGGTCGAGGTCCACTGAAGCAGTAAAGAAGGAGCCCTCCCGGAACTTGGTGGAAGTAACAGAGCGCTATTTCGACCGACATTTGAGGAGAAAATTCTCGGGAGCGGCCGAGAAATTGCGAGAAGGCCGCCGCGAGGAGAGGAGAGGAGAAAAGAAAAGAAAAGAAAAACTCTTCTTCCCCCAAAAATACCCTGACGCGTCCATATTCGCATTTCGCCCCCATCCCTCCCAAGTCCCAACCCAGCTGGCAGCTCCCAACATTGCTTACATACGCGCTCGATAACATGGCGAAGCATGGAGGGAAGGATACGCTCGAGAAGATCCTCCGGAAATTCGATTGGGGAGGAGATGAGGTCACTTTGAAAGACGTCTTCAAAATTACGAAACAATTGGACTTGAAATTTGAGAAGTTGACGGAGAGAACGAGTGGAGGGCTTATGTGAGGGGAAAACTCGATGAGATAGCTAGCCGCTTGCCTCCGGCGAAGCATGGTCACGGTGGTTCGTCGGTTCCCGTGGCGAAACCAACAGTAAACACTGGCGGCAGTGAGCAGAAACCCAAGGATCAAGTTGATGATGCCAAGGAAAATGGAACCCGCGGAGGCGAGCAAGCCGACGGAGTGAAGCCCACCCAGGATCCGTCCTCGGAACCCCTCTAACAGCAGTCCGTGCCCGTAGTCAAGCAAGCCGACGTAGTCGAGCCCACCCAGCAACCCCTCCAACCGCAATCATAGCAGCTCTTGAACACTCCGGTGACGACCCAGGCCTTCTCTTTGTTTTCGGGATCAGTTGCCGGCGTGGACTGCGGTTGGAGGGGTTCCTGGGTGGGCTCGACTCCGTCGGCTTGCTTGACTACGGGCACGGACTGCTATTGGAGGGGTTCCTGGGACGGATCCTGGGTGGGCTTGACTCCGTCGGCTTGCTCGACTCCGTGGGTTCCATTTTCCTTGGCATCATCAACTTGATCATTGGGTTTCTGCCCACTGCCGCCAGTGTTCACCGTTGGTTTCGCCACGGGAACCGACGAACCACCGTGGCCATGCTTCGCCGGAGGCAAGCGGCTGGCTATCTTATCGAGTTTTCCCCTCACATAAGCCCTCCACTCGTTCTCCGTCAGCTTCTCAAATTTCAAGTCCAATTGTTTCGTAATTTCGAAGACCTCTTTCATGTACTGAATAGTTACACAATCTATTTCGTGTAAACTGTATGTGTCTGTTCATCTGGCGTAGCATTGAGCAGATCTTCTATTTCATTGAGTGCTTGTCTTTAGGGGGTGTAGTACTTCATTGCGGCTCAGTTCTCCTTTTCCGTTTTTCTGAATCCTTTCCTTCTCTACTATGATAAATGGTTTAAGCTTCTTGGAATATAATACAGTACTCTTTGGGATCTGCGTTCTGTTCATTGTTCCTAGCTTCCATCAAATGATGTTACTACTGTAGCGAGTTGTCTGTTATTGGATCTTCAATGCAGATCAAGGAGCTCTTGCCTCTTTACAGAAAGTTTGTGGATCACAGGAAACTGCCAGAGCTCAAGATGTACGATCTTTCACTATTTCAAGGGAGGGCTGAACAAAATGAGGATCATAAGGTTGTATATCTAACTCTTTTCATCAGTAACATACTTGTTCAATGAGACTCATGCTGTGTCTTGTCTCACTCCACTGTGTCATAGCTTGGTGAATTGGGGAAGAAGATTAAGCAAGATCTTGACGATGCAAAAGTTGCAGCAGAAGAAAAACAGAACTTGTATGATCAGTGTGTCAGCTCTGTTGCACAGCTGGCGAAGTCAATCAAGTAGCATGACAATAGTCGGGAAACAAGGGTTAATGATCTAGCGAAAAAGGTTAAGAAGACAAAGGCCCAAATGCAGTCAGCTTCAAAGGATCTCAAGGTCAGGAACGCTTTCTTTTTTCTGCCGGATTGCTATTGCATTGTTAACTTGTACCAACCAAAAGTCTGATACTGTGAAATGCTAAGACTTCTCTAACTGAATAACTGCATCGAGTTGTAACATGTTCTGTCTTGTTAATAGGCGCATGAGCATGAAAGAGAGAGAATGGTTTTGGAACGTGAAGTAGTCATCAAAGAGCATGCGTCATTAGAGAGTCAATCAGCTTCTCCTTGAAGGCACAAATCAATAGTCTTGATGTTGAAGTAGAAGAACAAAAAGCCAAGGTAATATCTAGACCTGGTTCAGGCTCTGTTACATGTATTATGTACATAATTGCAGGAGTATTTGAACAAGGCTACTGTTGCAGGTAACATCCATACATGGTAATTGTGATAGTGCTCAATCTGAGCTTGATTCTGTCCGCCATAAGATGAAAGAGTATGACATCCAAGTTAGTAGCATTGTCAAGGAACAGCTAAAGCGGCTGCACAAAATTACTGAGATCAAGCTTGAGCAAAAGAAGTTGGAAAATGAGGTAAATCTGTGTTCGCACTGGTACTTTGCATGCCCAATGATCTAAAACATGAAAAGAATGGAAATGGAACACAAGGATTGCTCTACTAGAGTTGAGAAACTGCTGGAGAAGCATGCCTGGATTGTAACTGAGAATCAGTTATTTGGAAGAAGAGGAACTGATTATGATTTTGAATCACGTGATCCTCATAGGGCTAGGGCGGAACTGGAGAAGCAGAGCAATCAGGGCGAGTAAAGGGTTATTGCGACAGTGCATTCTATTATTTAACCTCAGGGTTAATAATGTGAAAGCATGCAACTTTTTACCTACCTTCCTGCATAAGAATAACTAGCCTTCTGTTTAGTGCACAACACATGCTTTTCTGCAGACTTTAGATGTGCATGTTCTATTACCTAGTGATGCTTGTTCCTTAGTATTGCTTTTTTTAATATGAACCTACTGTAGTTTGGAGAAAAGGTGAACAAGAAAGTTATGGCGATGTTTGAGAAAGCTGATCTGTTAGTTCCTTGTTTTTTCATTAGACTGATTAATCACCTATGCTTCTTTGCGATGAATGGAATCTTTGCTTTGAAGTCTTATTGCATTTTTGGTGTTTCTAGCATGAGTTTTGATTAACCTGAAACATCATTGAAATTAATTTCAGCCAAATGCTTCGATGAGGGGTCATGTTGATGAATTTCTAGATGTCCATTGAAGATGCCGGATGCTTAGAATAAGCCTGGGAATAACAACGCCAGGGTCAGTTTTCTTCCCCCATTCCTTTCAGGTTTCAGAAACCCCATATAGTGTTTTATGTTTGCTCTGTTTGTTGAATTCATATTATGTAGCCTGCCCGGGAAGTCTAGCATTTCACATCCAAGTTGGCAGTGCCTAAATAGATATCTAGACTTTTACATGATTATACCGATGGATGCCAACAAGTGATGAGGCCTCTAACGATTGAATTTCATCAGTTAGTAATCCTGCATGCATTAACATGCTAATCATTGCTCATTAAGCCTTGTGAACCCAACATATTTTGGTATATAACTGTCCACTTTTCAGTGTTCTTTTTATGCATGGTGGGCGACTTTCAGTGTTCTAACAGAGATAAATGGTGTTTTCCTGATTTCAGCTCCCGTGTAGGCTAAACCAAACGGACTCCATTCTTGATAGAATTTCTCTATGTTGGCCGTTCTCTAAGGCAAGAGGGGCTATGCTTCTGTGCTATTTGGGCAGGCAGGATTGGGCCGCAAAACATCAACAGATGGCTTGCTATTACTCTATGAATCATGCAGTGGAGTACTTCAATCTTCGGGCCATTTCAACTGAAAGACTTGGGTATTATCTTCTTCTACCCCCCTCGTTTGTTCCTTGCCTGGCTAAAACTTTCTGTTGTCTTCTTAACTACCATTGCTTGAGAGCTCTTACTATACGATGTCTAGAGAAATTGTTCCATTCTAAAGGGTCACGGCTATGGAATACTCACTTTATAGTATGTAGTTGATTGAGTTCTTGATTTGATGCATGAAATTGTGGACTGGGCTGGAAATTATGCGCTGATATTGTTACGCGCTAGTTTCAGTTTACACTGTTATTTGAGATAAATTGCTTGCTATGAAACTGGAAATTTTTCTACCGTGACCCGGACCTTCTTTGTATGGAATGCTCTAAAACTGGGCTGCTCCAAAATTGTCGAATGAGTTGATGAACTTGTTTTATTATTGCATTGCAGGCCGGAGGAGCGCCTTTGGGATCATGCAGAGATATAACTGCAACTAGTACGAGTCCTCCTGACGAGGGTCTGGAACTTTTCCAGGCTCTGTTCCGTCTAGGTTAGGTTAGGGGCTCCAACTTTTTGGCCACCTCGCGTAGTGAATCTTCCCCTCCTCCGCCTCGTACAGAACGAACGTCTTCCATTAGTGTTTGTGCCTAGAATGTACTAGGCGGTTATAGGGCTCCGATCTGGAATTCCTCGTCTGATCTCCTCGGGAGTGGAAGAACCTGTAAAGTGGGGGGCGGCCCCGGGATCTACACTCCGACGCCCAAGTTAGTACGATATAGGAGAGTGTATGGTATGTAGAGAGATAAAGTAGAGAGAGAAACCTTAGGGGAAAGTGAGGAAGGGAAAGAGAAGAAGATCCTTAGTTTGGAAGGTTAGGCCTCCTTATATAGGGTTTGGGCTTCCTTGAGTGGGCTTGGGCCTAGGACGCCTTGCGGTGGGTTTAGGCCCATTTATAGTCGTGTAGGCATATTAATCCATATCCCAACAATTAGGTTCAATTTCTCCGACACACAGCAGCTGTTCAGAATCGACGACGACGATGATTTCCATTTCATCTCAGGTTGTTGCACCAGGTAGCTCGCTCGGGGTCAGCCTCTTGGATCCAGAAATTAGGGTTTCGTTTCTTTGTTGATAACTAGTGCTTCTTCTTTCTCTTCCGCGATTGGAACAGAGACCTGCTAATTTCCTCGCAAAAACCGCCGGTGCTGTAGCGGTACAAGCTTGATGGCGGGAAATTCTCCCGTAAAACAATTCCGAGAATTCTTCCCATCGGAGATTATTTTGGTTTATCTGTCTGGTTTAGCCCTCTTTGGAACCCTCTGTTCTTCAATCTCCGCCTTCCGATCCCCAATTTTCCTCCAACAGGGTTTTGTCGTTGCGATGGAGATCGGCGTAGCTTCCGTGACGGGGAGAAACTTACCGATCCCGTCGAGCAATTCCGAATCCCGTTTCAGCAACTCCGCTGCGGAGCTCACCTTCCCTGATCGCCTTTCTGTTGTACGAATCAAAGACCTTGAACACCGTTTTCTGCAGCCCTCGGCTGTGCATCCCAATCCCTCAGGGCTCTGCAGTCGGCCCTCCACTATCATCGTCGTTTATCCAGCTGGCGGTACTTCTCACGGGGAATCCGATGCCTGGTTAGGTTTCTTCTAAGATAAGACGGAAGGCTGCTTCGCGCGAATCGGGATGAAAATTTGCGGCCATGTTTCCAAAAACAGCTCTGTTGTTCAAGTGACGGGGGGGCTTCGTTTTAAATAAAAACCGGCCAAGGTTTTCCGGATCCTCGTCGACTGAGAAGCAAACTTTTCCGTTTCTTAGTCGGTCGTTTTTCAAACATTACTCATTTAGATTTAGGTCATTCCTATAACCTCTATCGTGTTCAGTATTCATCGTTTGTCTAAATGTTCCAAATTCCAGTCATAATATCATGCGCCACTAAGTCTAGCAACAACCTTCCATCATGTAATGTTGCGCCCGTCAATTGTCTTCAATCCACCATATATAAGTACGTTTACGGTCGTTATCAGTTATCATGGTTTCTCAGCAAGCTCATCAGACACTGCAGATAACATCTTGGCAAAAGGTGGAGACATCAAATACAAGCTCGATACAAATAATGTACCGAAAGTCTGAAACAGAGCATTCTTGAAGTTGTCAAAAACCTCATCTCACACTTACCATTGATATATATATATATATATAAAACATAACCTCATCTCAGCCGATACATTCATCAGTTCATCAAACTACTTAACTCACTCACAACAACCCAAACACAGCAGTAAAGAGGAGTAGTGTTGATTAACAAAAGAAGCTGCTACTGCTACTCTTACTCTTGTATCTACTTCTCTTTACAATTATTTTACAACAATCATCTATATTTTTCAAATATTATAATTATCTCTTAGACTCAACTCTTACTAATTTTTCCTCAGTTTTGATAATCGGCTTTAATATATCGGATTCGTGAGTTTTATGTAACTATCTCATGGTATGTTTAAGCCGATTGGTGCTATTCTAGGGAGAATTAATCTGTAATGGTTGAAAAGCCATTACCATTTTGTGTTGGAGTTTTAGTATGTGTTTAGGTCAAAAGATAGATAAAATGGCAGTAATGGCTGAAAAGCCATTACCATTTTGTGTTGGAGTTTTAGTATGTGTTTAGGTCAAAAGATAGATAAAATGGCAGCACTGGAACTTCCGAAGCAGGAGATGACGGATGGAATTGGATCCATATTTCTTCCACAACAAGTAATTGGGCCAAAACTCAAATTGATGGGACAGATAATTGAGACAAAAGCTTGGGCCAGGGAATTCTCTTGGCAACTAAATTTGGGGTGGAATTTTGGGCCAGGAGATTAACTGGTGGGGACGGAATTTACTTGGGGATTTGCTATTGAGAAAGGAAGAAAAGCTTTGGACGGAACCAGCTGGAGGGAAAAAAAAAAAAGAAATTTCTCTGGGCGGCGGCTATTGGAAGGAGAAGGGTATTTCTCGGAATTAGAAGAAAGAGGCACAGGTAGGGATGGCAATGGGTCGGGTTTGGGCGGGTTTTGTCAAACCCAAATCCAAATCTATGGGTTTATCCTTTAAAAAAATCGGGGTAAAATCCATTGGGTTTGAAAAACTCAAACCCAACCCAACCCGCTGGGTATCCGCGGGTTCATGGGTACCCGTGGGTTTTTGTGGTAAAAAATTTACATGAAAAATTTCTTTCAAAATAAAATTTTAACATCAATTTTCTCATACAAATTATTCATACAAAAAATACCAATCTAGAACATACAAGCAAACCGCAAATGATCAATACTAATTGTTCAAAATTAAAGATAAACATGTACAAACAACAAGATTAATTGAAATCTTCTTCCTCGTCAAATAAGTTTCTTCACTCTCCACTCCATAATATCAACTTCATTCTAAATAATTAGAAAGAACAAATTATACATGTCTCCACAAACATAAATAATATTAGTTGTTTAAAAAATATATATTATTTAGAATATTAAATATATCGGGAATGTAATTATATGTGTGGGCGGGTACCCATGGGGCGGGTTTACCTAAACCCAAACCCGACCCGGTGAATAGTGTAGCGGGTTTAAACCCGAACCCGGCCCAAAACCCGTCAATACGTGTTTTACCCGCGTTGACCGGGTTGGGTCGGGTGGATACCCGTGGGTTCGGGTTTTGTTGCCATCCCTAGGCACAGGGCGGGCAGAATTCTTGGGAAAAAGAAATTGAAAAAGCGGAGCAAAGAAGCAGCAGCGCGCAGCAGGAGCGGATCAACAATTGGCGATCAGTTTTCAGGCGGCTTGAGCTGAGTTCAACGAGAGCGATTAGTTGGTTGGATTCTCTGAACCGAACTAGTTGTGTATTGTTGATTTAGAACATGATGATCAAAACCCTAATGTTTTATCTCAATTTCGTCATGAACTAAACCCCAATTTATGGGGGAAACACCATAGGATGTAGCTATTTCTTGATTTGATGGATTGATTCGTATTTCTTTTCCTCCAATCTCTATTGCATGGAATTGCTTAATGCTTTGTGTTGACTGGCCACCAATACATTGGTTAGTTGTTAATTAGGTTATTAGCGACAGTGAAACCCTATTAACTGAACCTATTTCTTGTGACATAGTAACTTATCGAAGCGACAGTGGATTAAATAAGGTGCTACGCGGTCTTAAATAGGATATCGATCTTCAAGCTAAATAGTTAATTCATTGAGCTACGACAGTAGGATTTGAATTAATTGTTTAGTACGTAGTAATTCCCGACAGGGATAGCTAGCACATTCATGATATCCTGGCTGTAGAGGTATGGATTAAATTGATTGGAGTATGTGAATTAAATCATTTTGCTAGTAGTGAGTCCCGGTGTTTCTCCCAGAGCTTTCTCCCATTGATTTAAACCCGACACTTTAATTTGCTTGTTTAGTTAATTTTGCTAGTAGTTAATAATCTAATTAAATCATTTTCACCTATAGTTTGCTCTATTAAATCGGTAAATCTTAAGGTTGTACCAGTCCCTGAGAGACGATACCCGGACTTTCTGGTTTACTATGAGATAGGATTAAGGCATACGCTTTTGCCCTGTCAAGTTTTTGGCGCCGTTGCCGGGGACTGCCATACCTTATTTTTATTGATTTTTGTGAGTGAACTATTTTGATCTGGGTGTTAGTGTGCAGAAGAATTTTCAGGTTTGTACTCCTCGTGCATGCCTAGGAGGACGACCGGCGATTTACTGCCACTAGATCCGGAGATCGAGAAGACCTGCCTACAGAACAGGAAGCAGGTCAAGTTAGGGAAGCAGCCAACCACAACTACTAGGCCTTCCCTAACCCAGAGAGGGCAGGCTTCATCACCTGTCGTCCCTACACCACCACCACCTCGTGACATTGAGCCAGACATCATGGCAGACGAGGATTGATCAATCAGGGCTCGCTTGAATCGAAGGACTGGAGCTCGAGCTTCATGTGTTGTCATTCCGGCTGGGGATGCAAACATGGAGATTACCCCAGCCTTCATCAATATGATCACTAATGGGTACACGTTCTCAGGGGCTAGCACCGAGGATCCTCAAGAGCATCTCCGCCGGTTCGCGAGCATATGTGATACCATGAAGAGTCCCACAGTATCTGATGATGTAATCCATCTTCGGATGTTCTCATTCTCTCTGATAGGGAATGCATCACACTGGTTTCAGAACTTAACACCACATTCCATCACGACATGGGCTCAGTTTGAGAAGGTCTTTCTGGATAAATACTTCCCACCTGCCTTGGCAATGAAGAGGCAAGAAGAGATTGTAACTTTTAAGCAGGCTGATGATGAGAGTCTGACTGAGGCATGGGAGCGCTATAAGGGGCTATTGATGAGATGCCCAAGCCATGGTCTTGAAGATTGGAACGTGATCATTATTTTCTTCAATGGAATCAGAAGAGAGTTCCGGGATGCCCTGAATAATGCTTCGCGAAATGGTTTCACAAGAATGGAAGCACCAGAAGCATATGATCGGGTAGAGAAGATCTGTTCAGAAGCCACTGAATGGGGTAGTGAGACCAGTATTCGAAGGAGAGGAGGCTTGCATGAGATAGACAGAGTTGCAAGTTTAGAAGCAAAGATTGATGCTAAGCTGGATTCCAAGTTCGATGCACTCGAACGAAGGCTGGCTAAGATGGCTTTTGGTAGACAGGAGGAGGTTGCTTTTTTTGAATTATGTGAAGGTGCTCATCATAGGGATCTATGTCCACTGGTGGCTGATCAGTTGGAAGATGTGCACTATATCAACAATCAGCGAAATCAAGGTCAGGGTGGTATGTATTCAAATACCTACAACCCGCAATGGAGAAAGCATCCTAACTTTTCCTGGGCGAACAACAACCCAACTAGTGTTCGAAACATCCCACCTCCTGGTTTTCAACAGCAGTAGCCTCAACCAGAGAAGAAGCCCCAGCTAGAGGAGTTGATTTTTGGCTCATATGCAGAAAACAGACAATAATTTCAAGGGCCTGGATCAATTTGTCACTCAACAGCTAGCCATCAACAATAATTTACAATCTTCTATGCTAGCTATGGAGAGGCAGATGGGACAGATGGCTCAAACTTTGGCAGATATGCAAGGTAGGATTCCTGGGACATACCAGCAAATACTGAGAGGAATCCGAAGGATGCCATGGTTGTAGCAGTGACATTGAGGAGTGGAAAGGCCTTGGAAGACCCTAGCAGCTCGAAAAAGGCACCAGAGGCAGAAGAGGAAGCACCGGGAGAAAGATCTTGTGCAGAAAATGAAGAATCAACCTTGCACAGGCAAAATGAAAGCAGTTTGCCTGTGCAAAAGCATGCTGCCCGTGTAAAACCAACAGGGGAAAATGCGAAAAGGGAGGAGCTAAAACGTTATGATCCACCCGCACCATTCCTTCAGAGGTTAATGAAGCCCATGGAAGACCCAAACTTCAAGAAATTTGTGAATATCTTCAAGCAACTTCAGATTAACATACCCTTGGCGGAGGCACTTGAACAGATGCCTACATATGCTAAATTCTTAAGGGAGTTGTTGACAAAGAAGCGGAAATGGGCTGATCTAGAGAAGGTAACCCTTACTTCTGAATGTAGTGCTGTGATTCAGAATAAATTACCAGAAAAGAGGGATGATCCGGGCAGCTTCACCATTCCATGTGTCATTGGAGGTACAGAATTCAATAAATCACTTTGTGATCTTGGAGCAGGAATTAATTTGATGCCATACTCAGTATACAAGAAATTGAGATTGAGAGATGTTCTTAAGCCTACTCGGATCACTCTCCAATTGGCTGATCGATCAGTGAAAATTCCAAAAGGAGCGGTGGAGAATGTATTGGTGAAGGTTGGGAAGTTTATTCTCCCAACAGATTTTGTTATTCTGGAGATGGAAGAAGATCGGGGAGTGCCTCTAATTCTTGGGAGACCTTTTCTAGCAACTGGAGATGCACTCATCGATGTTGGGAGAGGCAAGTTGACATTCCGAGTAGGTAAGGAGGAGGAAATTTTTAATGTCTTTCAAGTTGACCATAATCATGATGAATTTGAAAGTGGAGCTCGAGAAAGGAAAAATCCCTCTTCCTGTGATAGTGGACCATCCGAAGAACTATCACCTATCCTATCAGCTCAGATTATGAAATCAAAGCAAGGGCAGAAATCCTTGCCAGGTCACCTCAAGTATAGATATTTGGGTAAGGATTTCAATCTTCCTGTTATTATTCATTCTTCACTGACATTGAAACAGGAAGAGTACCTGCTTGAGGCACTACAGTACCACCTACGCCTCACTAAAAGGTCTAACATGCCAGCTAAGAAGGTCATACCCAATTTTCGCACACCTGGCCCTGCAGAGGTGACTCATATGCTGGATGGAGGTTATGCGTTCTATCATTGCTCGGGAGGGTATTCTGGATACCTTTCCATACCCATTGGTTGAAAGCTCCATGAACGTCAGGCTGATGACGTTAAACAAGCGCTTCTTGGGAGGCAACCCAAGGTAAGTTTTCTTTTCTTTATTTTTCTTTTTAGTTGTGTCAAACCCGTGCATGTTTAGATTAGGAGTTGAACATTAGGGACTATGTTCCATCCAAAGTTTGGGGTGGCGAGTCTTAGTGTTTGTTTGTTCCTTTTGTCATGTGGTCGGTAAAAAAAAAACAAAAAAATTTGCCATGAGGTTGAGCACAGCCAAACTGCATGCAGTTTGCCTGTGTAAAAAGCAGTCTGCCTGTGCAAAGCTAATGGCTAAAAAACACCTAAAAATCATAAAAATTAAAAACAAAACCTTGTACTCTTGTGGTAACATGATGTAAATGACCGTGATGCCTTGAAAATGAGTTTGTGCTTGAATGAAATCATCGAAATCACCCCACTAGTGTTGAATTGCATAGTTCTTCACAATGAGCTTGAATGTTTTGATTGACTTGATATGCTTTGAATGAGCAACTCTTTTAGCAACATTCTCTTTTGTGAGGATAGTGTAATGACTTTTGGTGAAGTAGTTAGGTGGAGAACATTGACCATTCGACATGTTTGGATACCGTGCTTACTTGCATCAATTGTGAGTTTTGATTTGGCAACGAGTCTCTCTGTTTTGAATGTTTTATGATGGGGTGAACTGTATCTTCATAAAAGAAAACACTACCTGACAAGTAAAAGATAAGAAAGTTGCCATAACAATTAAAGTGTGGGTAAAAATGTCAAAATCGTGTGAGGCAATCACTCATTGCACATGGGGATTAGGAAAGATTCAATTGAGAATCGGTTCGTGACCGTACGATGTTGCTTATCAAGTACGATCCCCAGTTGAGTGAAGTGCCATTAGAGGATGTGCAGTGACCCTCCACATGGACCGAGGAAAAGGAGTTAAAAGAAGCCCTTATGCGAGTCGATTCTGTGTCATAATTTTGGATGATTATGTGTTTTTGTTGTTTGAGTCGTTGCTTAGGGACAAGCAACAATTGAGTGTGGGGTTGTGATAATCGGCTTTAATATATCGGATTCGTGAGTTTTATGTGACTATCTCATGGTATGTTTAAGCCGATTGGTGCTATTCTAGGGAGAATTAATCTGTAATGGTTGAAAAGCCATTACCATTTTGTGTTGGAGTTTTGGTGTGTGTTTAGGTGAAAAGATAGATAAAATGGCAGCACTGGAACTTCCGAAGCAGGAGATGGCGGGAGGAATTGGATCCATATTTCTTCCACAACAAGTAATTGGGCCAAAACCCAAATTGATGGGACAGATAATTGAGACAAAAGCTTGGGCCAGGGAATTCTCTTGGCAACTAAATTTGGGGTGGAATTTTGGGCCAGGAGATTAACTGGTGGGGACGGAATTTACTTGGGGATTTGCTATTGAGAAAGGAAGAAAAGCTTTGGACGGAACCAGCTGGAGGGAAAAAAAAAAAGAAATTTCTCTGGGCGGCGGCTATTGGAAGGAGAAGGGGATTTCTCGGAATTAGAAGAAAGAAAGAGGCACAGGGCGGGCAGAAGTCTTGGGAAAAAGAAATTGAAAAAAGCGGAGCAAAGAAGCAGCAGCGCGCAGCAGGAGCGGATCGACAATTGGCGATCAGTTTTCAGGCGGCTTGAGCAACGAGAGTGATTAGTTGGTTGGATTCTTTGAACCGAACTAGTTGTGTATTGTTGATTTAGAACATGATAATCAAAACCTTAATGTTTTATCTCAATTTCGTCATGAACTAAACCCCAATTTCTGGGGGAAACACGTAGCTATTTCTTGATTTGATGGATTGATTCGTATTTCTTTTCCTCCAATCTCTATTGCATGGAATTGCTTAATGCTTTGTGTTGACTGGCCACCAATACATTGATTAGTTGTTAATTAGGTTATTAGCGACAGTGAAACCCTATTAACTGAACCTATTTCTTGTGACATAGTAACTTATCGAAGCGACAATGGATTAAATAAGGTGCTATGCGGTCTTAAATAGGATATCGATCTTCAGGCTAAATAGTTAATTCATTGAGCTACGACAGTAGGATTTGAATTAATTTTTTAGTACGTAGTAATTCCCGACAGGGATAGCTAGCACATTCGTGATATCCTGGCTGTAGAGGTATGGATTAAATTGATTGGAGTATGTGAATTAATTTGGATATGATAGGTAGTGAGTCCCGGTGTTTCTCCCAGAGCTTTCTCCCATTGATTTAAACCCGACACTTTAATTTACTTGTTTAGTTAATTTTGCTAGTAGTTAATAATCTCATTAAATCATTTTCACCTATAGTTTGCTCTATTAAATCGGTAAATCTTAAGGTTGTACCAGTCCCTGAGAGACGATACCCGGACTTTCCGGTTTACTACGAGATAGGATTAAAGCATACGCTTTTGCCCTATCAATTTTACAAATAGTTTCTTATAAGTTATAACAGAACTTAAAAGTAGCATCGACATTCTAAGAAAAAAATTACATTATATTACGAACTTTATATATGATTATCCTGTGATGATACAGATGGATGTATCTTGCACGGAATGCAAGTTTTAATGTCATATTATATCTCTATCTACTTTTGTCAAAAAAAAAAAATATCTCTATCTACTTTTATTACGAGGATGATAATTACTATGTTGTCGAGACAAATTGAAACCTTCTGCTCGGATACCACTAAGTCATTACATTTTATATGTAAAATTTATAGTTTTATAGACTAAACTTTTTCAATAAAATCTCACTTGTATGCAGGCGGCATACCCCAAAACTTGCTGCTTACCTCTTTTCAACAAAAATATACACAAAATTCATAAACAAAAATTATTCCCTTCATAATTATATTCCTCAGTGAACCAATTCATACACAAAAATATTTCACCACACAAATTCAACCCAAAGCTAATCTTAATTAAGCAGTCGAACATGACTTCAGCACGAAGTCATCAATCGGCAGCTTATCCTCCGGAAATGGACAGTCCCCTGCCTTCTCCGGCAACGCGTCGCACGGCTTCGGCGTCACCCGGCTCGTCGTCCCGGAAACATTCGTGCAGTTCCACTGCAGCTCCCGGGCCGCCGGGCCCAAATTCAGGGTCACGTTCGAGATGCAGATCCCGGTAAAGTGGGCTTTCTCGAGCCCATCGAGTATGGCCGAGACGGTGACGTTTTGGGCCACCACGTCGCGGTAGTTGATGTTGTGGACCACGGGCAGGGCGTTGGGGTCGAACCCGCCGTCGGCGTGGGACTTGTAGGCGCCGGACATCCAGAACACTTTCTCCATCCCGCTCATCGTCATCCTCCGGGCGAAGATGTCCTTCACGTACCCGCCCCGGCCCACCGCCGTCTTGATCCGGATGCCCGACTGGCAGTTGATCGCGGTCACGTCCTCGATCCGGACGTCCTGGATACCGCCGGACATCTCGCTGCCGAGCGCCACCACGGCGCTGTCCGGCGAGACGCACGTCACGCGCCGGATGGCGAGCTGCTTCGTCGGCTTCCCCACTTTGATGCCGTACTGGTCGATCCCGCTCTTCACGGCGATGCAGTCGTCGCCCGACGCTATGTAGCAGTCTTCGATCCGGATGTTGGTACAAGAATCTGCTCAGCCACAAGTGAGATCAATGTTCTATTTGCCTCTTTGTTTAACAAATTTCTTTTTTCTTTCATGTCATACTTACTAGCCAGGCATATGGTCGACTCCCCTAGCTAACAACACATTTGAATTTACGACAGCACAATATTGTAATAAGCTTTACCAACCTGGATTGATGCCATCCGTGTTGGGGACTTCAACTGGAGCCAGGATGGTCACCCCTTGGATCACCACATTGCTGCCAAAAAAAATTAATTGGTGGATCAAATTTAAGGAAAGTGGAATTTTATGAAGATGGAAAAGTGCCGGGGAACTCAATTCATTAATTAATTGGTAGATCAAAACCTGCAATAAACGGGGTGGACATGCCACATTGGGGAATTGGTGAAGGTAACGTTGGAGATTTGGAGCTGATCCGTACTCTGAATCTCCACCAAGAACGGCCGGGCGTCCTTGAGTTTCTTGTTCTTGAAATCATCCCACCAATTTGCTCCCTGGCCGTCGATGGTGCCGTTGTTCCCCGTGATCACGACGTCGGTGAGGTTGGCGCCGAAGAGAAGGCTGGCGTGCCTGGCGCCGGTGGAGCCATCCGCCGCTGTGCCGAACGAAGGCAGGGGAGCCACCAATGGCCAGTCTTCCATGTTCTGCATGTACGCAATTAAAAAAAAAAAAAATCATAGTGGAAATCCGAATTGAGATTTGGAAAAAAGGGAGATAATATATTTGTTAACCTGGGAACCAAGGATCACGGCATCCTTGTGGAGGAAAAGGGTGAAATGGCTGGTGAGATTGAAACTCCCCGTCAGCCATTTCCCCGCCGGCACGATCAGCTGCGCTCCGCCGTCGGCAGCGAGCTGGGACAGGTTGGCGACGGCGGTTTCGAACGCCTTGGTGTTCAGCGTCTTGCCGTCCCCCACGGCTCCGAAATCCGTTAGGACCGCCGTGTGTTTGCGGCAGTTTATGGCGGAGTACTGCACCGGTGCTGGATCTGCACGACCGGACGGTGATGCCGACACCAGTAGGATTATTACCACGCCGAGAATCTGAAATACCTACATAGAGAAATCGCCGATCAATCAGATTAATTCTAGTCGATATCATCTCAGGGAGGGGAAAAAAAACGTTAGAGAGAAAGTCCGGAGGGGTAACCATTTTTTTATGTGTTGTATAATTACACGATCTTATTACTTTCTCTTTCTCTACTTTGGTTTACCACGACTGTATATAACTATATATGACCAATTTTCCGGGTAAAACACACCACTAAAATATGAGAATTGATGAAACTCTACCACTTAAATAAGAATAGAGTATTGGGAGCAGTAAATAATCATGCGACATCCAAGTTCTCAACCCTCCGACCTCCGCGCCATCTCCGCCATCCGCCGAGACTTGGGATTCAACAACACCACCTCTTTAGATTTTCGGGAGAAAGCCCTTTCCAACGGCGGCGATTTCTGGGAGAATTCCCATCGTGGAAGACCGGAGCGGTTACGGGAAGAGAAACTGTCCGGGGGTCCTTAGCCACTTTAGATTTTCAACCCGCCCACTAATGTCGAGCGTCTCTCTCGCTCGGAGAAGGTCTGTCCAGGGTGAGCGATTGCAGAGCGCTCTATAACAACGGATGTGTGGTGTAAAACCCTAACTTGATTTCTCATTGATCATCTTTCGGGTTTTATACAAGGAAATGGAGGAAGAAGACAAGCTTCTGTGAGCTGTCGATTACAGCAAAGGAAAAAGGAGAACGGAGTTCAGAAACGAAAGTACAAGGAAGAAAGTGACACTCTGTCTGTCTCTTGGTCACAACAACGGCGTATCGACCTTCTGCTTCCCTTTGTCCCGAGACGACGTCGTTGGCTTCAATACACTCGCCCTTCCTGAAACGATGTCGGACCAGCTGGGCCTGCAAGTAGCCGTTGTGATTAAAATCGGGTTTTGGGGATTTTCATCTGATACCCCCTCACAAGCTGGTGGGCACAGATTGTGCACACCAAGCTTGGAGAGAAGAGTAGAAAATGTCGTAGGTGGCAGAGCTTTGGTGAAAAGATCGGCCAGCTAGTGAAGAGAAGAGACATGGAGTAGCTTGATTGTTGCACTCTGGAGCTTTTTGCGCACGAGGTGGCAATCAATTTCGATGTGCTTCGTGCGTTCATGAAAAGTTGGATTCTCTGCGATATGGATAGCAGATTGGTTGTCGCAGTAGAGAATTGCAGGCATTGAATGTGAAACTTGGAAGTCTCGGAGAAGGTATAGCAACCATTGAAGTTCACAGGTGGCATCGGCCATGGCCCGGAATTCAGCCTCACAGGAAGAACGTGAGATGGTCTTTTGCTTCTTGCTGCACCAGGAGACCAGGGAAGAACCCAAATAGATGCAATAGCCAGTGATAGAGCGGCGTGTATCCATATAGGTGGCCCAATCAGAGTCACAAAAGGACTTGAGATGGAGATCAGAGGATGCTGAGAAGAATAGACCAGTTGATGGAGCCGATTTTAAGTACCTCAAAACTCTGCCCACAGCTTGAAAGTGTTGGTTGCTGGGGTTTGACATGTATTGGCTAAGCTGTTGGGTAGCAAAACTGATGTCAGGTCTGGTGGTGGTGAGATAGATCAGTTTGCCAACAATTCTTCTGTAGTATGAAGGATTTGGATAGGGATCAGAATGGTTGGCAGAAAGATGGAGCTTGTAATCCATGGGAGTGGAGACTGGTTTGGAGAGCAGAACTTCACCCTCTTCGAGGATCTCAAGAGGTACTTCCTTTGAGACAAATGAATGCCTGATGAGTTCCTGGCAACCTCAATTCCAAGGAAAAACTTGAGGGGACCAAGGTCTTTGATGCTGAAGGTGGTGTGAAGGAACTGTTTGAGGGTGTTTATCTCTGTCAGATCAGTGCCTCCTACAACAAGGTCATCCACATATACCAGAACACAGGTGAAATTCGAACCATTGGACTTATGGAAAAGAGAATGATCAACCTGGCTTGGTGTGTAGCCAAGACTAGTGAGACTATCTGCAAGCTTGGAGAACCACTGCCTTGAAGCTTGCTTAAGGCCATAGAGAGATTTCTTTAACCTGCGGGTGGAGCTTTGTATCCTTTTGGAAGCTTCATGTATACTTCCTCAGTGAGATCTCCATGAAGGAAGACATTGTTCACATCCAGTTGGTGAACATGCCAGGATTTGGCTGCTGCAATTGCTAAGAAGAGTCTGACTGTAGTCATTTTAACCACTGGGGCAAAGGTGTCTTGGTAATCAATGCCCTCCTGTTGATTATACCCTTTGGCAACCAGTCTTGCCTTTTCTCTCTCAAGACTGCCATCAGAAAGGAACTTGTATTTGAAGATCCATTTGTTGCCAAGAGGTTTCCTATTGGCAGGTAAGCTCACAACATCCCAAGTTTGATTCTGTTCAAGAGCATCAATCTCGTGATTGATTGCTTGATTCCATTCTGGTCTTTGTGCAGCTTCTTCATAAGTCTCAGGTTCTTTGTAACATGAGATGTTAAGAATGAATTTGAGATATGGTGGAGACAATGAATTGTAATCAAGTACATCAGAAAGAGGGTAGGTGATACCTGGAACATGTTGCTGAAGAGAATGACTGGAGGAAGAAGCCTGCTGAAGTAGGTTGCAATGGTAGTTTTGGAGTTTAGATGGTTGTCTAATAGTTTTGGTGGGTTTTCTGATAGCAATGGGAAGGTCTGTGGGAGGAGATTGATTGGTAAGGGGCTGAGGATCAGGAGGAGGAGAAGGTGGGGGTGATGGTACTGGGGGAAGTTTGTGTGGAATTGGTTCTGGTGTGTCAGAAGAGAATGGGAGTGGGTAGGTGTAGGTTGGTGGAGAGGGTACTGAATGGGAAGATGAGGAAGGGGTGGAATGGAATGGAAATTCTGTTTCATAGAAATGGACATCCCTAGAGGTGAATATATCATGGGTCATCATATCATATATCCTGTACCCTTTGATTCCTGGAGTGTAACCCAGGAAAACACCTTTTCTGGCTCTTTCTTGGAACTTAGTTCTATGGCTGGTAATGGTGGAAGCATAGCAAAGGCAGCCAAAAACTTTTAAGTCTTGTAGATCAGGTGGTTTGTGGTGGAGTTTTTCATAGGGGGTTAGGTTGTTAAGAACTGGGGTTGGAACCCTATTGATGAGAAAGACAGCATGCTTGACACAGTCTCCCCAGAAACCAATTGGAAGGTTTGCCTGGTATTTTAAAGCTCGAGCTATAGCTAGGATATGTTGGTGTTTGCGCTCGACTTTGCTGTTTTGTTGGGGTGTCTCTATGCATGACATTTCATGTATAATTCCAGTTTGGTCAAAAAAATCTGTCATTAGGAATTCCTTCCCTTGGTCACTTCTAATTGTTTTAACAGAACAGGAAAACTGGTTTGTGACCATTGTGCAGAAGTTTTGCAATTTTGGTCTGGCTTCTGCTTTGGATTGAAGAAGAATGAGCCAAGTCATTCTGGAATGATCATCCACGATGGTAAGAAAATATTTAAAACCATCATATGTAGGAGAAGAGTTTGGACCCCAGATGTCTACATGTATGAGTTGAAAACAAGTAGTAGTTACAATTGTGCTTGATGGAAAAGGAAGCCGTTTTTGCTTTGCAAAATGGCAAACATCACAGGGTAATAAACTGTTGGTTTTTATGGAATCACAAAGAAGTTTCAACTGTGGTATTCTGCTATGGGAGACATGTCCAAGTCTGAAATGCCAAATGTCAAAAGTGGGGGAACTAATAGCTGCTGTGATGTGGTTAGGTGTACTATCTAAAGGAAGATTGAGGTGGTAAAGGCCATGGAGGAGCTTAGCAGAACCAGTCACTCTCCTCAGCTTCAAGTCCTGTATAGTGCAAGAATCAGAAGAGAAAGTTAAGCTGAGAGGGCTGGTAGTTGTGAGCTTGCTCACTGAGAGTAGGTTGAAGGTGAATTTGGGAACAAAAAGGACATCTTGAAGAGTCAAACCATCAAGGCATTTGATTTGACCTTTATGTGTGGCCTGAACTCTATCACCAGTGGGGAGATTTATGAAAATATGATGTACTTGTTGTGAATTGGAAAGAAAGGAAATGGAATTGACAATGTGGTCAGTGGCACCAGTATCGATGATCCATGGAATGACTGTGCCAGTGTGATGAGTGATATTGCAGGAAGGGTTACCTGATGAGCCAGATGTGTAATGAGTGGTAAGAGCTGCTGAGTGGGAGGACTTGCCCTTCATGGTCTCATTCATGAGAGACATCAGTTTGTCATAGTCTGTCTTTGTGAGTTTGAACTCCTGGACAGGTTCAGGTGAAGGGTGACTGTCAGCAGTATTGATAGAGGACCTTGGTCTTGGAGGACCTGGAGATCTGGGTTGATAATTATCTATGGGTTGATAATTATCCAGTTCATCTTGCAAGGCAATGAGATTCTCATAGTATTCAATCACAGATTGGTTACCTTGCTTGATGTTGGCAATGGCGCCAATCTGTTTTGCAACTCGAATCATGTCCCATTGGCCATAGCGTGATTTGAGGCTTTGCCAAGCTTCAGAGGCAAGTTTGCAGGACATGATGGTTTTCTTGATGAGGGGATCGACTGCCTGTTGGATCCAACTGAGGACCATGACATTGTTTCTTGTCCAGGAAGAAAAGGAAACATCTGTTGGGGCAGGGGCCACGATTGTGCCATGGATGAAGCCAAGCTTGTTCTTGGCGGCCAATGCGTTGAGCATAGCCTTGCTCCAGTCGTTGTAGTTGGTGGTGGTCAGCTTCTCACCTACCAACAGTAACCCTGGTTGATCAGAACCATGAAGAAAGAAAGGATCCGACATGGGATCCATGTTTGGATGTGCTTCTTGAGCGGCCATTTGGGAGGCGGCGGCTAGGGTTGCTCTGATACCATAACAACGGATGTGTGGTGTAAAACCCTAACTTGATTTCTCATTGATCATCTTTCGGGTTTTATACAAGGAAATGGAGGAAGAAGACAAGCTTATGTGAGCTGTCGATTATAGCAAAGGAAAAAGGAGAACAGAGTTCTGAAACGAAAGTACAAGGAAGAAAGTGACACTCTGTCTGTCTCTTGGTCACAACGATGGCGTATCGACCTTCTGCTTCCCTTTGTCCCGAGACAACGTCGTTGGCTTCAATACACTCGCCCTTCCTGAAACGATGTCGGACCAGCTGGGCCTGCAAGTAGCCGTTGTGATTAAAATCGGGTTTTGGGGATTTTCATCTGATACTCTATGAGTTCCGTCCAAGGGCGGCGTTGGGCGGAGCCCTGGCCGGCGGAGGAGGAGCGGCGGGAGATGAAGTTGCGCACGGCCGGCGTCGCGATTGGAGGCTGGGTTTCGGGCTAGGACGTGAGGTTCGTCACCGGAGTGGCGAAACAGCCGTTTTTTCTAACGGTAGCAACCCTCAAGAGATCCGCCAGTTACAATTCCAGGGAAGTGTGGTGGTTACGTTGCACTAGCGGCGGTTCAGATATGTAGTCCCTCTCCTCTATATTCTTATTATTTCTCTAGTTCCTTTATAATTATCCTCCCAATTTATATTTTTCAATTATTCTTTCCATACTTTCCTCCTTAATTTCATTATTTATTTGTTCCCATTAATATAGTTTCAAACTCTTTTTCTTTTCCTTTCCTTAACTGTTCGTATATAGCAACTTTTCATTAACTATACAGTAAAAAAAATTAAAAATTATTATTCTTTTGACATTGTTAGCTTTGGATTCGGAGTATCCGACTAAGCCTCAATGGCTTGTTTAAGTCCATTCGGTGGAGCTTAGTTGTCCTACAGTATAGGCGCTTGTGTGTTTGTTTGTTTTGCAGGGGCACCTAGTTTTCCCTCGACCATACAAGAATCCATCCATTAAGCTTCTCAGTGAAAGTTGGCACGGGCCCACAATTGTTGGCGGTTCTGCATGCACATGGCAATGGGAATGGATACTCTGCTTTTGCTATTGACAAGGATGACCTATCCTCTGGATTTGGCACGTGTTGTATACCCGCTTGTATCCTTTGTTGCTTTTCTTAGGATACTGACAGAGCTGTCCATTTAGTGGCTAAACAGGCTCTTTTATCGGCGGATTGATTAGCTATCGACCGCCGCATTTGGTTATTTCATTTTCTACATATTTGTAAGCATACTACATTGTACACCTACCTTTATTTTTATACACCTATCTATGACAAAAAAAAAAATAAGAATAGAGTATTACGAGATAAAATACCTCGTGTACCATTAAATTGGAGAATTGTGATAGACATACCACTTAAATTTGAATAGGGCGTCAGATACTATTAAATTCACCAAAATGTGCATCCGTCTAGTTTTTCATCCAACCAAAACTGTTAATTACTTTTTGATACCTAAAAATTTTAAAAACATCCAAAACTATAAGTCAACAAGTTTTATCTAATATAAAAATTACAAAACCTTCTAAACATAGTATTACTAGAATGGCTGATCAATTTTTTTTAATAAAATAAATAAATTAGTAAAAAATAATAAACGAATATCAAGAAAAATAATAAATATACTTGAAGATAATAATAAATATGTAAAGATCTATTTAAACCACTAATTCAATTAGAAGCACCATTAAAAATAGTTAAACAGAACCTATTAAAAATTTGGTTTGGTATCAAAGTCTTCAAAAGAGGATTCCAACTAAACATAATTCATAGGATATATTTTCTTCAGGGAATAGTTAAATTATTAGAACACAAAATGATAATTGAAAACTTATAATAATAATAATTGATTCTAAATTTTCTATTCAAAAATTAGTTTGATATCATGTCCTCGCAAAGAGGATTCCAACTAAACAATAATAACTGATGTTTTTCATAAGTTCATATGATCTTTTACTATAAGAAAAGTACAAGGACCAATTATGAAATTTAGGAAAAAAATATTCCAAGAATATTCTGTCAACTTTAACGGAATGCAGTTAACAATGAACTTAAGTGGTACCGGGTGCACATATAATAGAGTTCAACAGTTCGCGGTGCCCTATTCTTAGTTCAGTGGTTTAGCTCCCCCAATTCTTATACTTTGGTGGTATCCAATGTATTCTACTAGAAAATTACGTATTACTGAACTCTATTATATGTGTAAAGTTGACAGAATATTTTTGGAATATACCATTTTTTAAATTTCACAATTGATAGTGCTTTTCTTATTGTTAAAATATTTTACACTTATGAAAAATATTATTTTTTATTGTTTCGTTGGAATCCTCTTTTTAAGACTCTGATATCAAACTAATATTTGAATAGAAAATTTAGAATCAATTATTATTATGTGTTCTAATAATTGAATTATTCACTCAAGAAAATATATCATATGAATTATGTCTCGATATAAATCTAATCATCTGAGAATGTTATATTTAGTTCTCTTACATCATTTTGATGTTGTCTATTTTTCCATGTTAAATCTCCTTGTAGTTCTCTAATATTATATTGTAGATATTTCATATGAATTAATTTACTAATCCTCTTCCTATAGTCCTATTTTCTTTTCTAGATTTATTACTAAATGTTGTAGTTTTTATAGTTTACTTATAACTTGGTTATATATTTAATTATTGGAATATATTTAATTCATTATGATTCTGTTCCATTTATCATTCTTTGGTCTTGCTGTATAAATGGTCGACTAGGTTATATTTTAACTATTTTCAGTGGTGCTTCTAATGAATTAGAGGTTTAAATAGTTATTCTAATATTGATTTTAAATATTCATTATTATCTTCTAGTATATTTTTTATTCATTCTTGATATTCGTTTATATTTTTACTAAGTTATCTATTTTATTGAAAAACTTTCATTAGTCGTTCTAGTAATACTATGTTTATAAGCTTTTCTAATTTTTATATTAGATAATACTTGTTTAAATATAGTTTTGGATGTTTTAAAAAATTTTGTATACAAAAGTTAACTAAATTAAGGAAAAGTTTAGATTGGATGGAAAATTAGACGGATGCATCTTTTGGCAACATTATTGGTACCCGGCGCACTATATAAAATTAAGTGATATGTCTACCCCAATTCGCAAATTTAATTAATACCGGATATATTTACCCCAATTTTCCGGTACCATATATATTCTTTTGCTCAGTTTCACTTTTAAATAACCCCCACCCTTTAAGATGTTAAGATTTTTACAAAGAGAAAGCAACTAATTACAAACACGTACGAGAAAACATTATTAGCCTTGCATTTTAAACCGTTAGTTCTTTTTATAAAATGGGCAACGGATAGGCCATGAAATTCATACCAATGCTAGGGGTGTGCAATGGTCCGGTCCGTACCGGACCACACCGGATCAAACCGTTGTTAAGACCGGACCGGACCAAATCGAGTAAAATGCGTTCCGGTTCTTGGTCCTCATGAATTTTATAATTACTGAAGAAATGATGGACCGGACCGAACCGGACCAAATGGACCAAATGCAAGAATGGTCCGGTCCTTGATCCTAACATGTCTTTCACTAATGGACCGCGGTTCTCATGAGTTTGGTCCGGTTCACCGAACGGAACCGTTGCACACCCCTACCAATGTAGCACAACTAAAGCCCATCTAGAGTTCGACACTCGAGCTTCCATGGGCCAGCCCAATTTTGGAAAACCTTCTGAATAGAACCCAAGATAATCACTGATCCGCAGACCGCAATGCTTTCCTCCATCGCTGACTGAACACTTAGACGTAGTTAACGAATTTTCTCTTTTCCTCAAATCATGCAACGAATGGGGAATATTCCCTGTCCTAGTCAGTAGGATGACCGACGTTGGAGGCCACCGTGGCGCGACGAACTCTCTCGAAGAGAAAATCCAGCTCGACCGAAACGTCGTCTGCCAATGTCAAACAACGACATATATCTTCTTTTTGTTTCCCTAATCATCTACCAATAAGTATAGATCAACATATACAAGAAGAACTTATCAAATGGGGATCAGATGACACTTTCTTTTTGAACCCCAATATAACAAAATGACGAGTGCACACCTTTAATTGCTGAAGAATGGCAGAAGGATCCGACTAGAGGTACGAAAGAAAAAAAAAAATCAAGGGCTGTGAAACCAGACTTATACAATGGAGCAAGTCTGCCATTGGGGACATTAAGACACTAAAACAGAAAGCAGAAGCAGCTCTAGCAGCCATAGCAGAAAGGAAGAAAAACATGATACTCATTTTGCAGAGAAAGGTCCTAGAGAAAGAATTAACTGAGCTAATACATGGAGAAGAAATGGTGCAAAAGTAGAGATCTAGAGCGGACTGGTTGAAGAAGGGGTATAAAAACACAAAATTCTTTCACGAAAAAATGACTGACTGACTGACAAGAAAGAAGTTGACAGGACCAGATGAGATAAAATATGTGGGACAAGAAGCAGTAACAGAGAGCATACTGACCTACCTAAACACCATATACTCTGCAGGACCATTACCACAAACATAGGAATACTACAACCAATTTAGAAAAAGGTTCCTGATGTGATGAACCAAGATCTTTTGAAACATTTCCAAAAAGATGAATTATGGTATACTCTAAAGACAGCGGCGGATCCAGAACACAGAAGTGCACTGGGCCGCATTTTATTAGAAAATTAGAATAGTAAAAAAATATAACGATTATGATTTTTTTACAATGTAAATTGTACACGATGGTATTTTAATTTAGTGAATGCATTAATAACGGAGTCCACATCCATACCAATAGTATACACTGTTTCAAATAAAATACTTGAGCAATCGACTAGAAATCCAATGCTCATTTTGTTGCGCAAATCAATTTTCACATGTTTCGTTGTTGAAAAGGTTCTATTTGTATTAGCTGTTGAAACGAGCAGCATCAACACTAGACAAATCAATCTACTAATCAATTTGCATTGTGTTTCCATCCCTATATCCACCAGCTGCTCTAGTAAATTTTCCAAGGTAACAAACCTCATATATATTTTAGTCTTTTACGTTTTAAACTTTTTGAATTTTTAGGTTTCGTTGTTTATTTAGACGAATAACCTTTGGGGTTAGAATTTATAAGCTAAATTTAGAGTAGTGATTTTGAATATGTTCATTTGAATTATTTTTCTAATTATACCCAATCTTATTTTAAAATAACAACGCCTAAATATCTAAAATCGAAAAATTCATAAGACCTATACTAACTAAGGATCCAGAGGAGGGCTGGGCCGGGGCCCGGGGTGGCCCACCCCTGGATCCGCCACTGTCTAAAGATAATGGTTCCTACCACTCTTTCAGGTTCAGATGGTATGTCTGCGTTATTTTTTTCAGAATGATCGATTAATAATTGGTCTTAGAGTTGCAAACTATGTTGGCACAAGGTGTAGTGTCACTCAATCTTAACCAAATATTGATAGCAATTATAAAAAGAATCAAGAAACCATATAGTTCTTTAGACTTCAGGCCGACTATTTATACAAGGTTTTATACAAGGTCCTCTCAAAAGTATAAACAAATTAACTGAAGAAAGTATTAAATGAGTAAATCATAAAGACTCATAGTGATTTTATCCCGAGAAGATTCACAACAAATAATATATTGGTGGCATTTGATTGCGTTAATGCAATAAAAAACAACAGAGAATGGAAGAAAGTTAATGTGACAGCAAAGTTAGATCTAGCAAAGACTTATAACAAAGTGAAATGGCTTTTTTAAAGACCATAGGCTGAAACTAGGGTTTGATGAAAGGTGGGTTGGCCTAATAATGCAATGTGCCACAACTGTCTCCTAGTACGCTACAAAATTAAGGAGTTTAAGGGACAAACATAGAGGACAACCCTTTAAACTGGTCTCCGGAAAACCCAACGGTAGTGCAATTCATAAAACTAGGGCTTGATTTTCGGTTAGATCGGTTATAACCGATAATCGAATTGTCGGTTACCGATTTACCGCGATGCCAGTCTCGTCTACCGCCAACTGCCCAACGGAAGCCATCGGTTAGCTGGGAACCGACCGGTCGGTTACCGGTTAGTTGCTCGGTTAACCGTAGTAACCGACCAGACGGGTATTCGGAGAAGAAGGAGAAGAAAAAGAAGAAATCGGAGCGGAAAAAAGCGGTTACCGGTTAGTTCCTCAAATCAACTAAACCCAAATCCCCTTCTCTTCTCCAACAACCACCACCATCAAGCATCTCTATTATTCGACCCATCCCAAAACTTCTTCCATCCCTTCCCCAATCACCACCACCACCAACAGCAACAACAACAACGTCGGTCATCTCCGTCGCCGCTGGAAAACCCATCCTTCCTTAACCTCGACATGGTCCCCTCTTCCTCCCACCATCATCATCAATTCCTCAGATCTGACCACACCATGCTTCCTCAACAACCATCATCACCTTCTTCTTCTTCACTCCTGCACGCAACTGGGTTAATGACGACCAATCACCATCCTCATCCACATCCTCCTACGACAATTAATAAGAACAATGATCATCATAATCAGCAGCAAAGTAGTAGCACCACCACCACCCACGGGGTGGCGGCGACCCGGAACCCGAAGAAGAGGACTCGGGCTTCAAGGCGGGCGCCCACCACCGTCCTCACCACGGACACCTCCAGCTTCCGCGCCATGGTAGAAGAGTTCACCGGCATCCCCGCCCCGCCTTTCTCCGCCGCTGCAGAGATGGGGAGCGAGGATGAGGAGAGGAGCGAGACGAGGTCGGAGCTGGGCGAGCCGGTGAATTTGAAATCGGAGAAGAAGAGCAAGAAGGGTAAGAAGCAAAGGTTTCCAGCCGGCGGAGGGAGATGGTCGATGTAGGAGGGTTGGGCAGGCGGCAGAGAGACTGGGAGAGTGGAGAGAGACTTCGCGTCTCGCGATGCAGAGGAGAGATTGAGGGGCTCGATTAGGGTTTAGGCTGAAGAGGAGGGCGGCGGCGTTTTAGGATTGAGGGGAGGAGGTTAGTTTTGCCGGTTAGCCGGTTAACCGGCGGTTACCACCATCGGTTAGCCAGTTAACCGGCAAAGCTAACCCCGCTACTGAACACCGCCCGATTTTGTAATTTTCGGTTAGCCGGTTAACCGGTAACCGCCGGTTATCGGTTTAACCGGCCGGTTAACCGGCAACCAATAACCGAACGTCCAGCCCTACATAAAACTGTCCCCAAAGTATATCAATACGCATCTGGATTATTTGATGTCGTCCCCGAGAAAATGGTGATGGGCGGATTAATCACCCGAGTAATGAAAATAATTATGCCTTAGAATTTTGAGAGTCAACCAAAGAGTTATGGAAGTTGACCGGCCCGTACTCTATAAATGCAAATCACCCTCGTTCTATTCATTCGTTTCCCTAACCCTATATACAGGAAGCCGGATAATACTTGCGGCGGCGGTCTCCATCGCCTTCTCTATCTTCTTCTTGCTTTATCCTTACTGGCTTTATACGATTGTCGTGGCTTATACTTTCTATTCTTTTGCTTACCATAGGAATCAAGATGTAAGGGCTAACGAAGAGAATTGGCGCAGGAGCAGGTCTTCCCCTCTACTTATTGTATTAGATAATTGTGAATTGTGATTGTTGTTTTAGGGCTTTGAATTCAATTTTCTTTCATTCTCCTTTTCTTTTAGTGATTTGATAGATGGCTAGTTGTTCATTCCGATGTTTGGTAGACTTTTTTGCCTCTTCTATCTTGTTTTTGCATGTTGTTTGCTTCATTGACAACATTGGGGAAAAGGACATTCTGGTTTGCATTATACTATCTAGAATTGATATGTATCTGTATGTTAATATTGTATAGAATAATTAACTTCATCATTTTCTCTTTATTGCTCTGGAAAATTCCTAGTTGTAGTCAATTGTGCTGTTACTGTGACCTAATTGAATGAATAAGTAGCGTATTAGACTAACTAAGAGAATGATCTAAATGCTTGATTCTGATGTGCTGCTGAATGGTTCTCAGTTCTACTTTGTTTTTCAATTGTCCGATTATTTCAGTGGCAAACTCCACCTTTTGGGTTGCTCTCTTGAGGAAACTAAGAAGTCTAGCAGCTCCTGGTTTTTTTAATCATGAACTACTCAATACGGTTGAGTAATCAATGAAAATCTGAAGGTGAGTTACTGAAGCATATTTCATTGAAAATACAAATTGGTTTACCTAAGTTGTTAAATGATCGTACTTTATAGTCCTAATTAATTAGTATTTGGTCATCAACGGCTAATTTTTGGATAGAGTAAGAAAATGTTTTGTTTATATGGGACAAGAGGATTAGGCAGAGGAACCTAAAAGCTCCCTTTATTTATTGTGATTGCTTTCTGTACACTAATGCTATAATGCACCCACCTTGCATACTATATGGTTTTATATAGTTCATCAACTGAGTCGCGACTAATCTTTTGGTTATTGATGCTACTTAGATCAAGGACATTTAGAATTCATGAACTTGGAAGAGAAGAAGAAGCTAGGCAAGTACTTTGACTATTAGATTTGCCGGTTATTCTCAAGTCTCACCTTTTTGTTTGGTCTAGTATGTTGCTCAAATTTTTTTTATATTGTTATTCATGTATAATTCAAAGAATAGGCACAAGTTAGTTGTTATTGTTCTCACCCACTGCACATGATTATATTCTATTATTTATATTGCTGTTATCAGAAATTTTTATTTATTTCTTAAAATATTTAACTTTCAGGTACTTTTTTTCTTCATTCCCATGGCAAAAGGAGGATTAGTGACTTCTGCTATCTACATAATTGGACTGTAGATGTTATATATTATCTTATTATCTTCAACTTTTTTTCCTTAGCGATCCCTATTTGTTCTAGAGTCAAGACTAAGGGATGATATGCTTTCTCAAAAAGAGTATTGATTTGTTGTTGCCATGACACAAGTTAAGGGACAATTTTTTGTCTCCAATTGTCACACAGGTGACCATTTTTCGTCTCTAAAGATATTGTATAAGAGACCACTTGATCTCCTTGGATAAAACTTGTGGGAATGATTTGTTGACTATAATCTAACATTTATGATGACAAATATATCGACCATATAAAAAGAAAAGGGGACAATATATTATCCCTAAATAGTTACAATATTATCATGAAATGAATAAAGGGACCAAATATTGTATCTAAAAATAGTGATTAGGGGATGACTCATTGTTACCAAAGTCATGCCTACAGGGACGACACATTGTCTTTAATAAAAAGAAACGGAAGACAACTCGTTGGAATCAGGGACGACTGTCGTCCCTAGTATTGGGGACGACCTAGATTTTTGTCGTCCCCAAAAGAATAGAGGACAAGCGTATAGGGAACCACACATGTACATTAGGGATGACTTAGTCGTCCCCAAAAACTATGGAGACGATTTGGGCTATTTCCGGGGACGACTTCTGTCGTTCCCAATCCTTCTCTTTTTTGCTTAATTAAGCTCTAGTAATGGTCATCAATCCCAAGTCATCTACCCTACTAAAGGCCTTCGACAGGGGGCCTGATATCACTATACTTGTTTCTTCTATGTGTTGAATGACTTTCCATTTTAATAGGGGTGGTAAACGGTCGGTAAATGATTAAACCGGTTACCGATTGACCGGTTTTTGGTACACCGGATAGCTGAGCAGTCCCACCGTTTTTCGATACCGTATTGGCGTCGGTATACCGATTACCGAATCCTTTCGGTGGCGGTTTTATTTCGGTACCCCGATTACCAAATGTGAATAACCTGGGCACTGGGGACAGCCGGACAGGTGAATGGTAATGATGACAAATGGTGGGGAATTGAGTGGGAACCCGATTATTAACTTAATATCCAATGGTCAATGGATTAATGGAACTATGGAAGTCACCAGATGATGAAAAAAATTGTCTTCTTCTTCACAACAACACGTCCAGGTCCAGGTTAAGTTGTTCCATTCAAAACTTGAAAATAGCTTCTGCGGCGGGGGAAGCTGCACGCACCGGCAGTGTAATTAAATTAAACAAACAAAGTAGAAAACCAACAAACAGCAATAGCTGCTGCAGCGAGGGAACATGACAACAAACCTGAAACTGACGGAGAGTGCACCGTCAACGGAAACTGATGGGGATGCCGCACCGGTGTTGGCGATGTGGTCGAGCACTAGGGTCGACGGAGAGGACTCTGCGCGGGTTCGATAGAGAGGTTGCGGTGCTGAAGTGGGCTGCTATGTTGCGGTTCGTCCATCTGAGTGCACCGGTGTCTCGATTGGGGTTCCAATCGGGCGGCGGGATTCGTGATCGTGAGGGTTGGCGGCTGGGTTAGGCAGGCAGAGAGCAAGACTGTGAGAGATGGGAGGGGAATTATTAATCTGTAATTACTAATTCATTTTCCTAATAGAGAACCAATTGCAAGTTTGTAAATGAGAGAATACTATTGTCGCACTGCGTCCTGCAATTCCGGTATCGGAAAACCAGCTTTCCGTCGGTTAGCTACTTCCTGGTGTCGGTATACCGCCGTCCCAAATTCCCATTCCGACAACCGTTACCACCCGATTAACGGTTTAACTGGTAATTGCAGTTACCGGTACGGTTACCGGTTAAACCGTTAACAGGGAAACCGAATCACAGCCCTACATTTTAATAAGGAAAGCAGTAAAAGAAGGGAGATTAAGAGGAATTAAAATGAGTAAAGATGGTTCTATGATAACTCAAATAATAATATATTTTTCTTTGAAAACATGGAGCAACAAGGAAAGACACTAAAATACATCCTTAAATAGTATGAGCAAGAGTCAGGTCAACAGGTGAGTCTGACCAAAATGGAGTATGTTTTACAACACGAAAAATACTTATGGATGCCTACAGTTATTAACTTATCCAAGAGGACAATTTTTAACTAGTTAATTGACAAAGTTAGAAAGAAAATAAAATTTTGGAAGCGCAAAACCATGTCTAATGCAACAAAAGGAGTTATGATCAACGCAATTGCTCGAGCACAAGGAAAATATTAGAAAGCTTAATAGCATGACTATGGTGGCGAAAGAAAGGGAATAAAGAAAATTTTAGGGTAATGTTTAATTTTTATCAAAATCTTTTTTAATTCTTGTATATTATTCAAACTTATTAAAATTTTATTAATTATCTAAATCTTTCATAATGTATCAAAATATTAGCCATTTTTACGTTATCGTTAATAATTTTGTAACTCTTTTCTTAGTTAAAAGACTAAAATTTTGGAATGTTAACCTTCATGAGTCTCTTTCAAGTCAGTATCATGTTGTCAATTCAATATTGCTAACAAAATTGCTAACAGGTTGGGCCGTCAAAGGAAGAATCAAAAGAACATTTAATATGCTCTCTATTTGTATGCATGCAAGTTGTGATCCATGATGACTAACTTAGTTATTGTTGATTAGCTTAGTTGATATATGGTAAAAGGAGTTGAATGACAAGCATTTTAATTGGGTTCAAGTGTTGGTATTCACACCAATGTCAGCTTGAGCCTTACTCAGCAGGTTTAGTACATTCTTGAAATTGCATGTCTATGTGGTGGACAGGGGAGTTGAAGGACGATTATACAACGCAAATATACCAATCATCAATGATCAACCGATTCAGGTCAATTCCGAAGGATGTGAACATGCTCTGTACGTGAGCTCTTTTACTTAGACAAACTGTGTCAATCTTGCTGGAAGACATGGAAGCTTATGAGAAGGATGAGACAAGAGATGAAGGAACGATTGACATGTACAAAGCATCTTGCGAGGATGCTCTCTCAGCTACGGTGTAGAATGAAGGAAAAGCATAGGAGATGACGACAATAACAGCGGCTTTGGTGTCCTTCGACTGCTAAGATAGATTTTGTGTGTTTTTCATGTTTTTAAATTAATGTATTCATGTATTAGTAGAAAATATGTATGTATTTTACCATTTTAAGAATAATGTATTAAAATATAATTATATTTAATATTATATTCTTATTTTATAAAATTCAGTGGTGTGTTCCCTCTAGAAAATGTATACTCTTTCGAGGCAAATATTCGTGTCTCATTAGAATCTTTTAGAAGCAAATAAAGTTTCCTCAAATGCTAATATTGCAAACTAAAATATTTGTTTCTAAAACCAAATTAGAAGATAGAAAAGTATGTGTTTCAAGGTGGAATTACCAACAAAAAGATTTGATTCCTATATTTGAAATAGACGAAGATAGTATTTGCTACTACGTCTGCTTCTAAAGGGAATTAGAGACAAAGGCGTGCGATGCAAATAACTTATTTGTTTTCATAGATATACGGAAACAAATAAATAGCTTTTAGAAGCCAATAACCTCTGTCTCTATAGCCCAATTTTCTTGTAGTGATTATTACTTTAGTTAGATTGATATTAAGATTTCGGTTGAGAGAATTATGGTACGAAATTCATATCATATCCTGAATTCTAATTAATTCATATTCTAGATAATATTACGTGTCCTTGCTTTTTCCTTTTCAGCATCATACTCTTTTCCCTTTTGTCTTTCGGTTTCTTCTGTTCCAAATTAGTTTTACCTGGACGTTTTCTATTTAAGGCTTGTTGCTAGTTGTTGGCCGAATTGTAACCTAGACTGCTAGACATATCAGAAAATAAAAGTCTCAAGACGTGAGCTCGTTCGAGCTGATCGTGGTTAGTCTTGATCAATAAATCAATCGAGCATATAACGTAAAACTCTCATGTTCAGTCTTCGTTCAATTCCGTAGTATCAAATTTTACATGGTATCAGAGTTAACCGCGTTCCAGGGTTAGGGTCATGGTCCTTGTTCTCTATTCTGTCGCACATTCTCTGGCTAGGGTTCATCTGCGATTTCTCGCCCCTCAACTGCGTCTGCGTGTGTCTTCTTCTGTCTAGCCTTGTCCTTTATCCGCTTGTGTCTGCAAGATGATTACAGGCGAAGGGAATTTCGTTACAGGTACCACTACCACCATTGACATCTCGTCTCCATTGCATCTCCACCCTTCGGATCATCCCAACCTTCTGTTCGTGAGTGAGGTCCTCACCGATATGAATTATGTTGAGTGGGTTGCCAAATGACTGAATCGCTTGTACTGTTACACTAGAAATTAGCCAAGTGTAACCACCTACTAATGTGTAGTATAGCAGACTTAGATTTAAATGTCAACCCGGGTCCCAGGTGTGATGACTACTTCGTGAGATACTTATTATTTAGCGATTCAACTGTAGTGAAGTTACAACTTAACTAGCAAACAAAAGCATTAAATGTTGTGTTCCAAGTTTGAGAGAGGTCACCTAGATATGGTTCCCCCTAGATTGTCGTTAAGCCAAGTTGTAATTCACCCAGTCCAGTTTCAATGATAATTATACTGCGGAAGGTTCTTAGACAGTCTGAAGTCTCGACTAAAGGTCTCCAGACTCTCTCAATCTAAATCCCCAGCAGGCGACTAACCGCCACCAGAGTAAATAGACTGAGGCCCTAACGTGCCAAACCTCCTCTACTGGAGTAAATCCAGTACATAATAGTGAACTGACTCCTCGACTAAAGTCATCAATTCACTACCTTCAATTAAGGGTGCTCTATCAACCTAGGAGTATGTTCTTTCTAGGTCAACGCAGAAACTACAGGAATTTGATCAGGTGTCATGCAATTCAGAAAATCATGCCTCTATAATCAATATCAAAGAATTTGTTCTTGGGTTCATACAACCGGACCTAACATACAAATCTAGGGTTCTTCATACCCATTTGAGTGAGAGAGTTTACTGCATAGAGAGAGAAGAGAAATCTGCTTCAGATGCGGAAATCATTCTGTGAAGGATGAAAATCTGCTTCTGGTAATCAATCGACACTTCTCCAAGCTTCTCCGGAGCTCCAATGGTGTTGGAGATCGATTTAAGGCGCTTGGAAGTTTTGTTAGTCATTCTCTCTCTAGGTTTTCTGCTTTCTTTCTCTAAAAATCGGATGCCCTTCTCTTTGGCTTGAAACAACCCTTTTAGCCCGAGACTGGGCAAAACACGGTCGAGGACACGGTCGTGTTTTACTTTTGTCCGCCTGTGTTTTTGCCTCGTGTTTTGGGTCAATGGTGCCCGTGTTTTGGACTCCTCAATAGCCACCACAAACACGCTCTCGGCATAAAAAGCACGGCCTGGGGGACACGGCCGTGCTTTGGAGTGGTCTGCCTGTGTCTTTGCCCTAGCTTCATCAAACGAACTCCAAATGCCCCGAAACTCGTGCATAGCCCTTCCTTCGACGACTGGGACGTGAAATGTGACAAAATAGCACAACCCAGCGTAAAATAGGCCAAAGATACACGACTACAAGCCGCAAACGGATAAGAAGTAAGGGTGTAAACATGTGCAAATACATCGTTATCAATGACCAACTCTCTCCTTGCTAAAAATAAACTTGGATTTGTTACTAGTGCAACTTCGCGTCGTAGTTTTGGTGCTCCTCTTGATGCATGGGTCCGATGCAATAATTTCGTCGTTGGATGCTTGCGTACAGCTATCAATCGTGACATCCGGAACAGCCTGAGCGCTGGCCTCATCACACAAAAAATTTGGGTTGGGTTGAAGGAACGCTTCATCACGGGTATTCTCCCGCGCCGCTAGAAGCTGCGAAGGGAAATTACAAATCTTCGTCGGGATAATTTAAGTGTCGCCACTTTCTACTCCAATCTAAAACGTCTTTGGGATGATTGGCTGGATTTGGATCCCCCAGCGCGCTACACTTGTGGTAAATGCGAGTGCGACGTCGAAGGCCGCACACATTCGTCCCATGATACGATGTGACTCTTGGATTTTCTGGTTGGATTGGATGAGAACTTCTCTGTTGTGCGTACTCAGCTGCTCTCCATGAAGCCTACTCCTTCCCTTGGTGCGGCATATCATATGGCCGCCAATGATGAACAGCAACACACACTCTCTCTAGCATCTCGTACACCAATTGATGCCGCTGCCTTTCAAGGAAAAGGTGAATCCCATGAGCCAAACACTTTTGCAGGCCACCCCTAGTGCACTCAATGTGAGAAGGCTGGTCACTTCAAAGTGACTTGTTATTAGCTCATAGGATGGCTTCAATGTTCGACAGGTTCTGGTTCTCAAGGCATCCAAGGTGGCAAGTTCGGTGACAAACCACGGCGTCGTCCTCCCAAGTCTTCTTAGAATGATGCTTAAGGCCGCCACCATTGAAAGCAAAGACGGAAGCAGCGCCGTCCCTGGTCTGAATGCCGCCCAGCTTCACTCCTTCGTCAACAAGGATTCTTCTTACCAATAATTCCTTATTTGTTGGCGAGGTCGAGTAAAACTCAGACTGCATGTTCGAATTCCCAATGGCAAGGGGGTTCCTGTTTGTAATATCGGAATGATGCAGCTACCAAATGGATTGATTTTGAATCGGGTATTGCATATTTCGGACTTCCAATGAAATTTATTATCAGTCCCTCGTCTCACTATAGATCATCTAGTGGCAGTGATATTCTTGATTAATTTTTTTGTGATTCAGGACTTATCGTCGAGGAAGATGATTGGCATGGGGATTCAGAATGATGGTTTGTATAGGTTACGGGTCTTTGCGCAAAGTCATCCGGTAGCTTACTCGGCGCGGAAGGCCCTAAGACGGTCAGAGCCTTGGCACTCTCGCCTCGGGCACCCATCTGGATAAAAGTTGCTCGCTTTGCATCCTTTAATATCTTGTGCTTTAGTTTTCAGTAAAGACCCATGTGATTCATGTTTACGGGAGAAACAGACTACGCTTCCTTTTGTGCACAACAGTATTAAAACTCATTCATATTGACATTTTGGGGTGGATTTCAAGAGGCTTGTCTCACTGGAGCACATTATTTTCTTACCATTGTTGATGATTTTAGTCGTGTTGTATGGGTTTTCTTACTACGCCACAAGTCTAAGGTAGCACGTTATCTTCTCCTCTTTTTCAACCAAGTGTTTTGTTAGTATGGAAAGAACGTTTGTCGAGTACAGGCAGACAATGTTCGCGAGTTCTTTACTCCAGCTATGCGTGACTTCTATGAGAAATAGGGTATTATTCTACAAACATCATGCCCCGACACTCCACATCAAAATGGAGTTGTCGAACGTAAGCACCGTCATCTCCTCGACACTGCTCGTGCCCTGCAGTTCCATGTTGGTCTTCCACTTAGTTTCTGGGGAGAATGTGTTCTCACTTCTGCTTACCTCATAACCGGATGCCCCTCGTTCCCATTAATCATCAAACTCCATACCAGCTTCTCCTTGGTACGACACCCAAGTACGATCATGTCCGCAGTCTAGGTTGCCTTGTCTATGCCAAAAATACTCGCAAGAATCTTCACAAGTTTGAAGAGCGTGGTCAGCCGGGTATTTCCGTCGGCTATCCTGCCACACAGAGAGGGTATCGCATCTACGATCTTGAGAAGCAGAGTATCTACACTTCTCGATATGGGGTTTTCATCGAACATGTGTTTCCCTATAAAGACCCTCGTGTGCATGAGGGCCTTGTGCGTCCCATGGACTCTGTTTCGCCTCATCATCTCTCACCCGTACGACTTGTGGATGAGGAATCCACTTCCATTCCCCATGCACACGTACCTCATTCCACTCTAGCTGTTGCTTGTCCTGGGACACCTCCTCCTTCCTCATCTGTTGCCGATACCACCTCTGCGGAACATGCAGGTTACGCCCATCACCACTATCCCAACCGTTCTTGTCTCTCCCGCAAACTGCTCCCCCGCGACCTCATCGCCTAGGGCTAATTATATTATCCCCAGCTCGTCGTCACAACCTCTCACGGACCTATCAAGTCCAACCACTTCTAGTATGTCTCTTCCACCAAACTCGGCCATTCCATGTCCAGCCCCTACTATCCGTCGTGGTGATCGTGTGAGGCATCCACCTCTTCGTCTTGATGATTACGACCTTGACCTCCCTGATGGTTCTCAAGCTCAACATGTTACTTACCCAATGGCTCATTTTGTCTCCTATCACAGGCTATCACCTCATCATCGGGCTTTCATTGCGAAGGTTTCCCAAGTCACTGAACCCAAGTATTTTTACCAGGCTGTACGGAATGCTCATTGGCGAGTTGCTATGAATACCTAGTTTGCAGCCTTGGTGGCTAACCAAACTTGGAGATTGATGGCTTTACCCCCAGGGAAGCGCGCTATCGACTGTAAATGGGTATACAAGATCAAATACAAATAGGACGGTTCCATCGAGCGATTCAACTCCTTGTTGCTAAGTGTTATACCAAAGGTTGAAGGCATTGATTATCACGATAATTTTGCTCATGTGGCTAAGTTTGTTACTATTCGATGTCTACTTGCAGTTGCTGTCACGAAAGGTTGGTCCATTCATCAACTGGATGTCAATAATGCCTTTCTTCATGGCAATCTCGACGAGGAGATCTATATGAAGATTTTCCAAGGGTTTGCTTAACCTGGCAATACTCGGGTTTGTCGTCTTCACAAGTCTATCTGTGGACTAAAGCAGGCCTCTCGACATTGGTATAAAAAATTCTCAGCGGCTCTTCTTGCAATCCATTTTCGTCAAAGCCATGTTGATCCGTCTAACTTTGTGTATCGCACGGCCTGGTCTTTTGTCGTTGCTTTCATTTATTTCGACGATGTCATTCTTGCTGGTGATAACCTGCCGTTCATTTAGTCGATTAAGAAGTTTCTCCATGGCAGATTTACTATCAAGGATCTTGTTCCCTTGAAATATTTTCTTGGGATCGAGGTTGCCCGTTCCAGTAAGGGTGTGGTCCTCTATCAGCGCAAGTACGTTCTGGATATCCTTGTTGATACTGGTTTTTAGGTCACTAGTCCAGCCTCTTCACCGATTGAGCAAAATCACCAGTTGGGACGCACTAATACTCCTTCTACTCCTAATCCTGCTGTTTTTTGTCGTCTGGTTTTGTCGTCTGCTCTATCTCACAATCACTCGGCCGCAAATTATGTATGCATTTAATATCCTCAGTCAAGCGGTTCACTGCCCTACGCGGGAATATCTTGCGGCTGCTCATAGGGTGCTACACTACTTGAAAGGGTCTCCTAGTCATTGCCTCTTCTTTCCCACTCATGGTTTCTACTCTTGACTTCCTACTGTTATGCCGATTGGGATGGATTTCAAACCACCCATCGTTAAACTACTGGCTACTTTATTCGTCTTGTTTCGTCTTTGGTCTCTTGGCGTACGAAGAAGCAGTCTGTGGTTTCTCTTTCCTCTGACAAAGATGAATAGCGTGCTATGGCTAGCACGGTCTATGAAGTCTTGTGGTTGCGATGGCTTCTCACATAACTGAGTTCTCCTCAATCTGGTCCTACTCCTCTATATTGTGACAATCAGGCAGATCTCCACATTGCGGCTAATCCAGTTTTTCATGAGCGTACTAAGCATGTGGAGATTGATTGTTATTTTGTTCGAGAATGTGTTCAATCGCTTGATATTGCACCACGCAAGGTCCCTACTGCGGAACAACCCGCAGATCTCTTCACGAATGGACTTGGGGTCGAACATTATCATCATCTCTTGTCCAAACTTGGCTGGTTCGATCTCCATGCTTGCGCTTGAGGGGGCGTATTACATGTCCTTGTTTTTTCCTTTTCAACATCAGACTCTTTTCCCTTTTACCTTTCGGTTTCTTCTGTTCCAAGTTAGTTTTGCCTAGACGTTTTCTATTTAAGGCTTGTTGCTAGTTGTTGGTCGAATTGTAACCTAGACATATCAGAAAATAAAAGTCTCAAGTCGTGAGCTCGTTCGAACTCACCGTGGATTAGTCTCGATCAATCAATTGATCGAGGATACTGCGTAAAACTCTCGTGTTCAGACTTCGTTCAATTATGCATTATCAAATTCTACAGATAATGTTAATTTATTAAGCATACAGTAATACATTAGATTCACTAAATGTATGATTGTCTGAACACATATATGCTCGTAATTTACCTTGAGTGTGCCATATCATATATGGCTAGCATACGTTTGACGTATAATATATCATCCGTTCACACTTAATAGATGTACTTCGATAAATTTCAACGAATCAAAACTATTTTATTTGTTGATTAAATTGATCCTATGATTTAATTTGAGTGAAAATATTACGGATTGGAGTTCACCTATTAGAGATAAGAGTATAGTATGAACTAGGGGTGGCTGGTCGGTTTCCGGTTAGAGGCTAAGGGTGAGGGGTCGATGTTCGGCAAGGGTGAGGGGTTCTTCGGTTAGCCGAGTAACCAACGACGGTTAGCTGTGGTTAACCGGCTAACCAACCTCTAACCAAAAAATGTAGAAAAGGAGGAGTAATAAGGAATAAGAGCGCTAAATCCAATTAACCTCCCCCCTCCCCCATCTGGTTCTCGAAAATCTAAAATCCCAAAACCAAAAAAACTTTAACTTCTCTTCTCTCTGCGCCGCAATCCTAGACCAATCGCTCGTCCTCCTCGTGCCTTCGTCGCCACCGCCTCCTTCTCGTCGACGGGTTCGTGTCGCGCCTCCTTTCCCCTAGCGACTGCTGCTTCTTCTGATTTAAACCAACACTAGGGTCGAGATCTAAAATGGAGGAAGGAAGGAGAGAACGAGCAGAGGAAAATCAGGAAATAGCTCGGTGGTTGAAGTTTTTTAAAAGTTTTTTTAATGATTTCACTTAAAAGCCAACGTTTTTTGAGAGAAGTGGATTTTTTTCGAGTATGCGGCTAACCAACCCTAAAAGCAAAAATTGACCGATCGATTGATCGGTTAGCCATGACTCTCTTTTCGGTCGGTTGGCGAATGGTCTGGAAGGTGGTTCGGCTAACCGATAATCGAGTTTTCGGTTTTCGATTAAACCAAAACCGACCGGCCTCCAATCCTACTATGAACCCGATATTTGTATTAATTGCATAAAGCATATATGGGAAAGGTTAGGGTGAGATCCCTCCACAAAGGAAACACTTTTGAGTTAATATTTTATCACTAGTCCGGCTGGATTTTTTTTATCCCAGATAAGCCCCCAGGGCATGGCCAAACAACAATAATAAAAGACATACAATAATAAAGAACGGTAGTCCGTAAGCAACCGGAATATCGATGAAAGAGCCTTTTTTGCCACAAAGTGGGCAGCTCTGTGAAAGCTCCGAAGAGAAGAAAGACGCGAAACTGACTCAGATAGAGAGAGAGAGGAGAGTACTTCCCCGCGAATACCATGTCTGAGAGGGATAAACCATTGTGATCGCTTCAAAATGCGAAAGTGAAGGAAAGATTCCCTGCAAAACATTACAAATAACAAGCACATACATGGAAATACAATATTCTATCATTAGAGATAGAAGTGAGATCATAAGCAATATTCAGAATTACCGAAAACAACAACATAAAAAGTTAGAAGAGGAAAATAGTTGACAATCAATTATGAAAAAAGGCAAAACTATATATAAAAAAACACTAAACAAGACTCTACTAATTAAGTCAAACAACTCAAAGGCAATTAGCCACTAATAAAATACAACATTGCAGAAAATACGAAAACTATCACAATCCTTTGACTAAAAAAAACAGTCGACTAATATCACAAAGCCACAATTGATAATAAAAAATATACCATACAAACACTAATAAATGCATCCTCAACTCGAATAAAGGAATACGATTGCACAACAAAATAAGATAAAATAAATCCTAGATAGACCTAATAAGGAAAAGCAAATGAAAATGGATAAAACAAACACTAATTAAAAACCCTACACTAAGACAGACACAACACTAATTAACCAAATTAAATAAAATCATAAAGAAAAAGGAAACAAAAATTACTTAATCTGTAAAACTGAAACGACAATTACCATTTACTACCCATGAGAGCCGGGGGAATCTAATTAACCTTAAGAGATTAAGGGAAATATAAATTAATATTAACATCCAATTAGTCACCCTAAACGTCAATTAATATTAAATGAGATAAATACCACAAATGTTACGCCCAAAAATACGGGTAATAACTAAAAAGGAGCAATCTTCTCCATCATCACCTTCAATCCAGTAAGTAATAAATCTATAATTAACATAAATGGTGGGTTGACCTCAATTAACCCCAATGAAACGAAATTTGAAACCTAAACGTACAACAGAGGATTAAATGGCAAAACACGGCAAATCAAGTTTAATAACTGATGACAATCAGGCCCTCAATTAGTGTACGTAGGGCGGAATTGTCGCTCTTGCCAGTATCGTGGCCGGAAAATCAAACAGAAATTCTGACGGGCTAAGGACGGAATCTGAGCAAAGAGACCAACGCAAAGCTAGACAACGACCAACAAAGAACCACAAAGATAAAGGATTCAATGCCTAGAACTGGACTAGAACAGGGACGCTGAAATAGACGAGAAACAAAAGCTAAGAGCAAGTGAAAGCAACTGATACTGAGGAAAGATAATACAAAATGCATAGGATCTGCCACTGTTGATTAGAACTAGTAAAAAAAGAATAAGAAGAAGTTCCACCAAGGGAAAGACATAGGACGACAAGCGTCTAACTTGTTGAGAAACCGGGCAGCAACCACAAGCAAGAATAGAAATGCACAAGACACACGATTTTTACGTGGAAAACCCAAATCGGGAAAAACCACGGGACCTTTGTCCAAGCCACAACTCCACTAGACTTTGGTGGGATTACAAGTCCTCTCTAGACTAGCTAGAGGATTACAAACACCTCAAGAACACCCTTCTTGGATCAACAATCAACCACAATAGCTCTCACCAACATGTTGGATAACAAGAACAAGAGCAAGACAAAGAAAGGTTGAGAGGTACCCAAAAACAGATTCTTACACCTTCTGTCCAGCAGCTATTCCCGACGAACTAGGACTCAGAATGACGATCCCTCCAGGCGAAATGAATCCCAGACAATTGCAAACCCACTTCCCAAATTTCAGGACGATCCGACGATTCTATCTTCCAGAACGCTCGCTTGAACAGGCTGCCCTGCTGCAGAAACGAAAAACAGCAACTCTTTCTCTCTTCTCTCTTTTTCCTGATCTCTTCCCTTTTCTTGATTCTCTCTCTCTAAAAATGAAAGGCTGTCCCCTCTTTTTACTTTTTGAGTAGACAATAACTCTCTATTTTGAAAATAGAGGATCTTCTAGAAACCAACCAAAACTCAAACTCAAACCGGTTAATCCAACCACAATATGAGTTGGAACAACCCAACAAATCTCCCCCTCCAGCTCATATGGGGGGGGGGGGGGTAGCACCAAACCTGATTCATCTCGACAGAAGATATGTTTTCCACTTGGTAGAGACTTAGTCATCATGTCCGAACCATTGTCATCCGTATGCACTTTGTTGAGCTCCAACAACTTCTCTTCCAAAACATCACGAATCCAATGATATCGAACTGTTTCGACCTTGAGTGGAAAGTTGGATTCTTGCAAAGATGAATTGCACTTTGACTATCACAATAGAGCACATACCTCTCTTGCTTAATGCCCAACTCTTGAAGAAACTTCTTCAACCATAACATCTCTTTGCAAGCTTCTGTCACGGCTATGTATTCGGCTTCTGTTGTTGATAATGCAACACATTTTTGCAGTTTAGATTGCCATGAAACTGCAGCACCTGCAAAAGTCATCATGTAACCAGAAGTCGACTTTCTAGAGTCCACATCACCTGCCATGTTAGCATCGGTATATCCATCAAGTATGGTCTTGCCATTACCAAAGCATAGACACACTCTAGAAGTACCTCTCAAGTAGCGTAGAATCCACTTCACTGCTCTCCAATGTTCTTTCCCCGGATTGGAAAGAAACCGACTAACAATCCCAACGGCATGAGCAATATCCGGCCTTGTGCAAACCATAGCATACATCAAGCTCCCAACAGCTGATGCATAAGGCACATTCTTCATTGCTTCTTTCTCTTCCTCACTTGTAGGACAATGCTTCACACTCAACTTGAAATGTCCTCCAAGTGGAGTACAAACCGCCTTAGCCTTGCTCATGTTAAACCGCTCAAGAACTCTTTCAATATACCTTTCTTGAGACAACCAAATTTTTCCATTCCTTCGATCCCTAGAGATTCTCATCCCTAGAATTTTTTTCGCCGGTCCTAAGTCCTTCATGGCAAAAGATTTACTCAACTCCTTTTTCAATCTATCAATCTCTCCAACATTCCGACCCACGATCAACAAGTCATCCATGTAAAGCAAGAGAATGATGAAATCATTTTCAGCAAAGTATTTCACAAACACATAATGATCGGAGGTAGTTCTTGCATACCCGTTTTTTTACCATGAATGAGTCAAATTTCTTGTACCATTGCCTTGGTGCTTGCTTCAATCCATATAAGCTCTTTCTCAATCTGCATACAAGATCTTATTTGCCTTTAACCTCGAACCCTTCTGGTTGATCCATGTAGATTTCTTCCTCTAAGTCACCATGAAGAAACGCCGTCTTCACATCGAGTTGTTCAACTTCCAAGTCCAAAATTGCAGCCAACCCAAGCACAACTCGGATAGAGGACATCTTCACCACGGGGGAGAAAATTTATTCAAAGTCAACACCTTTCTTTTGGTTCAAACCCTTCACAACTAATCGCGCCCTAAACTGAGGCTTTGAACTAGTTTCCTCCGTCTTTAACTTGTAGACCCACTTGTTCTTAAGTGATCTTTTTCCTTTGGGTAGTTTCACCAAATCATAGGTGTGATTCTCTTGCAAAGACTTCATCTCTTCTTGCATTGCTTTGTTCCACTCCTCCTTTTCTTCATGAGACATGGCTTCTTGATAATATTCGGGTTCTCCCCTGTCAGTCAACAATAGGTACTCATGAGGGGAGTACCAAGTGGAAGCTTTGCGATCTCTTGTTGACTTTCTTGGTTCAAATAGAGGTTGCTCTTCTTCAACTTGTTCTTCTTTCTCCAATTGCTCTTCTCCTTGCACTTCTTGATCTAGCGCACCTTGGGGCTCATCATGGACTACTTCCTCAACATTTTCATGCATTTGGGATGGATTTATAGGCTCCAAATTAACCGGACCAGCTGATGTGTTTTTCTTCTTTTCAACCCTTTCGACGTCTTCACTTGTCTCATCTTCAAGAAAAATCACATCCCTGCTCCGAACAATTTTCCTTGCAATTGGATCCCATAATCTGTACCCGAACTCTTCACGCCCATAGCCCATGAATATACATGGCTTTGCTTTGTCATCAAGCTTTGCTCTCTCATCTTTTGAAACATGAACATAGGCTTTGCAACCGAACACTCGTAATTGTTCATATGAGACTTCCTTTCCCGTCCATACTCGTTGAGGCACATCACCCTCCAATGGGACCGACGGTGAGAGATTGATTAGATCAACCGCTGTCCGCATTGCTTCTCCCCAAAATGATTTAGGTAGCTTGGCATGTGAGAGCATACACTTGATTCTCTCACAAATTGTTCTATTCATCCTCTCGGCGACACCGTTTTTTTTTTTGTGGAGTCTTGGGTACACTTTTTTGCAGTTTAATTCCGTGCAATCTGCAGTAGCTTTCGAATGTACCTCTATACTCTCCCCCGTTATCAGCCCTTACACACTTCAACTTAGGCCGGTTTCCCTTTCCACTTTAGCATGAAATTGCTTGAAAACATCTAGCACTTGATCCTTCATTTTCAAAGCATATGTCCACACCTTCCTTGAGTGATCATCGATGAAGGTAACATAATAGCTTGCACCACCAAGAGTTTTATCTCGCATAAAACAAACATCGGTGTGAATTAGATCAAGTACCTTACTCCTTCTAGAAGGTGGAAATATATGTAATGCAACTCTATGAGTTTTTCCGGCTAAGCAATGAACACAAGTTTTAAGAAGAGTACCTTTAGCTCCGGGCAAGAGTTGTTTCTTGGACAATATTTGCAGCCCCTTCTCGCTCAAATGACCGAGTCTCTTATGCCAAAGCTCAATGAAAGAATCTTTCTCAGCAACATTGATTCCTCCCTTGCTATGCTTTGCATTCGTCATGTAGAGCGTACTTTCCTTCTTGCCTTTAGCCACCACAAGAGAACCTCTTGAGAGCTTCCATTTTCCTTCTCTAAAATAGTTGGTATAACCATCATCATCAAGCTTTCCCATGGATATCAAATTCAGTCTCATGTCACGAACATGTCTCACATCCTTCAAGACTAGCTTGCAACCCGTGTTGGTCTCTAGATGAATATCACCCATGCCAACAATCTTTGATGCGCCATCATTTACCATCCTCACACAACCATAGTTACCGTTTGTGTAGGAAGAGAAAAGATCAACCCGTGAGGTCACATGGAATGAGACACCTGAGTCAACAACCCATGTACTCTCTTGACAAGCAAGGTTAAAAAAACCGGCATCACAAATAATGACCACATCACCATCTGTGGCAGCAACAGTAGTATCATCTTTTTCTCGGTTTTCCACACCTTTTCCTCTAGCTTGTTCCCGTTTCAAGATTCTGCACTCTCTCCTCATGTGTCCGGGCTGGTTGCAATGATAACATGTGATTTCTCTTCTTGGTCTTGACACTGATTTTGATCTCCCTTTTGATCTCCATCGGCTGTTACTTCGATTTTGAGAGTTCTTGAAGTTGGAATTTCGATTTCTGCTTCTTCCACGACTTCCAGAATTATCCGCCACCAAAGCATGTGACTCTGATGTAATCCCCAACTCTTTTCTCCTTGCCTCTTCATTCAACATGCTATCCTTGACAATGTCCATCGTCAACTTGCCATTAGGTGCTGAGTTGCTAAGTGAGACCACCAAAGTCTCCCAACTATCCGGCAAAGAACTGAGAAGTAACAATGCTTGCACTTCATCATCAAGTGCTAACTTTATAGTAGTTATTTGGTTCACAAGCCCTTGAAAGTCACTCAAATGCTCCGAGACACTATGCCCATCCTTGTACTTCAAGTTCACAATTCTTCGAATGAGTGAGGCTTTATTTTGAGCCGATTGCCTCTCATACATGGACTCCAATTTTTGCCACAATTCATCTGCTCTTGTATCTTTTGCAACATGATGAAAGATGCTTTGGTCAATCCATTGTCGAATGATTGCCACCGCCTTTCTATGCAAGACCTCCCATTGCTTCTCGGTCTTGTCTTCCGGCTTCTCGCTGCCATTTTCAATTGGCTCATAGAGATCCTTGCAAAACAGAATATCCTCCATCCGTGGCTTCCAAATAGAGTAGTTGGATGATGTCAACTTAATCATTGCTCCACTTGAGTCATCCATTCTTGCCATTCACCAAACACAGCCCCCAAACAACCTAATGCTCTGATATCACTGTTGAGAAACCGGGCAGCAACCACAAGCAAGAATAGAATGCACAAGACACACGATTTTTACGTGAAAAACCCAAATCGGGAAAAACCACGGGACCTTTGTCCAAGCCACAACTCCACTAGACTTTGGTGGGATTACAAGTCCTCTCTAGACTAGCTAGAGGATTACAAACACCTCAAGTACACCCTTCTTGGATCAACAATCAACCACAATAGCTCTCACCAACATGATGGATAACAAGAACAAGAGCAAGACAAAGAAAGGTTGAGAGGTACCCAAAAACAGATTCTTACACCTTCTGTCCAGCAGCTATTCCCGACAAACTAGGCCCCAGAATGACGATCCCTCCGGTCAAAATTAATCCCAGACAATTGCGAACCCACTTCCCAAATTTCAGAACGATCCAACGGTTCAATATTCCAGAACACTCGCTTGAACCGGCTACCCTGCTGCAGAAACGAAAAACAGCAACTCTTTCTCTCTTCTCTCTTTTTCAGTTTTTCCTTATCTCTTCTCTTTTCTTGATTCTCTCTCTCTAAAAATGAAAGACTGTCGCCTCTTTTTACTTTTTGAGTAGACAATAACTTTCTATTTTGAAAATAGAGGATCTTCTAGAAACCAACCAAAACTCAAACTCAAACCGGTTAATCCAACCCAACATAACCAAACCAAAGCAGTGGTTTGAAAGCTCCACCAACAGCGGCGGGATTGTTTTCCAATACGGATCTTAACATGCATCACAACTGCAATTGGAAAATCCTCAGTGAATATGTTAAAGCACCTGACTGTGAGCGGTTTTTCGCAGGGAAGGAGAAGCAAAGTAGAACAGAGAGAACGAACGGAATTGAGTGTTCCAATTTATTATAGCCTATACCATGAATCTTGGAGGAATTTCGATCACTAGCGGCTGGAATTGTGCATGGTTTGAGACTCAGAGAGCGAGCTTTTTTCGATAAATCTAACGACTTGAGCATTGAAATGTTGCCGAATCCGGGTGGAACCGACCCGGATAAGTAATTGGAAGAAAGATTGAGACTTGACAAGTTCCTGAGTGAAGCCAAACTCGGCGGGATCGACCCAGTAAGCAGATTCCTAGAGAGGTCAAGAATTGACATTCGACTCAGCTGCCCCAATGTAGATGGCAGGGCGCCGGCGAGCTGATTTTCAGAGAGGTAGAGAGCATTGAGCTGAGTTAACTCACCGAGCGTCGCCGGAATCGGGCCGGTGACTGAGCTCGCCCGGAGATCAAGAACTCGGAGCGACGACCCGAATTTCGACCCGAACCAGCCCGGGAGGGCGAATCCGGAAGAGTTGAAAACCTCCAATGAGGTGAAATTCGCCATGGCGTCGACGGAGAACCCGGGATTCAAACGCCCGACCCGGGTCCTCCTGAACCCGGAAACGTTGATTCCGGTGACCCGGCCGTCGTCGCCGCACTGGACTCCCTTCCAATTCGCGCACGGGTCGGATTTTATCGGCCAGTCGGAGCTTCGGATCCCTAAAGACCCCCGGAGATCGATCAGCGCCCTCCATTCCACCCGCGAACTCAGCAACACACCCCTCTGCTGCGCCGCCGGGCAGCGAATCAAAACCCAGATCAGTAGCACCGACCGGAGCAAACCCCGCCGGCATTCTTCCATTCAGCTCAGAGATTAAAAGATACCATTCCCAATATTTCAGCAGAGAGAGACACTTAAACAAAATCTGGACGGCTGTTCAATCACAGAGTCGACCACTCTTGGCCGCATTCGCCGGCGACGGGAACGCTCTTCTTTAGCTGGCTTTTACTAGTCCGGCTGGATTTACCGACAAATTATGTTCGGTAGTGCTGTGTGGCTGGTACTTAAAGCATCTCTTGCATAGCTAATTAGCTATCATATTGAATCGCCAACCGACGTCGTGCCCATTGATTAGTGTTGCCGTAGCCGGAAGGAAAGAATAGCGGTGGCGGAAACGGCGACGTGAGTAATTCAACCAATTTTGTAATGGTTAATTGGCTCTTTGTTGATGAGACACTCTTATAGAATAATTCACCGCAGGCAGGCAGGCACGCCGGTAAAGAAGACATATTCCGGCCGGATGATATGAATTTTCTTTCATTGATCACCACGGTATGGGTTGGTTCTTGACAGCATCGCGGATCAAATTGACGATTGAATCGGACTACATCGAACGAAATATAATATTGTTTGGTTCAAAAGTTGGATACTCAGCTAGGCCACTGTCGATCCTCCCAGTTACACTATAAATTTATTTGCAAGACTTCGTACTGGAGACACTCTAGATAGACACCCGACCCGACCCCCGAGTATTTGCAAAAAAAGGCAGCAATTCAATGGAAAATATTATTAAGGCTGTATCTTCACTACTGCTGGTTCTTCTTTGCGCTTATGCATCCCTCCAACATCTGGATGCAATTTTACACGATGACAACAATCCACAAATGGTCACCATTATCAACAGCAAGTTGTTACCTTATAATTCTTCAGGTTCAAAGAACTCTTTTTCTCTCTCTCTTTTTGAGTTAGAGAGGCAAAATGGTCGGTCCATGTCAAAATTTTGAATGCTCTTGTAATTTTTCGAATGATAATAATACTAAGAGCATTCATATTGATTTTGCATTTTCAATTGCAAGATGACATAGCATGGTTTTTGTAGTTGAAAAATTAATTGTATCAATGTGTCCACTTATTGCATATTGCAATCTTGCAACAACTGCAATTGCATATGCAAGCAAAAATAGGAATTCTTTATTTTCGTTTTTCATTAACTTTATTTTATCATAATTAAATATAACATTTAATTATTTAAGTAATTGTAAGTGGATTGCATTGATGTAAATGCAATGATATTAATATGTGTTGGATTGCAAAAATGTTGAGGTGGCATTAAAAACTTAATGTGCGATTGATTTTGCAATTGCATTGTGAATGCTCAAATATGAAGAGTTTGCTTGAAGAAAGAAACTATACAATTTTTATCACAAAAAAACTATACAATTGGCTTGTACAATTTGAAGCTTACTAGGTGATTTTGGTCATTTTACGTGTGTTGCAAGTCACGGAATAGTAATTATATGATTCATTCTTGTATTACTCACATCGGCTCGAGTTATAGTGATGATTTATGACAAGCTTATAATCGTTCACTTGTAGTGTATATATAGCATGTTGATTTAGAACTATTTCGTTCCATTTTTATATAGCTTCCCATAAGAAGAATCCACACATGATCACCATCTCCACCACCAGAAAGCTACTTATTCAATGGGGTAAGTTTCCCCTCTGTAACTCTCTCTTCTCTTTCTCGGCAAAACATGTTTTCTGGGCTAAACAAATTAAAAGCAATGAAACAATGGCAAATAAGATTTGGGCTGCCATTTTGTGTTGTTTTTACTTGTCGAACCCATTTTTTCTGTTGTTTTTGTCGATGCTTCTTTTGGCCAGAATTTGCCCTTTTCGTGAGTAATTGGAAGGTGAAAAGAGACTAATTAAGTTAAAATGTCCGGATCAAAACCTTCAATAACTTTTTGAGTTTGAATGTTATATTATTTGTTTATAATACCTCGCAAGCGCAATAATTGTACATCAATTGGAGGTTATTGAGAGTAGTCTGAAATTATATTGAATATCATTTTTTACAGTAGTTAATAATATTTAAATCTTTCTCTTATATTTTGGGTCAAATTCTGTTACGAAAAGTCATGTGCAACACATATGTGACCAACAGGAAGGGATTGTGGAAGAGGTAATTGTTGCTATAGTGATCTGTGGGCACGATGTAAATGTTGTTGCAATGAAGGTTGTTCTTATTTAAGTAACGATAGCTCGTCAGCGATTAATGGAACCACCAGCAAGTCTATGCATGGTCAGTATTCTTGCTATACCCTACTCTCGCTGTCTCTATTATAATTGATTCGCTTATTCCTTCGCCCTTTGTAAAAAAAAAAAATTGATAACTATTTTCTCCAACTTTTCATCATCTTCTTTTGCCGTTTTTTAATAAAAAAACAAAAGAATAATGCAAGAGAGGTTGCGTACTGCGTAGATGGTTTCCCGTGCAATTAAAATTATATATACATATTTAGGAATACACTTACTTTGCCAAAGAATTTAAATTCTATTTTTCAAACAGTGGAACATTTCATATGTAGCTGAAATTCACTGTTTACATACACTAATCAACTTGACTATTTTTATTGAGGATTAATTTTACATAATGAATTATCGGTTAAAGGTTAGTCTTAACATTGAGAATCGTTTGTTTATGTATAATGTATAACTTTCATTCAAATATTCGACATAAGCTTAAGTAAAGATTTTATATACCATGACTAAGAGAAAATACTTCAAAACTCTCTACCAGAATAGGAGTCAAGATTAAAACACACAAAAAAAATTATGAGTGGGTATTTTGAACTTTAGAAACTTTCCAGCATAGATAATTCATAATCGAATACGTGATAAGTTCGTGAATAATTGTATAATATGATATACTGAAAGAGATTTGTTTATCTGGTACTGCTAGTGGGCAATCTGGAGGATGAGGCGGAGGAACTAGCATCAGAGGAGGGCAAGGCTAACAAGGAAGGAGCGGGTCAACCTTGAGGACAAGGTTGATTTCAAGGAGGAGGGATTGTTTGAAACAGACTTTTGCGATATTTTATCAAGTTGTTTATGTTTTGCAGCTATGAAAGTATTTTGGATGGTTGTGAGTTAATTGAGTTTTTTTTATGGGATTAAAGTATTGGTAGTTATAAAAAAATATTGGTAGTTAGTAGGAATAGTTTGGTTATTTATTATAATGGAATAGGAATAGTTTGGATTATATTTAGTAATCGTGGAGGCTTTTCTTATCAAACAAATATATAACAAAAATCCAAAATCATATTTCTCTCTTCCACTTTCTCTCTCTTTTTCGGCCTTGCCCTTCTTTTTCTCACTTTGTCTCGAAATCCTTCCCTAAGTTTTATTCTTCTAATCCCTAATCTCCCAATTCTCCTACTATCACCAATTGTGAAACCCTATACGAAGATGTCTAGATCTATAATTCTTACACAAACTTTCAAATCAATAATGCAAATTCAACATTTATTGTAGTACAAACTCTAATGAATGGTACCAAAGCATACACCTCTAGCTTTTATTTAAAGGATATATTAGCTCATATAAAGTGACTCTAGACTTTTCTGAGACGCTTCTTCCATGAACGGGCCAAAGCCGACAAACTACGCCTACCAGGCTTCCTCCACGGCCCATATTCCTAAGAAAAATAAAGAAATAATTAGCAATCGGGCTTTTACATGTGCTCGTAGCCCACCAAGGAAACCCACTCCGCCAATCCTCCCCCACTACCGTCCAGACTGTGACTGGGCCGAATGGGACTATGATGCAAATTGTGGAGCTACAACTACGGGAAACAAAAATGGTGACCGCTCTTCCCAAGTCGGTCACAGTCAGAACTAAGCAACGTATAAAAAAATCATGCTTTGGAAATCACCTGCGAAGTTCACTCGGATGAAGACTCTACATATTTGGACCCGAACCAAAGAACAAAAAGCGAAATTAAGAGCTCGGATTGCGTCGTTAACTCTACAAGAGATTAAGTCTTGGACAAGCGCTGCTACTCCGGCAAATAAGACGGTTGGAGCAAATGCTCTGGACACTCACCTAAGCGGACAACAGTGGTAACCGGGCTGGAGGAAGCGAGGAACACCCTTCCCTCAGCACTTCTATCCTTTCTTTCACCCTCTTCTTTTCTTCTTTCTTCTGCTTTAATTGCTATTTTATGTCAATGTTAACAACCACTAACTTAAATATCTTTTCTTGGAATGTTGGACGGACTGAAAGCAGAGCATTTACGCGAGCGCTGAAGCTGGCCATCTAGAGACACTGTCCAAACTCGGTCATCTTGCTTGAGCCTCAAGTCAGCGGCGATGCGGCTAACATCATTTGCGACAAGTTGGATTGCCCACTTCGATGAGATTTGAGGTTGAGGGCAGAGATGGATGCATTTGGGTGTTCTGGGATGATAACATCTTCTCGACTACCTTGTCTTCAGCCTATACGCAAAATATATCACTTTGAATTTCTTAGTCCAACAGGGCTCATTAGATGCTAACGGCAATGCATGCTTCGCCCAAACAAAACCACAACGTATTCTTTGGGATAACCTCATTGTTAGAGATAGATTAGGAATAATCTTATATTTCCTTATCCTTCTAGTATAGTTCTTAGTATTTCTGTGTCCTTCTAGCATTGTGGTTCTCTTACTTATTCTCCAAGTCTTGTAATCTATATAAACCCCTTTGTGTTTCATACTTTCATAATAATACAAGCTACAAGTTACTATTCCTAAAACTCCTATATGGTATCAGAGCCTCTTGCTTAACAGCCTACTGATCCAGGAACCCTAAACCTTTTTTTTTCTTTTTTCTCCCTTCACCGGCGGGATCAGCCCGCACTCACCCGGTCATTTTTCCCTTCTGCTCATTAGTCCTCTTGCATTCCCTAATTCCTATTACTAGTTTATTTAAAACTATTGTCCTCGTTTGCCTTGTTTTTTGGAAACGGATCAGGTCAGTAACCTTATGGTGAGTAACCATGAGTATCCCGTCCACATCAGCATCCCTCTCTCTCCTGGAAAGCCTTTAATTTTCCTCTCCTTAATATTTGATAGACGATTTCTCACTCGTTTTAAGTAAAAAAAAAAATTTGCATAGTTAGATCAGATTACTTGTGCTCTTCAAAATGATATCCACTTTGATATATTTTTCGAACAAAAAAAAATTGAGCCATTTTTTACCAGTCTATACCATATGATATTGACTGGTATTGAAATAAGTGCATACCTATGGTTTGAAAAGCGTACCATGGTGGTATGAACAAGCCAAGATTGTAGGATGGTTGAATACATTATAGTAGAAGTATATTAACTGTCATTTATGACTTTTAACATTATGTACCACAAGATACCACCCCGTACCAGTGTGGTATTTTTTGGTCCTGTAATTTGTTCTACCAGAAATTTGTAGATCCAATAGATCATGATGAACTCGTTCATTCTGTACAAACGTTTTCAAAAACGTATTAAAAACGAAGAAGATACAATATGGTATGCAGTTGGTACCGAGGGGCAAGAATTTTTTTTCTCAAAAAATATTGAAAATGTATATCTTTTTGTAGAGCACAACGAACTCGTTCAATCTGTGCAAAAAATAAAAATCCGAGTTAAAACAAAGAATATATGAGCCGATTAAGAAAACTAGGAAAAATAAAAATGACTTTTAATTCTCCATCCTTAGATCTGGATTTTCTAAATGAAGGGTCCAGATTTAGTTATTGATGGGTGCATAACCCATGGTTATGCACCCTATCTTGAGCCTTGTTTTTCCTTCTCGTGGTCCTAGTTAATCTTTCTGAGATTTTACTCAATAAATTCCTAATGGTTTCCCCACTCCCACGTCCCCATCAGCGCCCAAGCCCGACCTCCAAATACCAGTCCCCAAATCATTCATCAATCACATATCATAATCGTTAATTTTTGTTGCAGATTCTGTTGATTGTTTTGTTCTTCGTGGATCGTTCCCTGCTGCCTTGTCCTTGGAGATCAAGATCCTATTTTTATAGCCGACGTTATTGTTCTTATCTTATTTTCAGATTGTTGCAGAATTATACGGCGGAGCCACAGTCATCCTCCAGCCATCTCTTCTTCAAGTGTATGGAACGAAGAAAGCTTCTCCGACAACGGTCATTCGGATGAATGCCTCGTGTCCTATACCAGTTTACGTTTATTGGTATTGTCAAAACCAATTGATTAATGTTCATCTCGTTTCTGGTCAACTTTTGACGACGAGTGAGTTGGTTGCAACATATGAATTGCAAGTTGGATGATTTATTCTTCTCCAAGATGACGGTTAGTTAGCTTTGCTCTCAAGCACGAGAGTTCGACGAGTTTGCATCACATTCGACACCATCACATTGCGGGGGCGTGTTCTTCAAGATTGGCGTATTTTGGTCAAGATTGATGTTGTTCTTCGCATCATCATCTTGCGTGGGGCGTGTTAGAGATAGATTAGGAATAATCTTATATTTCCTTTTCCTTCTAGTATAGTTCTTAGTATTTCCATGTCCTTCTAGTATTGTGGTTCTCTTACTTATTGTTCAAGTCTTGTAATCTATATAAACCCCTTTAAGATTTCATAATAATACAAGCTACAAGTTACACGCTATTATTCCTAAAACAATCGAATTGACATCCCCTGTCTCCTTACCGGAGACTTCAACGCTATTCAAATTTTGTAAAAAAAATCGGGGGCCTCGCAAGGAATACAACAAGGTGATGTCGATTTTTCAATGACATAATTAATTTTGCTGAACCAGTAGACCTTGGGTTCTCCTGTGCGAAGTTTACCTACACTAGCAATGATTATCCTTACATGATATGATCCCTATTGGCAAGCTCTACACGTTTAAATTACTTGACGAAGAAGCTATCGAAGTTGGAAAGAAGAAGGGCAGAATTTGCTAAGTCAAAATCCGTGTTCAGGGTACATACTTTGGAGGCATGGTTCTCTCAATTGGATTATTGGAAATTCCATTTTAAGGGTTTTTTTTGCAGATAAAGTTGCCACCTTTCCAATGGTATGATTTTTGGATCCAGATGATGTCATTAAGGTTGTTTTCCAAGGCCTCAAAGTTACTACCTCAAAACTGGAAAACTGCCAGAAAATGGTTAAGTCTGGAAACTGTTTTGTGAAGCCTACTTTGGAGCTTAATTCGAGGAGTATGGATCTTATTAAAGTCCAAAGGATTCCACAACATGAAACTAGGTATCTTTGTGAACAAAGAGAAGGAGTTGGATGAAGAATTGGATTTCGGGAAGGCCTTGAACAAAAGGCGCGAAGTTAGTACGAAATCACAGAATTTCTGCCTTTGTAAAACAGGATTTTCTTTCCTTATTCAACTATGATTGTTAGATTTGATTCCTTTTCGAGTTAGATTGTATTTAGACTTCCTTTTTAGTTGTTAGATGTAGCTTAGGTTTATTTAAGGCTTTCTTTTACGTTGTAAACTCAGACTTTGTTGAATAGAAATCGAAACCGTTTGGTTTGTGCAAGTTGCGACTTGTTTTGGGTTTGGTGGATTCCAGCCTTGCTGAGCTTGTGTATCGATTGAATAGTCACTTCAATCGTGGTCGAGCAACTATCCTTTTATACCAATCGAGCTATCCCCAGGTGTGGATTTGTCCTTTTGGTTCCGTTTTATCCAAGTTCGTATTAAGAACGCTTCATTCTTGATTCGAGCTCAATCGATTCTTCGATTGAGTCGTTAGCTGCGTGACTTTGATAACATACACCCGCCCAGGGGCATATTAAGTGACTATTCAATCGAAGAATCGATTGAGCTCGAATCAAGAACGAAGCGTTCTTAATACGAACTTGGATAAAACGGAACCAAAAGGACAAATCCACACCTGGGGATAACTCGATTGGTATAAAAGGATAGTTGCTCGACCACGATTGAAGTGACTATTCAATCGATACACAAGCTCAGCACGGTTGGAATCCACCAAACCCAAAACAAGTCGCAACTTGCACAAACCATACGGTTTCGATTTCTATTCAACAAAGTCTGAGTTTACAACGTAAAAGAAAGCCTTAAATAAACCTAAGCTACGTCTAACAACTAAAAAGGAAGTCTAAATACAATCTAACTCGAAAAGGAATCAAATCTAACAATCATAGTTGAATAAGGAAAGAAAATCCTGTTTTACAAAGGCAGAAATTCTGTGATTTCGTACTAACTTCGCGCCTTTTGTTCGAGGCCTTCCCAAACTCCAATTCTTCATCCAATTCCTTCTCTTTGTTCACAAAGATACCTAGTTTCATGTTGTGGAAGCCTTTGGACTTTAATAAGATCCATACTCCTCGAACTAAGCTCCAAAGTAGGCTTCACAAAACAGTTTCCAGACTTAACCATTTTCTGGCAGTTTTCCTGTTTTGAGGTAGTAACTTTGAGGCCTTGGAAAACAACCTTAATGACATTATCTGGATCCACAAATCATACCATTGGAAAGGTGGCAACTTTATCTGCAAAAAAAACCCTTAAAATGGAATTTCCACTAAGCCAATTGAGAGAACCATGCCTCCAAAGTATGTACCCTGAACACGGATTTTGACTTTGCCAAATTCTGTCCTTCTTCTTTCCAACTTCGATAGCTTCTTCGTCAAGTAATTTAAACATGTAGAACTTGCCAGGATCATATCAGGCTTCCCCTCTTCAAAAAGCTTTGTCCTCAAAGCTTGATCTTTTCTCTTGTCAAAAAAATCACAGAATCGATCCCAAATTGGATCGAAAGAGGGCTTCCCAAACTTGCAATTCTGGAAAATTAGGTTAATTTGCTTCATTGAGCAAATTGGGGCTTTCGATTCCAGGCATTCCCAGCTCAATTCACTGATTCCATCAGCTTCGCCACATCTCCAATCGTCATTCTGAACTGGTTCCTCGGCTCGATTCACCCTCTTCGTCGACGAAAATACGATTTCGTCTTTCCCGCCGTCGGCCGATTTTAAATTCTGGAAACCCAGAATTTCCGATTTCAATTTGGGCGTTTCTGATTCAAGCTTCTTCGAGACGAATGGGTCGCTTAGAAACGTTCCTAGGACCTCCCTTGATGTCTCTGAAGTGCTGGGTTGGCTCGAATCGAGTTGGGGAACCTTGCGCAATAAGGGGTCTTGGTCGACCTTCTTCGTCACAAATAGAGGAGATTTTGACAAAGTCAAATTGGCAATTTCAGGTATGTTCGTTCCCGTTGAAGGTACCGGTGACGTCCCTGTAATCGTAGAGATTGTGTCGGCACCCTCGTCGAGTTCCAAATTGTCGTCATCTGCTCCGGCCACGAGATGGTCATCGCCACTGCTTTGCTTCACGAACAGAGCCGATTTCAAGAGGATTGAATCTTCAATTCCAGGTACATTCGACTCAATTGGGTGGACTTCTGACGTTTCTGGGGTCTTGGGAATCACGTCGATATCATCGGCGAGTTTCGACTCTTCGTCGGTGATGCTACCCACGAGAGCCCTCTGCGGACTCTGTTCCGTCAGCGCAAGACAGTCTGACGTCGTCGGCGTCAACGGATCCACTTGAGCGGATTCAGGTATCTTCGACGCTCCTGATTCATTGTTCGAAATTCCTCCGCCGTCGAGGAATACACCTGTGCTCGCCCCATTGATCGATTCGTCCTTTACAACATTGAACTTGTCTGCAGAATGCAGACTCTGTTTTTCCGGCGAAGAGCAGAGGCAGCCAGCTCCGACCTGTGTCTTGACTGGTTCCCTTCTCAGCAACGAATTCCTTGATGTCAAGGCCTCCTGAAACACTTCTTGAAGACGTCGCAGCACCTTCAAATCATCCAAAGCCTCTCCTGCAGCCAACGGTTTCAAAATAAACGCCTTGTTGTGATGCTTCAATCGGAATTGCTTGCATCTTCTACTAACCCGCTGGACCTGTCGATCATGGAACCAAGGTTGTCCCAATACAATATCACTAGGAAGATTATAAACAACATCACACAGTACATGATCTTCGTATTTTCCAATTGTAAACTTCACGGCCACCTGGGTAACCACGATGCTTGAATACTTCTCGTATGGCAATTGAAGTGAATATGGGGCTGGATGTAGCTATAATGGCAGCCCCAATTCGCTAACAATCCTGGTGGAAATTAGATTGGTCTCCCTGCCTCCATCAACAAGTAATAAGCACAGCTTCTCCTTGATTAAACAACGAGTAAAGACCATGGTTTGTGCTAACTCCTCCGCCATTGCTTGTTCTGCCAATCCCATCTTGTTTGAACCCTTACTTCCTCTGTTTTACGTCTGAATTTTGCACGAGAACACAGCCCTTTCAATTCTTCCTCGCCACTGATTTGAACGGGGCTCTGATACCACTTAATACGCCCCTGGGGGGGTGTATGTTATCAAAGTCACGCAGCTAATGACTCAATCGAAGAATCGATTGAGCTCGAATCAAGAACGAAGCGTTCTTAATACGAACTTGGATAAAACGGAACCAAAAGGACAAATCCACACCTGGGGATAGCTCGATTGGTATAAAAGGATAGTTGCTCGACCACGATTGAAGTGACTATTCAATCGATACACAAGCTCAGCAAGGTTGGAATCCACCAAACCCAAAACAAGTCGCAACTTGCACAAACCAAACGGTTTCGATTTCTATTCAACAAAGTCTGAGTTTACAACGTAAAAGAAAGCCTTAAATAAACCTAAGCTACGTCTAACAACTAAAAAGGAAGTCTAAATACAATCTAACTCGAAAAGGAATCAAATCTAACAATCATAGTTGAATAAGGAAAGAAAATCCTGTTTTACAAAGGCAGAAATTCTGTGATTTCGTACTAACTTCGCGCCTTTTGTTCGAGGCCTTCCCGAACTCCAATTCTTCATCCAATTCCTTCTCTTTGTTCACAAAGATACCTAGTTTCATGTTGTGGAAGCCTTTGGACTTTAATAAGATCCATACTCCTCCAATTAAGCTCCAAAGTAGGCTTCACAAAACAGTTTCCAGACTTAACCATTTTCTGGCAGTTTTCCAGTTTTGAGGTAGTAACTTTGAGGCCTTGGAAAACAACCTTAATGACATCATCTGGATCCACAAAGCATACCATTGGAAAGGTGGCAACTTTATCTGCAAAACAAACCCTTAAAATGGAATTTCCACTAATCCAATTGAGAGAACCATGCCTCCAAAGTATGTACCCTGAACACGGATTTTGACTTAGCCAAATTCTGCCCTTCTTCTTTCCAACTTCGATAGCTTCTTCGTCAAGTAATTTAAACGTGTAGAGCTTGCCAATAGGGATCATATCATTACACGTATAGAGCCAACCGTTTGGACGTAAGCTTCTCCAATCTGGTGTGGAACACGATCATCCCAAATAGAACCTCATCATGACGACTATTGTTGGCCATAATCCCCCCTTCAAGCACTCCTCCTTTCAAATTCTAAGCGGCTTGGCTCAAACATTGCAACTTTCAGGATTTTGTGGGGGAATTTGGTCATTTTAATCACTCGATTCATACACTACGGTTTTAAAAATACCAAATCCAAACCCACCAAAAAATTTAGAACCCGACAATTTGTATATAGTTGGGTTGGGACAGGTTGGAGATACTTTTAATTAAAAATCCACCATAACACAAAAAAGACAACTATTCTAAACCATAAAATATTACATAAATCAACAATATATATTATATAACAAATTAAATTTTTAAACAAATAAATCGAAATGAAAAGTATCAAAATGCATAAATGGTATTTAATTTAATGAAATACAATTTGCTTCAAAATAAGTCTAGTTTTTTTCACACACATTTGTCGAAATAAATAAAATAATTATAAGTAAATGCAATCATTATATATTATTCTTCTAAAATTATACACTAAAAAATTACGTGAATTGCAGATGCCTCGGTGTTTCTCCATCAGTTCTTGCAGCCAGACGCCCAGACCTACTGCAGCCAATGTCATCTATGCTGTGTATTTCACCATACTGTTCGCTCTTGCAGCTCGAGTGCCTCCAGAATCTGCAAACTCTTCTAATGGTAACCAACACAAATTCGCAAACTCAAATCTTTTGTCTCGGTTTGAACAATCTGTTCATCATCGTTCCAATGGGGAGACTTGTTTACATCGGTGCATTCAACTAGGGCTGAAAATTTACTTGTCCCGTTCCTGTCTCGTCCCTGACCCTGTCTGACCCGTCCCTAAAGGGTCAAGATGTATAACTGACCCGTCCCTGTCTCCTTCTTGACCCATTCTGACCCTCAAGGGTTGGGACGGGACGGGACGGGCCTGGTCTGTGGGTCGACCCTAATCAACACACTACTTTTTTACAAATTATATTTTGGTACCCAAAATAATTTTTTCTTACAATTTAGTACCTAAAATTTATTTTTTTTACAAATAAGCCCATAAATTTTGATGGTAAAATTACAATTTGGTACCCAAATTTTTTTTACAAGTTAGTACCTAAACTTTTAAAACTTTACAAAAAGGTCCAATGTGGTGTGAGATATTTGTTGTTGCTAAGGGTCACAGGGTCAAAACGTGACCCGTCCCTAAGTTGTCCCGACCCTTACAGGGTCAACAAATGACCCGTCCCTAATCTGTCCCTGTAGACAAACTGACCCATCCCGACACTTAGGGACAGGACGGATCAGAACGGATCAGTGGGTCTTCCAAGTCAAGCTTTCACCCTTACATTCAACTAGTGGATATCAGTAGGAAGCTTCTTCCCCTTCATTTTGGGCATGCTTAAGCAGCAGGCAGCTTGTTCCCTTGATCAGAAAAGAATAGTGATTTAGAACCAAGGCAGTCTTATCAAGTAGTCTAAATTTTGGAGGGTTAATTTCACGGTTGGTCACTAAAATTACAAAAAACGTTCAAGTTTGATCACTCGAAATATTTAAATTAATTGGTGGTACTTCAGTTTACTCAAACCGTTCACGTTTGGTCACTCTTCGTCCAACTCCGTTAACTTTGGCTGATGTGGCAGTCAACTCTCAAAGTTGACCGTTAACTTAGTGACGTGACAACTAAAAAATTATTAAAAATAAAAAATTTATATTTTCAACCTCATTATTACATTCATTAAAAAAATAAAAAAATAATAATAAAACCTAATACACAACCCGACCCGACCCAACCCAACCTCCACCTCCGCTTCCATCCTTTCCACATGGCCTGGTCAAGCTGAAACCCAATCCCCCTCTCCAAATCGAACCTACAGAAATTAGCCGCCGAGGGCTCTTTTCTCCGTTCCTGATTCTTCAGCTGCTGGTTGTCAGTTTTGGATTGGCGCCAAGCCCGAATCTTATGCAGAGTTTGGTGCTTCTCGGCGCGTTCGCGCTCAATGGCGTCGATTTGATTGAAGACGAAGCTCATGCGTGCGAAAAGAGAAGAGGGTTTTGGAGGGTCGGAAGGAGAGGCGGCGGCGACGGAAAAGGTGGAATAGGGTTTAAGGGTGGAAGGCGAGGAAGAGAGGTGGGCGAAGCTGTAGGGTTTAAGGCGTCTCCATAAGAGGAGACGAACTTGGGTTCTTCTCGCCATTTGTCCAGGAGAACGCAACGGCGGAGGAAAGAAGAAAGGCTATGATTTGCTTATAATGAGTTTTCAGAGTGCCTCCCAGTTCTGAATTCACGGCGTGAAGTTCAGATGGTTGGAGAGGGGGATTGGGTTTCAGCTTGACGAGGCCATGTGGAAAGGATTGAAGCGGCGGTGGAGGTTGGGTTGGGTCGGGTAGGGTGTTAGGTTTTTTATTTATTTTTTTATTTTTAATGAATGTAATAATGAGGTGGAAAATATAAAATTTTTATTTTTATTTTTAATAATTTTTTAGTTGCTACGTCACTATGTTAACGGTCAACTTTGAGAGTTGACTATCACATCAGCCAAAGTTAACCGAGTTGGACGGAGAGTGACCAAACGTGAACGGTTTGAATAAACTGAAGTACCACCAATGGATTTAAATATTTCGAGTGAACAAACTTGAACGTTTTTTGTAATTTCAGTGACCAACCGTGCAATTAACCCTCCAAAATTTAGACAACTTGATAGGACTGCCTTGGTTCTAAATCACTATTCTTTTCTGATCAAGGGAACAAGCTGCCTGCTGCTTAAGCATGCCCAAAATGAAGGGGAAGAAGCTTCCTACTGATATCCACTAGTTGAATGCACCGATGTCAACAAGTCTATCCTCATTGGAACGATGGTGAACAGATTGTTCAAACCGACACAAAAGATTTGAGTTTGCGAATTTGTGTTGGTTACCATTAGAAGAGTTTGCAGATTCTGGAGGCACTCGAGCTGCAAGAGCGAATAGTATGGTGAAATACACAGCATAGATGACATTGTCTGCAGCAGGTCTGGCTGCAAGAACTGATGATGAAACAGCGAGGCATCTGCAATCAGTGGTGAATCCATGGGGCTCTAGGGGTATCCCGGGACACCCTAAAATATGGGAACACGATTATTCAACCTCCGATAGTAGTTTACATATAGGTAAAAAAAAAAATTTAAGTGGTGGCGGGACACTCCCAAAATTTGGAAAAACGATTATAATCCCCGAATAGTAGTTTGTGTATGGCTAAACATTTAAGTGTTTGCCTATGTGATTTGAACTTGGGTCGATGCTACTATTAGTAAACATATTTTTCATTAGACTATAACTCATTTGTTCTTGTATTTCAAATTTAAATATAATAGTAAAAAGTTATTTTTTATCCCAATTATTTTCAAAAGCTAACGATTAAACCCAATTACGGACTCCCCTAGTTTAGTAGGATATATCGAGATAGATTTATAGAGCATTATTGGAAACCGATTGTATTTTATAATTTTTTCAAAGTACGAAACACGTCATGTGCTTTGTTTTCCTTTGGACGTACAAGTCAGATATTTTCTTAGTTAATAATTATTTTAACTTAATCTTTAGGAGAGGACACCCACACCCCTATATAAAAGTTCTGGATTCACCACTGTCTGCCATGTGGCTACATAATTCACAGCTGCAACACAAACCCAGATGTGATTTAAGAAGTATAATGCTTAGAAGATAACCAAATCATTCAAACATAATACATATGATCAATCCATTACCTCCACCAATATGCCTGCCCATTAGAGCAGCTGCAATTTTCCAATTGTCATGGCCAAGTGATCTCATCGGCACCAGTAGGTAGGCCACCACTGTTCCTGTCGTTTCGCAACTGTTCATACAAAGCCAACCCGAGCGTGGAATCTCTGGAATCGGCTCCAACGTCTGGCTAATTTGGGACCACAGAAGCTTTGACGCCATTTACGTCAAACTTCAAGGCAGGAGAAAGGAAGAGACGTTTCAGTCATGAGCACAGTGGACAGTTATCTGTGTTCACAGTTCGAAGCCGCCAAAAGGAGAGCTCGTTTCACTTTGCCACATAACAACAAAAACAGCTGATGCATATTTTCTATATTGTACCCCGGAGTTGGTGTTAAAAGCACGTTGCAGCGACCTTGATTGAAGCTTTGATTCATGTTAACTAGTTCAAGCATCATTCATTCCAAATTTCATCCACGGTAACATTTATAATACAAGCACCATCCCATTCTATCCTCCACATTGTTCTAGTATGGCATGACTATCAGGGTTTCCATATCATACCCGAGTAGCCTACCATCGGGCTACAAAAACATTGGGGCTCACTTAGATGTGATGCTATCATCGGCCAGCTTTTGTTTCTTAACGCTAGTCGTCTCTTCTTCCAAGGCTCTCAGTTTGTTCTTTATCGCAGCTATCTTAGCGCTCTTATTCGTTTGCCCCGTGCAAAATAAGACCCAGTTTTTTTGGTGCACCCGCTGCTGTTCTTGAAGAGCTCTGTGCAGCCTCTTCCTCCAAGTTTCTCTCGCTCAAAATGCGCACCACCAATGGCCGGCCACAAGCTAATCTCCCGTGCATCTTTTCCTTGGCTAATTTAGCTTCCTGCATACTCACTAAATTTGCATAGAAACCAGTAGAAGCAAAAGACAACACGACAGCTTACCTCTTTGTAGCTGAACTGGACGAATGCAAAGGCACGTGGATCTCCACGCCTGGGGCCACGGGTATGCCACAAGAAGTCTTCAGAGATGATCTTTCCATATGGAGAAAACATCTTAATCAGAGTGGCCCTGGTGACAAAAGAAAAATATGGCAATCAAGATTAAAGAGAGGACAAGAACAACATAAGCTTCCATCAACCTGATAAAAGTTGAGGAACTTTCTTACTCTGTTATTCTCAGGTCAAGGTTACCAACGTAAAGTCTGCTTTCTGCTTTCTCCTCACTGAACCCATTAGGGTCCTGCAGCAACTATGAACCAGTCAATGAAAGTGCACCAGTATCAGTGCTGCAACCAAACACTACTCCGAAGCCCACATAGCAACAATATTCATCTAGCTTATAAATTTCAGATGAGTGTAACTATATAGTGAATTCTATCTTGATGGGTTAATAACTTAATATCGTCCCAAAATTGTAGTTAAGTGCAGCACAACATTCTCATCCCATCACTAAAATGGCAGTTCAAGTGCACACGTACTCAATGGTAGCATTTACATCTGGGGTGATGGTACTCAAGGATCATAAGTTTTTACCATATTGCTATTTATGGGGGGCAAGTTGAGGAGAAACCCCAGAATCAAGAGCTTCAAAAACTGCAAAAAATAGTCACAAAGTCGGGAGCTTTAGTGATCAGATAGTGCCAGAAAAGCCAACAACTTCCTTTCAGATTTCAACACTAAGTCTATCATTTTAGAACAATGATCCGAAAGCTAAAGGCTAGATCATACTCGCTGCCCACTGGACCAGCCACTGTAGTATACAGCTAGCCAAACAGCCTCTTTTGATCACAATATGCAATTGACGCAGCAGCCGCGACCGGATCATAATGTTTTACCAAATATTAAGAAATTCAGCTAAAAGGCCTAGTAACCTACCGTGGAAACTACACTAAAAGGCCGAACTCAGTCGAAACCATTCCAGGCAGAAGTTCCCTAACGTGGAAGTAAAAATGTCTAACCATGCTACAACTCTACCCCCAACCACATACACTGAAACCATGGCTCAGTTTGGCATTTCCTGAATCCTTAGCGAAGTACCCAATCGAGCCCTAGAATTTCGATTAACAAACTTCATGAAAGGAACTGCAAGTTGGTGGAAACACAGAGCTGCGATTGCTTACCAAAAGAAGACAGATTACAAGACGGGCTCAACGCTCTCCTATATGGCCCGCCGGTGAAGTGATTCAGCCGCCGGCAACCCAGTGAGGTAAGGTTGAGCAGGGAGGAAGAATTGAGGAAGCAAAGGAACGGATTTGCCTTGAAACTTGAAAGTTCTCATCGGATAGAAACTGGAAATGATCGTCCAAGACAAAAGCCCAACTTACAGGCATTTTTCCAGAAGTAGCACTGTTTAAAAAAAAAATTCAAAAATAGCACTTAAGTCCGAAAAATTCCAAAAATAGCACCATTTCCCAAAAACCGCTCCCTTCCAGTGCGGTTTAGGCGAAAACCGCACCCCTAGGGAGCGGTTTTGCAGATCGCACCCCCACCATGCGGTTTGGTTGCAGACCGCACCCCCACCATGCGGTTTGGTTGCAGATCGCACCCCCACCATGCGATCTGCTTTTTTTTTTTTTTTTGAAAATCCTAACCTAGGTGGAAACTTCAAACGAACATATCTTTGTGTTCGAGTATCAGATCGTCGCGATTTTTTTTTTGATTCTGCATAACTTTTTGAGATCTTGCAAGCCGAAGACTGCCGAAAGTGGTTTGATCTCGCCTTCGTCCCAAAAAATGTCGTTTGCTACCCCGCACGAGCTTATTTCCGATTTCGTCAAACTTTGGACAACCATAACTTTGTGCTCCAAAAACCAAACGACATGAATTTTTTTTATTTCGCATAAATTTTTAAGGAATACAACTTTTATCATAGACATAATTTCAAAATGTACGTTGATTGCTGAGAAGGTAAGGTAAGCTATTCCCAAAATCCTGTATATCCAAAATAATTCCTGTTTTGAAAATTCATTCTAGTAAAAATTGTAGTCCTTAAAAAGTTATGCGAAATAAAAAAAAATTCATGTCGTTTGGATTTTGGAGCCCAAAGTTATGGTTGTCCAAAGGTTGACGAAATCGGAAATAAGCTCGTTCGGGGTAGCAAACGACATTTTTTGAGACGAAGGCGGGACCAAACCACATTCGGCAGTCTTCGGCTTGCAAGATCTCAAAAAGTTATGCGGTATCAAAAAAAATTCGCGATGATCGGATACCCGAACACAAAGATACGTCCGTTTGAAGTTTCCACCTAGGTTAGGATTTAAAAAAAAAAAAAAAGCAGATCGCATGGTGGGGGTGCGATCTGCAACCAAACCGCATGGTGGGGGTGCGGTCTGCAACCAAACCGCATGGTGGGGGTGCGATCTGCAAAACCGCCCCCTAGGGGTGCGGTTTTCATCGAAAAACGCGCCCCTGGGTGGCGGTTTTCGCCTAAACTGCACTGGTAGGGAGCGGTTTTTGGGAAAGGGTTCTATTTTTGGAATTTTTCGGACTTAGGTGCTATTTTTGGATTTTTTTTTTTAAACAGTGCTATTTCTGGAAAAATCCCCAACTTACACGGACCGGTAAGCTCAATTAACCAGTCCACGATAGAGATGGCAATGGGGGCTGGGGCTAGTGATGGCAACGGGGCGGGGCGGGGCGGGTACCTCAATTCCCATGCCCCGCCCAAGGCTACTACGGGTCGGGGCGGGTAAAATTTCCGCGGGTATGAGGCGGGGCGGGTCGAGCCACTCTTACATGTTGTTAAAAAAAAATACAAGTAAATTTTACTTTTTACAATAAAACGTAGAGAAAAACACTTTAAGAATGAAAAATATTGATAATAGAATGGATAATTGAGTCTAACAAGTTGAAAGATCGACTCTAACTAGTTGAAGAAAAGTCAAAATAGGAGAAATATGTATAGATATTGTAAGAAATTGAGATAAAATGAGTCTAGAACGGGGCGGGGTGGGGCAGGGAGGGTCGGAAGTAGATACCCATGCCCCGCCCCACGCTACTGCGGGTCGGGTAATACCCGCCCCATCGCGGGTCAGGTCGGGTAATACCCGCGGGGCGGGTACCTCAATTCCCATGCCCCGCCTCACACTAATACGGGTCGGGGCAGGTAAAACCCGCACGGGTACGGGGCGGGGCGAGTCGACCCACTCTTACACGTTGTTAAAAAGAATACAAGTAAATTTTACTTTTTACAATAAAACGTAGGAAAAAACACTTTAAGAATGAAAAATATTGATAATAGAATGGATAATTGAACCTAACAAGTTGAAAGATCCACTCTAACTAGTTGAAAAAAAGTCAAAATAGGAGAAATATGTATAGATATTATAAGAAATTGAGATAAAATGAGTCTAGAACGGGGCAGGGCGGGTCGAAAGTAGATACCCATGCCCCGCCCCATGCTACTGCGGGTCGGGTAATACCCGCCCATCGCGGGTCAGGTCGGGTAATACCCGCGGGGCGGGTTGAAATTTCCATCACCAAATGGGGCGGGTTTGCTTAAACCATCCCCATACCCATCTTCAAATACCCAAACCCATACCCGCCCCATACCCATGCGGGGGAATGTTTTGCAAACCCATCCTCATACCCGTTGGTTTCGGGTACCCATGGGTAATACCCATACCTCTACATCCAACAATATTATACCTAAAACTTACAAGAAAAGTTCTAATTATAACTCTAAACGAACATATTATATCATGAAGTCAACAAAACACGGTCATTTTTTTAATATGGTTCAAAGATTATGATCCTAAAATATCCATTAATACATAATATAGAGTATAATATTTTTCAAATTATTATGTTCTAACTCTGATACATCTACAAAATAATAATTAACTAACATAATCTTGTTGACAAGGGGAAAAGTGAAAGAGTGAAATGAGAATTGAGAGAAATGAATTAAATTTTGATTAAGGTGATCACTCAATTGCATTTCTACTATTTATTTTCTCAAGTTATCCTCATCATCATTGATAGATTATAATTTGATGCACATATTTTTTATATATGAAGAAATTATCTTGGTGGGACGGCTATGGGATGGGTATGGGGCGAGGCTAAAACCATACCCGACCCATACCCATCAAACTATTTGCGAGTTTTACCCATACCCGCCCCATACCCGGTCAAAGCGGGAATTCCCCGCGTTGATTGGATCGGGGGCGGTCGGATACCCGCGGCCATGGGTTTGATTGCCATCCCTAGTCCACGAATGCCCAATGATAAGGAAAGCTGCAGCCCAAGAGAACCAGACGCGAAAAAGAACAAATTACTGGAAGAATGATATCATGCTGATGTCTAATATAAATAATAACGAAAGCAAGTTGCATAACAAATTTACCATGTCGAGATGGCAAGTCTCCCTGTAATAAAATGGTCACTAATTTGAGTCCACACAAATCTCTAATTGTTGAAATTATTTCCGAGCCAAAGGGGGTGCACATAGCTCCGCCACTGATCATCTCCTCTTTGCCATCACAATTTCGTGTCAAAATGATTTTTTTCTATCATATCAGTTGTTTGGAGTACAACAATATTTATCATCATTTACGATACATATGTATTATAAGAATTATGTCTGTTAGTTTTATGTGATTAAAACGACAATTTGTATTAATATGGCTATGTTTGTCGATAGTATGCCAACAACTAAAATGCTAGTTGAATCGTTTATTTTGTTTCATTTTATTTTAAAGACCTTATACTGTTAAGAAACTATTTCGAAAGCTTATTCGATCTAACTTTTTGTGTAGTTGCACAAGCCATAATTCTGAATTGGTTTTACAATCTTCATTTCCATCGGTTTACACTTTACAGTGACGTGTAGCTTTTAATCAAGAGTTCCCCCAAACTCAAGCAAAGAACAACAAGACCGGAAAAAAATATCCAGACTTCCATAGAGTCATCCACATTTCACACCGCCAACTTCTATATCCTCCAAAGCGAGCGAGTCGACAGAAAAATAAAATCGAAAAGGGAAAAAGCGAAAAAAGGTTTTAAACCAAAAAGGAAAATGGAAACAAATCAACTGCGCGCCAGCAAATTGAAAAAAAAGGGGGAAAAACTCAGAGCGAATAATTTCGTGGTAGAGGTAAAGTTGGGCGAAGAAGAACAAGGAGCAGAAGAAGGACGCCGGAGCAAGAAGCAGCGCCGGAGTCCGCAGGCGGAAGGGGAGGAGTTTCCGCCAAGATAGGAGAGTGTAACACTCTGGATCTTCCGCGCGAGTTTACAGAGAAAGGAATTCGAATTCAGCTCGTAAATGAAGAACATAAATGGAATTAGAGGAGAAGAAGGAGAGATTGAGGAAGAAGAAGCAGAGGAAGAAGGGAGGAAGAAGGGAGAAGAAGAATAGAGAAAGAAGAAATATGTTTGTTTGTCCTTCGATAGTTTCTGCAGTTTTTTACACTTCTATTTATATGACAGCCAAATTACTAATTGGTACCCCAACTAAATCCTAACACAACTAAACCCCATTCATTATAGAGAGAAACACGGGAGGAGGTTTCTGAAGCTCGACAGTGAGGATTAATGATTGTTGATTTTTTGCGTTTGTGAAGAAAGAAGGATGGCGGATGTGATATTGCACATATACGATGTGACCAACAGTGGATCGGAGAAGACGAACAACACAATCATGCAGATCAATAAGATCTTCAAGGACGGTATTGGCATCGACGGCTTCTTTCACAGTGTTGTTCAGGTTCTCCTTCTCTCCTTCTGTCCCTCTCTCTCGCTCTCAATCTCCTTGATTTTGGGGCTCTGGAATGGCCATGTAGTTCTTAATGTCTTGTAGACTTTCTGAGTAGACATTGGAGTCAAATTACACGATGAATTTGGGTAGATGCAATGGCTGACATTGTTATTAAAGATAATTGAATGCTTATTCAGGTGTGTACCTTGGTCTTGTTGCTGAATTTGATGATGTTGAAAGCTAGTGAGTGTGTTGGTGATGTTCATTGATGACAGTTGGTTAATGGTTCCAGTGGCGGCTGGGTTGCATGGTTAGGCTGCGGAATAGTTTATGGCCAGTCAGTAGGTCTAGATTTGGAAGTGGAAGTCAGGAGTTGTGAGATGGTTGAGGACTAGATTTGACAGAACAATGAGGTCCATTGAGACCGTTAAGTCTTTCAAACCTTTCGCCACTATGTTTCCCATCCCTCACAAAAATTACTATTGTTTTTCCTGTATTGTATGTGGTATGCCTCAAACTTGTATGGAATTACGGTTAAGACATCGACGAACTTATGGACAGGCACTATCGAGTCCGAGTGTAGAAACTAGGCAATGATGAGTACAATGACCATCCATTTATATGGATTTCCAAATTAAACCTATCTTGCCAGCAACAGAACGTCTAACATATTAGAAACTGAACTTACTAGAAGAGTGCGAGAAATGAAGCTTTAGTTAAATGCATCAACTAATGAATAAGAACAATATATAATCACTTCTTATAAGTTGTATATGCTTGCTAGACCCTTGGACAATGATGAAGGTGTATGTTTACGTGACTACTTCCTTCCATGATCAACTGTTGCTTTGCACTAATGTTGAATTGCGTATGGATTATTGAGTTGTTTACCCCTTGTGACAGGTGTATGGAGAAGATGAATGGTCATTTGGCTTTTGTGAACATGGAACGAGAGTTTTTAGTTGCCCGTCGGGAAAGAACCCAATGTATACTTACCGTGAAAGCATTATACTTGGAAGAACCAACTTCTCAAATCTATAAAGTGAATCAGATCCTTCGCGAACTTAGTAGAGAGTGGCCTGGAAGCTCTTATGATTTGTTGGCCAAGAACTGTAATCACTTCTGTGATGAGTTCTGTGAGAAGTTGGGAGTCCCAAAGCTTCTTGATATATGATCTGTTATACTTGCTAGTACTATCCTCTCCTTTAAAAGCTTGATAATGTTGTTGATTGGCGCACCGTCATCTGCTTTAGTGGCTGTTTAAGATACGCGAAGGAGCAACTGGAGCTTTCTGTTCCCGGGAAAGTTCCATTTGCCCTTGTCTTCTGTTGTTTAACTGTATGTATTTATCTTTTTGGGTTCCTTCGAATGGTGTGTGTTTTCAAGATTATTAGGGAAGTCTCTAACACCTGCCTTGTAAATATAAATTTGATTTGTGTTGTAATTAGATCTTAAGTAAATATGAATGGGTTGGGGACTACCCATAGATCCTCTCAGATTTAACCGCCATCTTCTTTGCTGAAATGTTAAGAAGGAATTGGCTTTTGTTCAGGATCATGAACCTAGGTATTTGTCTATGTCAGTCCTTCTGAAGCATCCAGGAGTCAGTTCATGCAAATATGACATTCTTTCTATTCTCCACCTCATTCACAGGTTGGGTGAACCGATTTGCCAATGCTGGGGATGCTGCTGTTGAAATAGCTGGAACCACAGCTCTAAGAGTAGGATCCCATTTTCCAGGTCCCTCTTCTCTGTCCTTGGAGTTCTGCACGTTTATGTACCTTTTCAGCTTACTTTTCTTGGACATCGAAGTAGCTTACAGTGTGGGTTCAGTAACTTTGATTCAGAGGGCAGACCATTACAGTCTGTAGTGTCTAGGCTTTGATAATTGACCTCTGTGTTTTCACAGGCATGTGGATTGCATGCGTGCTGCTTTGTCCTTATAACATGTCACGTATTGTCCATCCTCTCATTGCTAACAAATGTGGGTCTAATATTTTTACAAGATAGGGCGATTGATGGATAATTGTATGTTTTCATCTCCGTTGCTTGCAGTTCAGACAAGCTAAAACTGAGATTGTATCAGCTAGCAAGGTAGCCTATCGTTTCCTTCTAGGTGTGGCATCCAACAATGGTTATACTCCTGAATCGCCTGGAAACTCGAATGGTGGATCTCTTAGGGTTCAAGCAACTTGGTTCAAGAACCTTGTCACCACCAGGGGAAAACCGTCAACCAGTACTGAAGTTGACAATCAGGTGGATCTAGTCTCTCCGCAACGGCTCTCACCAGTCCCCCCACTGACTCAACAGCAGTAGTCGAGACAAGAAGGTGCAGAATGGACATTGGAATGAGTCTGATAGGCTATTGAGACACAACTCGAGGCACGAAGACATCTTATCTGGCTCGTAGTCAGAAATATGTGTTGTGCCATAGATGATTTTACTCCAAATCCTTGAAGTTTGAATGGAAAGCCATATGATTGTCTACCTCTGTAAAATGTTTCATTTGCTTTCTGAAACCAAGTTTCGTTTGAGGTTCCTGTAAGACAGAATGTTGGAGGGAGGTGTCGTGATATTCTTTGATGTGATCTCTTTCGTGCTTCTTTCTCTCTTGCACAATTCTTGCATGCCTTGCTTTCTGATTGTAACCAGAGCCTCACATCGAGGTTTGATATTGGTAATGAGTGTGCTACGATTCGAGCTGTAAAGCGCTTGTAGAGCTATAGTCGAACTTTCAGCTCTGCAGCATCTCCACAGGCATTGCAACGACTTGTGCAGGTCGATGACAGGTTATCTCTGGCTGTTCCATCTTCTTGCGCATGGCACATGATTTTGCATGCAATAATATTCAGGACACTTTTCCATGCAATTTTTTGGGGCTAAATCGACATCTGTGATGCAATATAATAATTTGAATACACACAACATTGAGAAGAAAACCAAACGCCAAATTGCATAATTGTTACATACCAGAAAATTCACAAGGAAACTGCAAAAGACCAGTTTAGATATGGTCGGACAGCTCAAGAAACAAGCATAAGAAACTAAATAGTAAATCCTCAAAATAAAATAAAAATAAAAAACACACTAAAATATCAAAGCAGCTGGAGGTTTACGGTGCAACAATAGTTCAGTTCAGCCCAGAACATCTGAATACAAGAGAGCAAGACACTCGAGAACTATATATACACTAGTGTGGGCCCCGGCCAGTTGGCCGGAGGAAGGTAGGATGGCAATGGGTCGGGTTGGGTTGGGTTTTGCCAAATTCAAATCCAAATTCATGGGTTTATCCGTGAAAAAAATTCGGGGTAAAATCCACTGGGTTTGAAAAACTCAAACCCAACTCAACCCCCTGGGTATCCGCGGGTTCATGGGTACCCACAGGTTTTTGTCTTAAAAAATTTACAATAACAAGTTGCTATCAAAATTAAACTCAAATATCAATCTCTCAATACAAATTATACATATATAAAATATCATTCTAGAAAATTCAAGCAAATAACAAATTATCCATAAATAACATGATTAATTGAAAGTTTCTTCCTTTCAATTAAGTTTCTTCACTCTCCACTCAATAACATCAACTTCATTCTACACAATTAGAAAGAAAAAATTAGACATGTCTCCACAAACATAAATAAGATAAGTTGTTTAAAATATTAAATATATCGAGAAAATTAATTATATGAGTGTGGGCGGGTACCCATGGGTCGGGTTTACCTAAACCCAAACCCAACCCGATGAATATTGAACGGGTTTAAACCCAAACCCGGCCCAAAACCCGTCAACACGGATTTTACCTGCGTTGACCGAGTTGGGTAGGGTGGGTACCCGTGGGTTCGGATTTTGTTTTCATCCCTAGAGGAAGGTGAGGTATGAAATTTGATAATGTAATGGGGTGTATAACTTATTGTTGTATAGTTTTTTTGGGAAACACGTGATAAAAATAGTGAATTTTAGCAGGAAAGAGACATTAATGATGCAACAAATCAAAAATCGGCCTTATGAACCAAAATCAAGTACCTGTTACCTTGTGAAACAATATTGTTTCTGGTAATATGATGAGGTGGAGTAAGTTTTATAGAAACTGAATTCTAGAAAATCGAATAAAAAATCGCCTATCCCGTCGGTTTTCGGGAAATGAGCATCTCACAATCGTTGCTAGCTTTTACTCGGCCCGTTGGCCGATTAATTTGGTTTATAAAACTTTCATCTTGTCGTCATTGTGCTTTCTGGTTTTTTTCAGGCTATGATAAAATCTAAGGAAATAAAGAACGAACAACACGATTTGGGATAGGAACCGTCGTTGTCGTATCCCTAGAAAATGGTGGTAAACACGGACTCACCTGCCAAACTGGTTTGGATTGAGATTTTTATCGGGTATCAGGGAACCATGTGATTATAAATTAGACTTGATCAAAAGGGGCCAAAACTTGAAATGCAGCCTGTTTGACCGACCCATGCCAAATTCTAATTATTCTTTACTTTTAAACTTTTTATTTGAAAATAAAAAATAGTGAAAGAAAAGAGATGACTGCCATTTGCACATCACTTATTCGGGAATAAAACCATAGAAATTCAAAAGGAACTGAAAATGTTAGGATCGTTTTAATGTTTAAAATAACCAAATAGATCTTTCTGTTTAGTTTTTTACTAACAAATACCAAACGATTCCCTATAAAATACACTATGATTTGATCATTATGATATCAAATAATTATATAATATATATTTGAAATGATAAAAATTAGACTAATTGGGTTGGTCGAGGTTGAATGAATAACTTTAAAATACATTATATTTTAGCCACTAAGATATAAAATAATAGCATAATATATTATGCCAGAGAAAATAGCTTGTTTTAGAATGTCAAACCAATGATGTTCATTTGTTTTACTTGATGGCCAAATCCCGTGTAGGTCAAACCAATTCAACTCTTTTATTTTATGGTTAGCGGTTAGCCCATTAGATACCATGCATTAGTTTATTGTTAAATTTTTTATTTTTAGCAATAAAAAGAAGTATTGTTTTTGCCTCTTCATATATATTTTATCACCACGGAGAAATAAAAGGGCGTAATGAAAAAATTGACACTCTTGAACCCGTTTAAATCCGCATGTGTACGGTAAGTTGGCCCGTTCCACAGAGGAAAGAGGAAAAAATTGACACTCCCTATTCCTTTTTTTTGTAAGGAAATTTGAAATGGGGGAAGGGTTTTTTCCTCTCTGCTATTATATCTTTTTAATTTAAAAAGATGCAACAAATGTATTTAGTGTGATTGGTTATAATCCTTACTTTTCCTTAAAATGGTCATGGTTCGAATCCCACTACGTGTCTTTTTAATGAATTATAAAAAGTAAGTGTGAAGACCAAAATGTCCTTCCTACTTTCACTCTCGTTGCAGGAAATTTGAAATGGGGCTCCCGTTTTTCCCTTCGGTGTATTATATTATGTGTAGATACAACAAAGAATTTGTTCAGAAGTGATGGACTAATGAGATTTTGACTCCTTTGAGAAGCAAACCAGAGAATCACTGCTCCAATGTGAATGTTATCTATCTATCTATCCCCTCAGCATCCCGTCCAAGACGAAATGTGTCGACAGCATCCTCCTCCACAATTGTAGAGATGAAACAGCCTGAGCTACAATGAGACCAGCTGAGAATTCAACTGCAGCTCCCCATCCCCGTTCATGACCAAAGTACGATCCCCGTACGTCCATTCCTCCAAGGGAGCCATAAGAGAACGACGCCCATTCACCACCATCGGCAGAACGGTAATAATGTGGGAGGAATGCTGCTCCACTCTTGTCCATGTAGATGTTGACATTTCCGGATGCACAACCCCACGGGTTGAACTCGAACCCTACTTTTTGTAGTACAATTTGGTGACGAAAATCATCAGTGGAGTCCTCGCGTCAAGTAGAACGTGCAGCGCTACTGCCCCTACTATTGCAGCACCCTCTTCATCGAGCCTCTATTGTTCTTCTTTCTTCTTCTGCTTCTTCTTCTTCTCTAGTTCGGACCTAATGGCGGCTGAAGTAGCCAGTGCTTTTTCCAGGCGCCTCTTCTTCTTGTCGGCCTGTTTGAGGCGGTCCATCTCGCCTTTGCACAACCGTTGCATCTGCCCATCTTTTCATACACCGAGACAGAAGAGCCCAAATACTAAATCCAGAACGACGGTGGAAGAAGCAACAATCACCAATATGGGACAAACTGCTCACATTGCCTTCTCTATTCCAGGAAAAGAACCCAGTAAAAACGCCAATCAAACATCACCTACGCAAAAAAGTGCAACACGGATTAAAAAGCCAAGCAGGCAAATTCACACCATACCATACAACAAAAATTGACAAACCGCACAGATCTAAGGCATTCATTTCAGCAGGTAAAACGAACTGCGATCAGATCAAACACTCGACATGACAATACTTCAAACCCTGAGAATTAGATCCGTTTCCATCTCACGATCAAATTACCTCAGATTCAAATAAAAACAAATAAAATCTACGCTAGCCTAGAATTCCTTTTCGCAATTGATACACACCGGTTGCTTCTGGAGTTCAAACAAAACCAACAAACAATGATCCAACCATTCTAGAGGCAGGCTATCAATCAGATCCAACTAATCCCAATTCAAAAAGCACATATCCGTCACTACAAACAATCCTCTACCCTCATTGGACCAATTCGCCACCAAGGACCCTAATCAGCCGAGTGACCTCTACAATTGAGAGATGGAACAGTAAATGAATCAATCAAACAAAGGGAGGAGGAGGAGGAAGAAAGCCAAACCTCGTTTCCAATGGGCTGGAAGATGAGAAAAGCGCGAGAAGAGAACCTCCCTCTCGGATCGGGACAACGGACGCACCGAGGAGAGAGCGAAGCACGCACACGGAGAAACTCGGAACTAGGTGGGAAAGGGTACGAAGGAAAGAGAGGGAAAGGGGGTGTTTGGATCTAGAGAAAGTACACAAATAGACAGAGAGAGAAAGAGGAAAAGAAGAAGCACATGCTACCGTGCCAGTTGCGAATAGTAACCTGCCACGTGTCCTTCTATGCTTTGCGTGTTGTGTCGTCAAGTGTGGAAAGCGTGGGGATGAACTTAGAAATTCCGGATTTTTCCTTTTTCGTTTTTGGTGTTTGTTTCTACTCCGTTCGTTTCATTTTATGAAAAACAAAATCACACAATACATAAGCAGTCACTTAAGTCTGTCGCAACAAATTGGTCACTGAATCTGAATTGTCTACAATGGCTCCAGTTAAATGCACTTACATTCTCAATCAGTAGCCCAATCAATTCAAAGCCTCAGCTCATCTAATTAAGCCTTAAAGTGGGCCCAATGTTTAGCACGCAAATCGAGTCCATGGATCGGACCCAATTTGGCACAAAAAAGGGGTCCGGATCCTATCAGTAACCGACCTATCAGTAACGGTCAGTAACCGTCCATCTGACCGTCCATCGCGCCATCTTCCCAACCGTCAGATCATGGCAATTAAATACACGCGGGGCAAAAAGGTAATCACGCCTTCTCTCCTTCTGACAATTTGAATTGCAGACGTGATCGCGACAACCGTCCCGCCTTCTCTCCATTCTTCCTCCCGTTCCTCTATTCTCTCACCCAAATTGCAGCAAAAACTTCCAGAAAAAACTTCAAATCGAACGATTTTCGCAAAGCTTTTCGAAGAATCATTCAACGAAACTCTTCGTCGAAAAACGAAGGGTTTCCAACTTCAACGAGTCTCAAAAATCGTTTTCGCACAAAATATCAAGGTAAAACCTCACTTCTTTCTTCGAAATCCATCCATAGAACAATAGAAACAGTATTTCAGTCACTCTTCATGTGAAAATTGTAGTAAAACTTGCTACATTACCGAATCGTTAGCATGCAATGCTGAACTGGTGTAGAATCTGTTGTGTTTTGCTTCGTTACCACATGGTATGGCGTGGTAAACTATGATTGCACGTTATAAAAAAGCAAAAAACTATGTTTTGCTATGTTACCATATGGTAATGTGTGGTAAGCTATGGTTTCATGTTGTAAAAAAGCAAAAAAACCATAAGTGCTGCTGTGTTTTAGTTTGTTACCATATGGTAATGTGTGGTAAGCTATGGTTTCATGTTGTAAAATAGCAAAAAAACAATAAGTCCTGCTGTGCTTTAGTTTGTTACCATATGGTAATGTGTGGTAACCTATGGTTTCATGTTGTAAAATAGCAAAAAACCATAAGTTCTTCTGTGTTTTAGTTTGTTACCATATGGTAATATGTGGTAACCTATGGTTTCATGTTGTAAAATAGCAAAAAACCATAAGTTCTTCTGTGTTTTAGTTTGTTACCATATGGTAATGTGTGGTAACCTATGGTTTCATGTTGTAAAACAGCAAAAAACCATAAGTCCTGCTGTGTTTTAGTTTGTTACCATATGGTAATGTGTGGTAACCTATGGTTTCATGTTGTAAAAAAGCAAAAAACCATAAGTCCTGCTGTGTTTTACTTTGTTACCATATGGTAATGTGTGGTAAGATATGGTTTCATGTTGTAAAAAAGCAAAAAAACAATAAGTGCTGCTGTGTTTTAGTTTGTTACCATATGGTAATGTGTGGTAAGATATGGTTTCATGTTGTAAAAAAGCAAAAAAACCATAAGTGCTGCTGTGTTTTAGTTTGTTACCATATGGTAATGTCTGGTAAGCTATGGTTTCATGTTGTAAAATAGCAAAAAAAACAATAAGTCCTGCTGTGTTTTAGTTTGTTACCATATGGTAATGTGTGGTAACCTATGGTTTCATGCTATAAAAATGGAGGAAAACATACGTCCTGTTGTGTTTTACTTCGTTACCATATGGTAATATGTTATAAGACATGGTTTGATGTAATTACCATATGGTAAAATGAGATAAATATATGGTTTGATTTCGTATGGTAGGAAACCATTATCGTACCATATGGTATATTATGGTAAAAAGCATACTAACAGACTATTACTAATTTCTACATTCAGGTACACTATGGTAAAACCAAGACACAGTTTTCGCACAAGGTGCAGCCCAACAAGAATATCTGCAATTGCAAGGTCAATAACAGATGAACGGAAAGAGCAACTTGACATATTAGGCCTAGAAGGCTTAATATCAATCAAGCAGACAAAGATAAACAACCATTTTGCACTGTTCGTAATGAACAAATACGATCCAGAGAAAGAATCGTTCAAGTTACCTGACGGGACACACATGAAGATATCACCAATCGATTTTCATAGGGTATATGGTCTGCCGATGGGGGATAGGGAAGTTGTACCTCCCACGATTTCTTGGGATGACGCAGCAGATTATGCAGTAGAAACCCTACTCGAAGTAGATGGAACATCCACTCCAAGGGTAAAGCTAAGTCAGGTAGAAAAAGATCTTCCTACAACCAAACTGACTAAGAGATGGATGCAATTGTTCTTTCTGCTGGTCACCGGAGGCTTGCTGTGTCCAACTTCAGCACCTATGGCTGAACTCAACATGCTTGAGTACTTGAAGACCGAAGAACTGAAACATTTCACCAGCTACAACTGGTGCAAATACTTCTTCAAACACATGAATGAAGGATTGAAATCACCAAAGCTCTATGTCAGTGCAGATCTTCACTTCCTTACAGTAAGTCTCCATTCCCTTGGCCATTTCAACCTTGTTACTCATATATTTTATATATAAATGATACTCTTTGAAAAAAACTAATACAACTATCTGCATAAAAAGGTATGCTTCATGTACAAACTGGACGAAATGGCATTCTCAACCCAGCTTCGAACACCAACAGTAAGCTACTATGATGATAACAATGTTGATAGCAACTTTGAGAACATTAAGAGCTACTACAATGGAAAAGAGTTGAACGAGATCGAAAAGCTTGCCAACATTAATGACGATGAGGCTGATGGTGCAGCTGATGAGGAAGAGGAGAATGAGCCAGTCTATGAATCACCGAAAAGACAAAGAAACAAAAGTCCAGACCAGTCATCATCACTGAACTTTGATTTGAAGAATATCAGAACAGTCAACCAAGTAAGTACAAATTATCTATATTACAGTTGTCCAATTAATACTAAGCGTAAGTCCTTTTGTGTTTTAGTTTGTTACCATATGGTAAGGTGTGGTAAGCTATGGTTTCATGTTATAAAAATGGAGCAAAACATAAGCCCCCGTTGTGGTTTACTTCGTTACCATATGGTAATGTGTGGTAAGCAAATGGTTTCATGTTATAAAAATGGAGGAAACCATAATTCTTGTTCTGTTTTACTTTGTTACCATATGGTAATGTGTGGTAAGCTATGCTTTCATGTTTTAAAAATAGCAAAAAAACAACAAGTCCTGCTGTGTTTTAGTTTGTTACCATATGGTAAGGTGTGGTATGCTATGGTTTCATGTTATAAAAATGGAGGAAAACATAAGTCCTGTTGTGTTTTAATACGTTACCATATGGTAATGTGTAGTAAGCAATGGTTTCATGTTATAAAAATGGAGGAAACCATAATTCTTGTTCTGTTTTACTTTGTTACCATATGGTAAGGTGTGGTAAGATATAGTTTCATGTTATAAAAAATGCAGAATAGTGATAATAATTGCCAATACCATGTATTACCACCATGGTATCTTACAAAAACTCCCATTATGCAGGCTGAGAATGCAATCAAACTGCTTGCAGCATCAATGAAGGCAATGATGAAAGCAATCAAAGACCAGTACAAAAGCCAAATTGACAATCTGATCAGACACAAGGAGAATCTTGCGAAAGAAAGCTGTAATGAAAATGTTCAGCCAACAGAAGGAGAAAAATTTCAGTGTGAAGATGATGAAGAAGAGAATGATGAAGAAATGAATGCCAGTTTGAATAAAACACTCAATGAAATATTCAAACAGGCAAATATAGACCAGAACAAAGAGGAGAAGGAGAAGCAAACACAGAAAGAAGATGATTCACAACCATCTACAGTCGATCTTGCTGCATCTACACCGAAGCCAAAAGAAAAGGAGCAAGATGTTTCTGATCCAGGAGCTGTGAATAGGGAAAGCATCCCAAAAGAAGGAGGTCCACTGGGGGAAGTTGCAACAGAACCACCAGAACAATCTGTTCAAGAAGGTCTGAATCAGGGAACACCACAACAAGAGGACACCCCGAAAGCAGTTCCAGAACAGACATCTGCAAAAGAAACAGGAGAAAAAGGAGCTACCAAAACAGCAGATCCAATGGAAGTTGATAAGGAAACAACAGAAGAAGGGAATACAGGGCAAGCTGCGCAAAAGACTCCAGAAACTGACAGCGAGAAAACGGTGTCAGATGATGTTGTTCGAGAAGAGGCTCCAAAACTGACAACCAAAGATGCTGAGAAGCCTAAAGTGACAAGGGAAGACGACATTCCATCCTTTGATCTCAGCCCTCTCAACCGTCAAACACCAACAACACCAACGAAGTTGACTACCAACACGGCAACCGATCAACCAGGAGAGCCTCGCAAAAGAAGAATCGTGGTGAAGAATTTGAATGTATATGAAAAGAAGGCAAGAACAACACCACCACCAGCACACCCACAAAGCACCCAGTCACAGACGGCGTCATATGCTATATGGTCAAATCTGTACACAAACAGCCAAGAGAAGCTCAAGGAAGTCCGTGAATGCATAGATGCTTACCTTGAGGACCTGAATTCTCCAACTGTTGATCCAGTTGCTCCACAATCACAAAAAACACCAGCTGAATGGTCAACACCAACACAAACAACACCTGATGATATGTTCACCAACATCTTGGAGTACATAAGATGCAAGAACAAGAAATTTGTCAAGAGGTAAGTCATCATCTTAAAATTTCTACTGTTATATGATTTTACTGTAGTGATCTAGTTTGTTACCACATGGTAAAATGTGATAAAATATGGTAAAATTAGATAAATCTATGGTTTAATGTTACAAAATGTAGTAATGCACAAGTCCTGTTTTGTTACAAAATTAGATAACTCCTGTTCTATTTTACTTATTACCATATGGTAAGATGTGGTAAGCTATGGTTTTGTTATGGTAACCTATTGTTTGATGTCATAAATTAAAGTAAACCATCCGTCCTGTTGTGATGTGCTTTTATACAGTGATGAGATAATGTTTAAAAGGAAGGATGGAACATTCTTGCTGAAAAGGGAGTCAGTACAGTTGATTGACATTGGCTGTGAAATCACAACTGATGTCGTCGACTGGTATGGAGATGTAATGAACAGGAATGAAGCAAAAAAAGGAAAATTCAAAAGGTGGTTCTTCGATACATCTTTGGCAGTAAGTAAACCCACCCATATTCTGTCAATAGTTCTTAGACAACACATATATAAAATACATAATAACAACCACAACCTTTCAGGGTGACTGCCAACTGGACATTGATAGCGGCAATCCTGTACTATCTCCAGACGATTACTACAACAAAGTGGACTTGGACATCACCAACAAAGAATGGGCAAAAAACCTCAGCTTCACAGAATGTAACCTTGTAAGTATCTCACCACAATTTTTGCAGTGGTTACCATATGGTATATAGTGGTAAAATTAGTTTGCAATGGTTCTTAACTTACTGTTCATCACTTATATGGCAACTGCTTACCATATGGTATACTGTGGTAAAATTATTTTGCAGTGGTTCTTCCCTTACTGTAATAACAAGCACTACATCATGATTTGTGTCAACATCAAAGCAGAGAGATTTGAAGTACTCGACAGTCTCCGTCACAAAGATTTTAATGAACACTACAAACCAATGGCAGAGAGGGTTGTCCAGTACGCAATCAACTACATGAAGACACAGTTTGCAGACAAGACAGTAAGGTGGGAGAGGTTTACCTGGTTCAACCTCGAGAAGGTTACACAACCAGATCAAATTTCATGTGGGATGTACATCATCAGGTGGATGAGACACTGGGAAGGTAAGTACAACAGTGCTCTGACCAAAGATTGGAAGAGGATTGATCTCATAAATGAAGAAAGGGAGTGCCTGATGTTGGACATCATTCTTGATGAAGAAAATCTTGAACGGGAAAGAATCATGAAAGAAGCAACAAAGTACTGCAACATGAAGAACAAGAAAAAAGAGTTGAAAGGAAGGAGATGAAAATTCTATTATCGTTTGTGTTAAGTAGTAGGAGGGTATAAGTAAGCTTTTGAGAACAAACTCACAATGTTCAGTAGCCACTTCATTTTAATTAGTAGGATGGTATGAAACAACTTATTATGGTTTGTATTATAACTAAATGAAATGTTCTGTTTTTTATTCTGTTTTTTATTATGTTAGCAAATTACCACATTTTACCACATGGTATGGCATGGTAAAAATCAAATTACCACACTAGACCATATGGTATGGCATGGTAAAATCAAATTACCACACATGCCACTTCCAAAATACCATATTTTACCACATGATATGGCATGGTAAAAATCAAATTACCACATTTTACCACATGGTATGCAATGTAAAATCAGTTAACCACACAGAACTTCCAAATTACCACATTTTACCACATGGTATGGCATGGTAAAAATCAAATTACCACATACCATATGGTAATGCACTGTAAAATCAATTACCACACATGCCACTTCCAAAATACCATATTTTACCACATGGTAATGCACTGTAAAATCAATTACCACACATGCCACTTCCAAAATACCATATTTTACCACATGGTATGGCATGGTAAAAATAAATTACAACACTATACCATATGGTATGGCATGGTAAAATCAAATTACCACGCTATACCATATGGTATGGCATGGTAAAATCAATTATCACACAGAACCCTCACATTTAACTTCCAAATTACCACATTTTACCACATGGTAATTCACTGTAAAATAAAATTACCACACATGCCATTTCCAAAATATCATATTTTACCATGTGGTATGGCAAATGTAAACTCAATTATCACACAGAACTTCCAAACTACCACACTATACCACATGGTATAGCATGGTAAAATCAATTATAAAACAGAAATTTCACATTCAACTTCCAAAATAGCACATTTTACCACCTGGTTTGACATGATAAAATCAAATTAACACATTATACCACATGGTATGACATTGTAAAATTAATCCAACAAACCAAAAACCAATCCAAAAGAACAAAATAGCTTCAACAACTCAACCAACCATTCATTCAAATAATCCTCTTAAGAAAACTATTACAGCTTCAGCCTTAAACTTTCTTCAACAGCCTTCAAATTCTCCTCCTCAAGCCTGCTAGTTTTTCTCTTCTTCTTACTTACAGCCCTTGCAGCCTCCGCAACTGGAATTGGTCGTTTCGAAGGCTTGAATGAATCTTTTTTAGGCTTAAACCCCTTCACTTTTTGGACCGGTACATCATCTATACCAAGATAACAAAAACAAACTACAATCAATGACAGATATATGTAAAATCATTCTCGTAAAAAAATGCATATATCAAAACACAAAACTCTAAACAATTAAAAACTTACTGTCACCGTTAGAAGACGTGCTTGTTCCAGCAGGTTCAGTAATCGATAGGGCTTCACACTTTTTGATCAAATCAGTCATGAAGGCCATGGCTGATTTATACAAATCATCATCCAATGCAACCCTGCTGATCATTGATGCAGAAACAGCTGACAGATTGAAAAGACAAGAACGGTATTTCGATGGACTATCAGTAGACGGAACTTCAAAAGAAAAGTTCCCTCCAGTTTTCGCTGCCCTTGTCCACCGCTTCAAAATCAAACTGCTAGGAATGTGCTGGAACTTCAGATTGCATGTTGTAGACCACAACATATCATATCCCTTAATTTGATGCTTACAGATCATACCACTTGACTCCCACTTACGGCACGAACACTTGATTTCACCGGTTTCAAAATCAACCTTCAACACCCTACTATCCAACCTTGTAAGGTCATCCTCCAATATGAAGACATCAAACAGTCCTACATGTCCTTCTGGTTCTATCTCCGTATTGGAAAAAATATTATACGCAAGAGATTCCTTGTACTGATCCAGAAAAAACTTGAATATCTTCGGCGTATACACATTGGCAACTTGCTTCACAATAGGGCTAGTAGAAAACCGAGAATCAGCCAACCTAGATAAGGCGTAGTACTCTTCTTGTTTTTCAGCATCCCTCTTATTATCAAGCATCCTCTCAAAGTGCACAAAGAACCTACTAACGCTAAACTCTGACTGCAAGTAATGTCGAATATTACTATTGCAGCACTCACTTAGCTGGGTACTCTTCATTCCCGCACCAAAATGACAATTCACCCAGGCTGAAGACCACTTCGTCCTGACTTTGTAAATGCCCTGTAACCAACTGTGTCCCAAAGGTCCCTTCCCAGGAAAACACTTCTCAATCATCTTCTTCCAATTATACTCAAAATCATCCTCATCATCAGCATTATACATCAAATAACTAAGCTCACGAAGGAAGTCAGAGTCACACAAACTTCCCAGATTAACAACTGCATTCTGAGCAATATGCCATGTACACAACCCATGAAAACAATCTGGGAAAACAGACCTTATACCAGCAGCAATTGCAGCAGCCTGGTCAGTAAACATTGATAACGGTCTCACACCTCCCATGCATTTCAAAAACTGATCGAAAAGCCATTCAAATGTTGCCGTTGTTTCATCATATAGAAGAGCAGCCGCAAAGACAGTCAGTTGGTGATGATTGTTGAAACCAACAAACAAAGCTACAAAAACATAACAAAAATGTGAGTAAAAACAATTCTACCAACAGATACCATGTGGTAAAAGGTACGAATAACAATAATACCAACCCATACCATATGCTAAAGACTCATACCATGTGGTAAAGACTTCTAAAAACAAAAAAAACCTTGTTACCAACCCATACCATATGGTAAAACACTTTTAAGAACAAAATAACCTTGTTACCAACCCATACCATATGGTAAAAGACTTTTAAGAACAAAAACACAATGCATACCAGCCCATACCATATAGTACAAACTTCTAACAACCCAAAAACCACCTCAAATAACCTTGTTACCAACACATACCATATGGTAAAATACTTTTAAGAACAAAAAAGCAATCCATACCAACCCATACCATATGGTACAGACTTGTAAGAACAAAAAAAAAACATGATACATAATGATAATAATAATAATCATACAAACTAACAAAGACAATAATAAACAACAAACTAGAAAACATACCTAGTGGCCGAAACTCTTTGTTAGTCCGGTAAGTAGTATCAAAACTAATTGAATCACCAAAATAATGATAATCCATCATCATCTTCCCATCTGCCCAAAAAATACTAGCAATGTTCTCTTCAACATCAACCTCCACCTCATGAAAGAACCCAGGATCCAGCTGTGCTTGACGTCTAAAGTATTCAAGCAATGCAGTCGCATCACCATATTCCATTGATAACGTCCTAACCGTTCGCAGATGATTCTTCATATCATTCTTTGTGAACCCAACAAACTTCCGACCACCACCAGCCCTACTAATTGCATTATACGAAGAAGTCACACCAATACCAGCAGCATCATTCACCTCTGCCAACATCTTATACACAGGAGCCATTCGTCTGCTGGATCTCACATAGTGACGCAGAGACTCAGGAATCATGTCATGGTTGTGCACATTACACCAACGATAGATCTTGTAGCATTTAAACTCTTTAAACCACCTCAGTCGTATATAAGCACCATTACATCCACCCCTGAGTTCTGGAACATTACGAACACGAACTGTCGTATCAACAACACCTGCATTATCAGGGTTATTCTCGCTACCTCTTTTCCAACCTTCCTTATTGCAACAATACTTGATATAATATACAGCTGAAGAACCACCATTGAGCTTCGGACACGCTGATTGGTTATAAATCCTCACACCAAAACCTTCATGATTCCCATAATCAACATAAAAATTATATGCATCATCTGGTGTATTGAACTCTAAGTCCTTCCAAGAATCACGAACAGTAGGATCTATACCATTGAAACCTACAAACATTATGAAACAACATATTAAATGGATTCCACACCACAACAGTATGAAATCTCAATGTATACCAATAATTACAGCCATGATACAAGAGTTACCACCATGGTATGGCATGGTAAAATCAAATTACCACACTATACCATATGGTATGGCATGGTAAAATCAAATTACCACACTATACCATATGGTATGGCATGGGAAAATCAATTATCACACAGAACCCTCACATTTAACTTCCTAATTACCACATTTTACCACATGGTAATGTACTGTAAAATCAATTACCACATGATAAGGCATGGTAAAATCAAATTACCACACTATACCATATGGTATGGCATGGTAAAATCAATTATCACACAGGATCCTCACATTTAACTTCCTAATTATCACATTTTACCACATGGTAATGTACTGTAAAATCAATTACCACATGATAAGGCATGGTAAAATCAAATTACCACACTATACCATATGGTATGGCATGGTAAAATCAATTATCACACAGGATCCTCACATTTAACTTCCTAATTACCACATTTTACCACATGGTAATGTACTGTAAAATCAATTACCACATGATAAGGCATGGTAAAATCAAATTACCACACTATACCATATGGTATGGCATGGTAAAATCAATTATCACACAGAACCATCACATTTAACTTCCTAATTACCACATTTTACCACATGGTAATGTACTGTAAAATCAATTACCACATGATAAGGCATGGTAAAATCAAATTACGACACTATACAAACTTCAATAAACAAACAAATTTGTATATCTTACCTCCTGATTCACCAGAGTTAGATGAATGATCAAATCCAAGATCAATAGATGAAGAAGCAATTCCAACAGCACTAGATGAAGAACCAGATCCTACAACGCTGGTTGAAGAACCAGATCTATCAATTGGAACAACATCGCCACAATTTACGTAACTCATCTCACCAGAATACTACAAAAACACCAAAACACAAAGAACATAACACATGAACAAGCTCGATTAGCTAAACATAAACAAGCTCGACTAGCAGCAATGAAAAACCTCCAACGAAACCAGAGATCAACAGAAAACTCGATTAGCTAAACAGGAAGAATCAAAAAAACTAATATCTAACCTCGTCGTCGATCAATTATGGAGAATCACAAAAGATTCGCCGTCCCCTGTTTCACAGCAGCTGCTCGCAGTTTCTCTCTACAAAAACCGAATCCAACTCGCGCACACGTCGATCGATTATGGAGAATCAGAAAGCTCGATTCGAAGCTGCTGTTCGCAGTTTCTATCGCCGTCGATCAACCATGGAGAATCGCCGTCCTTGTTTCTCAGCTGCTGCTCCCCTGCTCGCAATTTCTCTCTCCAAAATCCGAATCCAACTCGCGCACACGTCGATCAATTATGGAGACCGAGAATCAGAAAGCTCGATTCGAAGCTGCTGCTCGCAGTTTCTATCGCCGTCGATCAACCATGGAGAATCGCCGTCCTTGTTTCTCAGCTGCTGCTCCCCTGCTCGTAGTTGAGACTCTCCAAAATCCGAATCCAACTCGCGCACAGAAAGATTCGCAACGGACAAAAGGGGAAACTCATTAATTCAAATAACAGACAAAAATGCCCCTGACCATCCCGCTTCAATGACAGCCACACGATCCGTCCGCCCCAGATCAACGGTTCTTAAGTGGTTACTCACGGGTGAGTAACAAAGGGTTACTCACCCTATCCTAAGGGGCCTAGCTTTTGGAAACGAAGGATTCTTCCCCGTTTCGCTCGAAAAAGATTCCCCTGCAACCTTCCACTCTGATCCAATCGAAAATGGAAAAGCCGAAAAGAGAAGTAATGAGCTGAACTCTTCTTCTTCCTTCCAATCAATCCGCCATTAATTTTCTCCATTTTCACTCCTTCTCCACCCTAGATTCTTCAGCAATGCTGTCTCTCAAACCGCTCCCGCTGAGTCACAACCCTTCATTCCTCCATTCCTTAACCCCATTCACTCCTCCGCCTTTCCCCAGAACCCAAACCCTAAAACCCTCTAAGCACGCCTCGCCTCCGTCGGCGATTCAGTCGGCACTCCAGTGGAACAGGAAGCCCGAGCTAGCCGGCGAGACCCCGCGCGTGGTCGTCATCACCTCCGGGAAGGGTGGCGTCGGGAAGACAACCACCACCGCCAACATCGGCATCTCCCTCGCCCGTCTAGGGTTTTCCGTCGTCGCCGTCGACTGCGACGTCGGCCTCCGCAATCTCGACCTCCTCCTGGGCCTTGAGAATCGCGTCAATTACACGTTAGTCGAGGTCCTCAACGGCGACTGCCGACTGGACCAAGCCCTGGTCCGCGACAAGCGCTGGTCCAATTTCGAGCTCCTCTGCATTTCCAAGCCTCGATCGAAGCTCCCGCTCGGATTCGGAGGCAAAGCCCTGGTATGGCTCGTCGACTCCCTCAAACAAAGACCAGAAGGCTGCCCGCAATTCATCCTCATTGACTGTCCCGCCGGAATTGACGCCGGGTTCATCACGGCCATCACACCAGCAAACGAGGCCGTGCTGGTGACGACTCCGGACATCACCAGCCTGCGCGATGCCGATCGGGTGACCGGATTGCTCGAGTGCGATGGGATTAGGGATATAAAGATGATTGTGAACAGGGTCAGGACTGATATGATAAAGGGAGAAGATATGATGTCTGTTCTGGACGTTCAGGAAATGTTGGGGTTGGCATTGCTAGGAGCCATACCCGAGGATTCGGAGGTGATCAGGAGTACGAATCGAGGGTACCCTCTGGTGTTGAACAAGCCCCCAACTTTGGCTGGATTGGCATTCGAGCAGGCGGCTTGGAGGCTTGTTGAACAGGATAGTATGCAGGCTGTCTTGGTTGAGGAAGAGCCCAAGAGAAGAGGGTTGTTCTCTTTCTTTGGTGGGTAGCAATGGGTAGCAATAGTTCCAGTAATAAAATGGTTATGGAGTTAAGGATGGAAAGCGAGGATGGAGATCATTGATGGGATTCAAGGAGAAGCAGTGTACAGGGGAACAGTGATGTTCTTTTTTTGATTTTCCCCCCTCTGGGTTATATCCATTGTTTGCAGTGCTAGAGTGGGGTGCTGCTAAAACTGCAGCCCTCCCTGTTTTGGTTCTTCTTTTGGTAGCTGATTGTGGTTATTATTCTTTTTGTAGTAAATTTGCAGGATGTCTTTCTTTTGTTCTGGGTATTGAAAGTGGATCATGATTTCAACGTAGTTGAGTTAAAACTTGCCTTATTGTTTAACCTCATGGAGAAGGATTATTTGTGAACATGGAGTACCCTCTGGCTTTATATTGCCGGACGATCCATACGAGCTGCAATTGATCATCCTCAGCTTTCTCCACCCCATGCTTAGTGGAGTTCGAAATCCACTTTAGAGTTTTGGATTGCAACAAAGACTTGATTTTATGGGGGTTATGGGATTCGGATTGCCAAGATCGGGAATATAGCAGAGCGTACCTGGTCTGCAATCCGTTTCTGAAGCTGTGGACTGCTCTTTCTGTAGTGCAACCGGCTGCAAGGTTAGTTTTTGAACCCCGTATATTTCTATTAGGCTTGATCTAGGAGATGACCAAGCATTTTGCCTTATTCTGAGTATCGCTTCCAGGTGGTGTGTTTATATCAAGTCGATGTACTTAACCGCCAAGCCATAAAGCTTGACGTGTTTTGTTCCGAGTCTGGAAAATGGACAAAGGATGCTCTTGTCTGTGCTCATCATATTAGAAGTGCACAAAAAATTGTAATTTCGTGCAATGGGGAGTTGTTTTGGAAGTATCATGAATTTAGTGAACCGTTTAATGTTAATTCAGTGGCTAGGTTTAATCCTTTCCCCTTGATATACCTCCCACGTCTATTGTCTCTTCTTCATTGTGTAACTATGAAGTTGAGGGCTGTTATGATGAGCCTTTGTCTTCTTCAGTCCGGTTGATGGTATGTATAAGAATGCCATATTGTGCTGCGATTTGGGAAGGCAAGAGCTAGAGTTCTTCGCTAAGCTCGAATGGCCTGATGTCCATCACCTTCAGGTGTTCCAGCCAAGGGTTTCTTGCTGGGCTACTCCAATTCCCAGGTACGAGGGGTTGCAAGTAGCCGCTACCAAGCAGCTGTGAAGCGATCACTCCCTCCCTCCACTCACTCTCAATAATTGGTAACTGCTTCTGCCTGTAAAAGTTAGATTTTTTTTTTCTGCGTTTGCATGTTTGTTAAGTTTAAGGAATTAACTAAACGAGAACAATAATGTTACAAGTAAAGCTTTCATAGGGGGGAAAAGTTATCCCGCAACCTTTATCTCATAACAGGTAACAGGTTAAGATGTACAGTTTTGGGCGTGCCTAACTAACTGAAGCAGCACATACTTACATCTCTTGTCAATTGCTTGAGCATTTTGTTTTGGTTGCCTACTCTTTTAAGCTACACTTCAAGAATGTTATCAATGATAAAGTTGCACATGGACGTTGTATGTTTTTATCTTTCATTTTCTCTCTATTTTCTGGTTGCTGTTCCTATATTTCATCTCATTTCTGTTGTAGCTGGTATAGTTGCTCCAACTGGTAGCTGTCTGTTCATTCTGTACCATGGTTTCTCTGTTAGTCCTTTAGGGGATCCAGAAAAAGTTCCCCCAATTGATGAAAAGGTACAAACAAACACACTCAGTGTTGGAAACTGATTTGAATGATGTTAGAGCTAATATGGCTGCTGTGAAACAGCTGAGCTTTGTTATCCTCCTCCAGGTTATAAGTTTTGTAGGTTGAGTTTCATTTGTTTAATATATAATACTCGTACTTGTGGTGGATTCTGATTCTGTGATCATTATCCTCCATTCCCAGGCCCGGTCAAAAATGTCTTCTGGAGGGTGGGTTGGCCATGGAGGAATATTTTGGGAGACGTGGTACGGCAATGTAAAACCGTAGCTTTATCCTTCCATTATCTATTTTCTAAATACGCGCATAGATGCTTTTAGCTTGATGGGGAATAGTTATCATGCTGTAGTTGCTAGCAGCTGTAGTTCAGCATTAAGTTCTTGTTCATGTGGAGGCCTCCTGGCTCCTACTATTAGTTTGGTTTGGCCTTGTTTCTTTGTGGTCTCTCTCTCCACAGTTTTTTTGCCCTCTTCATCTTGTGGTAGCTAGGTTTTCTCTAGTAATGGTAGATGGGATCTCAAATAGGCCTTTTTATGTTTTCCCGTGATTTTAGGCTGCTAGTCCATTTTCCCTCGTAGATAAGATTGAAAATCTGACTTTTTGCCTGTCATTTCTTAGGAGTTGTTTGTTTGGTATATTTGAACACTATTGTGTACTAAATGACTCAATTGATACATTTGGTGCACAAGTCATAAGACGTTTGTGAATGGGGAAAATGATGAATTCAGAGGTGATGTGAATTCCCTGAATCCTTCTTCACTCTCCCTCTCTCTTGGTTTAGTTAGTTCCATTTTAATTTTTCTCAATTTCAATCGGATCTATGTTTCACTTGAACCCTTGTTTCAATTTTGGACCAATTATGAATCCTAGATACTCGATAAGCCTCGTGATGTTGGTGGAAGAGCATCAGAAGAGGAGATTATACATCAAGGTTTTTTTTCGGAAAAAGAGCAACACTGATGCGTACGTGGGCTTTGGAGGATTCATTGATAGTAGTTGTGTTGCCCTTAATTAATTCCGAGTTAGTTTCAATTATTTATTGTTTAGGAATTGTATCCAATTACAAGTATTTTAAAGTAGTCTTTTTTTTTTAGAGTTCACTGATGGAATTTCATTGAAATCAAGTAATAAGTGCCTCAAGGGCTACAACATTAGCTACCAAAGGCAATTGACCATTGTCAAAACAAAGTTCTTCTTCAACAGACAAAATATGGGCTAAAAGATGGGCTGCATTGTTTGTTTGCTTCCCTGTATGTGAACAACAATTCTCGAATATCCATATCAACCGCCTCCTTTAGAATTTCAGAGCAAAGAGTCCCTAGTTCTGTTATGCATAGGAGACAGAAGAAACACACGACTAGGGCTGCAAATGAGCCAAGCCGCTCGCGAGCAACTCGGCGTTCGAATCGGAAAAAACTCGTTCGACACTCGACTCGTTATTTAACAAGCCGGCTCGCGAGCCAACTCGTTAGTTAACGAGCCAAGCCTGAGCTAGACCATGCTCAGCTTGATAAGCTCGCGAGCTAGCTTGATTCGGTGGCTTGTCGAGCTAAGCTCGCGAGCTGCCTTGTTTTGAGCTTGTGGAAGGATGAATTACTCTTTTAAACATGAACATTGTCTTATAATACAGATGTGTATGAAATTTAGATGTTATTTCTAGTTTCTAGTGTTCTTTCTATCATTTAAATTCTTATGTTTATACATTTTTCCAGCAAAAATGATTTTAAATCGAGCTCATCTTGAGCCGAGCTTGTACTCAGCTTAACAAGCTATGTTAATGAGCATTTATCGAGCTCTACCGAGTCGAGCTCGAGCTAGATTATTTTTATTCAAGCCGAGCTCGAGCTGGATTATCAAAATTCGAGTTCGAGCCGAGCTCGAGCTGAAAAATTAATAAACGAGCCGAGCTCAAGCTAAGCAAAAACTCGACTCGACTCGGCTCGTTTGCAGCCCTACTGACACGACATAATTAGTATTATCCACTTTTCATCGAATCCCATTTTCCTCATAACTCGTTCAAGGAAACTCCATTCAACACGATCGTAGGCTTTCGCCATATCAAGCTTTAAAGCAAGGTAACCTTTTTCACCTTTGGTTTTCTTTTTCATTGTGAAGAAACACTCGAAAGCCACTATCACATTGTCGATGATGGATCTTCACGGGACAAAGGCACTCTGAGATTCGCAGATAATATCATCCAGAATCCCTTTCAGGCGATTAGCAACAGTTTTTGATAGGATTTTATATAATACAGAGCAAAGGCTGGTCGGCCTGTAATCTTTAGGAGAGGCATGATTTTTTTACCTTAGGGATGAGAGCAATTAGTGTCTTATTTAGACTTTCAGGGATACTGCCAGTATGGAGGAAATGAGTGAGCTCAGCTGTAACTTTGGGAGCAAGAGTATTCAAGTTTTTCTGAAAAAGAGAGCTGGGAACCCATCATCCCCAGGGGCTTTCGTAGCACCCAATTGAAAGTGAGCATCTTGGATTTCTTCCGCGATGAACGGTCTAAGAAGCTTCTGATTCATCTCATCTGTTACTTTCCTTTCTATTGCTTCAATAACTTTCCATCTGATATCCCCTGCTTTGCTCTCGAATAAATCCTTGTATTACCCCAAGAGACTATCAGTAACTTCTTCTGGTTCAGATAAAGAATAATAAACTAGTTTTTAGTAGCCTTTATATCTTATGCAGTTGATGAATTACTACCATTGTTGTTGATACATAACGCCAAAAAATGTTTACTACCACTGCATATATCGAGGTATGATAATTGATGAGAAAAAGCAAAGTCGTGTTTAATTTCATTTGTCATGCAACAACCATTTGTCACAAATCCCGACTATAGCTTCGCTGAATGATGCAGTGGCGGGGTCCAGATCAGGTCAGTAACTGATGGGTGAGTAACCCATCAGTAATCCCTTCCATGGTCCCCACGTGTCAGTTACTTTTTTATTTAAATTAAATGTGAAAAGGGCAGTACAGTAAAATTGCACTTTCTCCTATTTATTGCTGAGGCTGACTTTTGAGTGTACCACATCAGCGCCTCCTTCTCTCTCCTTGCAAAACATTTAATTTTCCTTCCCTTAATCTTTAACGGACGATTTCTCACTCGTTTTAAGTCGAAATTTAATTTTTTTTGCACAGTTAAATCAGATTAATTGTTCTCTTTAAAATGATATCCACTTTGATATTTTTTGGACACAAAAAAATTTGTCAGTTATTACCAGTTATACCATATGGTATTGACGGTACCATATGGTATTGATTGGTATTAAATAAGAGCATACCATATGGTATGAGAATTTTTGTCACATGAATATATATTTCGTTACTACCATATGGTATAGTGTGGTAATATCAATATATATTCCGTTACCACCCAATACCATATGGTATAGAGTGGTAATACCATATGATATAGAATGGTAATACCAATATATATTTCGTTACCACATAATACCTTATGGTATAGTGTGGTAATATCAATATATATTACCTAAAAGAAAGGGGGGAAAACAAAAAGAGAGAGAAAAAAACTTGTCTTCTGTCTCATCTCATTTCATCCGCAACCAAAGCACACCAAACGCCAAAAAAAAGGAGAAAAATCGAAATTAAAGCTAACGAGTTGATGAAGAGAAGAAACGCAATTAAAGAGGGTGACTTCAATTTTTATTTGTCGATTGCTAGAGAAAAAAATGAAGATGGAATAGAGAAAGAGAAAGGATCTGGAAAAATATTGGAAAAAGGAAGAGAGAATGAATAAAGTAGAGTTGCAGAGAAATGGAGATTGTGAGAGAAAAAGTAAGAGAGAAGGAAAAGTTAAAGAGAAAGGATCTGGAAAAATATTGGAAAAAGGAAGAAAGAAGGAATAAAGTAGAGTTGCAGAGAAAGGGTTATTCTCTTTCATTCCTTGAAAAGTCAGCCATTGAAATGCGGAATAAATAAAAAAAAATTAAAAATACAAAAGCGGACAAAAATGCCCTTCCCCACCTCTGCGTCCAGCCAACCACACGATTCCTCCATCCTCTAGATCTACGGCTCCCATGTGTTTACTGATAGGTCAGTAACCACTGGTTACTGACCCTATCCCAAACCCAGTGGCGGAGCCACCTTGGCTCGGGATTAGGACACTAAAAATAATGATATTTGTATATAATTTATAATAGGGTTAATACCCTAGTTTGGCCCGAAGTTTAACGTTAGTGACAGTTCTGGCCCAATTTTTCAAATAAGACATTTATGGCTTACTTTTGAAACTATTGGACAAATTTGGCCCAAAATTTTCTTTGACCGTTTATTGACTGTCAAACACTATTCTGTTAGTGACTCAGCGAAAAACCACTGATGTGGCATGCCACGTCATTACATAAATGTTGGTAGAGAACTTTGTGGTACACATTATCCTTGTATATTGTGTAAGCAACTCTAGATACATAAAACTATGTCTATAATTGTTTTTCTTAGTTTACTAATTCATAGTTTAGTGTTGAAATCTATACCTTCAAACAAATATTAGTCGACAAACTATGACAACGCGTCACACATCATTTAAATATTAATAAAATTTATTTTATGTATCTTTGTTCTTACTCCGGACCCACCTTGAGTGAAATCCTGACTACGTCACTATGAATAAGGACATATAATGAATATATAGTATTTTGATATCTCGTATATAATCTATATAAAAAAACATAAACAATAACGGAGATGCACATGTTACACGTTGACAACAACCTAACAATAGTCAAGCAGAACTATTCATCTTCTGAGTTATAAAAAAATTTCGTTGAATTAATTCTCGAAAACTCGAATGCTAAATTTCTCAAAAAATTGAAAAGGAGAAAACCCATAAAAGAGCCTCTATTATTTAATTTGTATTTTCTCTAACATGCATGGATCTAGACTGACACCTCAATTCATATGGAATGATTCATTATGTGCCCCACATGCTTACGGGAGGAGGAATTTGCTGAGCACTTATGTTTTTCATTGTCGTTTGGCTGAGAGATGTTGGGAGGCATCTGGGGCTAGGCTTTCTTCGAGATGATTTCACGTCTGACTCGGTTGAAGTCTTCTGGCGACGAATTCTTGATCAACCAAATTTGGAAAGTAGAATGCTAATGCGAGTGATTGCTATCTTCCGGCGTATATGGAAAGTTTGGAATTGGATGGTTTTTAACTCCACGTTGTTCACCCCTGCCGTGTTGCTCTCTCAGTTCAATAAGCAGGTGGCAAAATGAGAATTAAAAATAAAGTCTTGAGACATTCACATTCACATTCACACTCACACACATCCAATTGAGAATTACCCTATCACAAACTAAGGTCTATTACTTTCGGCCAGCCCATACCCACTAAATAAAATTGGCCACTTGCATCCGAGGAATGACAATTAATACGTTCCCCATTTGGGCCTCCATTCCTAAAATATTAGTATTTTTTTAGTAATAATGATTTGGCAACATGATACTGAATTGAAAAATATACATAGAGGTTAACATTCCAAAATTTTAGTATTTTGACTAAAAAAATTAAAAAATTATGAGCGGTAAAAAAAAGACTACTATTTTGATGTATTGCCAAAGATTTGGATAATTATTAATAGTTCAATAGGTTTGGCTAATAAAAAAAATTTGACTAATAAAAAATTGTTACTCAAAGTTAAAAATAGAAGGAAACAAAAGTATCATACGTCTGACTCTTCAGGATGGCCCAAAAGCGGTAAAGCCCACGTGTCAAGGGAAGGCCAGGAAGCGAGTTTGGATATGGTCCACCAGTTGAATTTTGGAGGATGGTCCTCCATCTCACATCCAATGGTTCATAAAAATGGGCCAATTAATTAAAGGTCGAGATTCGTTAGAAAAAGTAGTTGTGGAGAGCATAGTTAGTAAAATACGGTACGTGAAAGCAACTGAAAAATTGATTTTTTTGGGGCCCACGGACTGAAAAAGAGTTGACTCAAGAGAGATTGGGGAATGCAAATTTTGGGAAATTCTGAATATAATTTCTGTTTCGTAGAAATATGTTTTGGAATCAGTACGGATATGTTTTGTGTTTAGTAAGAATATGGTTTTAATATGTGGTATATTATTTTGAATAAACGTTGTGGAAATTATGAATATACAAATCACACATATGGAATATTTTTTTTATTCAATGCAATTTTTTTAAATACGAATATGTTTTCAAATGTGTATTTTTGTTCAGTACAAATATAATTTTTATTCAATATAAATATGTATTTTGTTCAATACAAATATGATTTTTGTTCAACCAGAATATACATATACAACTTGTAGGTAGTTACATAAGTTATATTTTGTTAAACATATATGGCCCACTTGTCAGTTATTTTTTCAGGTCGTGGGTACCAAATTGGGTAATTAGCATAAAAGGTCACATACCTATTCACTTCGTACAAAACGTTCACAAACCTTTAATTTTGCACGTTTCAGTAACATACGTTTGATAGAATAACGAAATGGTCATTCCGTCCATCTCCATCCAAAAAACCGTTAATTTTGTCCGGTCAGCACTCCACGTCACTTAAAATATCAATAAAAAAAGTCATTTATGAAACCAAATTAAATTGGAGGGCCCAATCCAAAACCCTATTCCCTATCACCCGAAATCTTGGAGATTAGACTGATTAGTTAATAAATAAATAAAATTGTCGTTTTCACTTTTCCTTCGCCTAGCCGATAACATCTCCGAAGTTGGGTCACCGTCTGATATGAAATTTAGTAGAAGAAAAATTGGAGGGTAACCCGCAAAGGGGCTCTTTGCCACTGAGGGGCTATATATATGGAAGAACAAAACTATACAACTAGCTATCAGTCTAATTACAGTGTTACAATGGTAAACAAAACGAATTAATTAAAATGACCAATGCTAAACCAACACGTGGTGCTATACAGTAGAAATGGAAAAGTGTCTTGGCGCCTAACTGAGACGACGCCGTCCTTGTCTCTGTCTTTAGATTGCTCCATAGTTGAATGACGTCGTATCAATGGGTCCAAGGTCCCAAGACCGGTTCATCCCTTCGATCAGCTCTGGTCTGGGCACTCTGTTATGACCCCTCAAGCTGAGCATACAGATTATGTATGTTCAGCTTGGATAATAAGAACTGTAAATGAAACCTGCTCAAACCCTTTGTAAAAAGATATGCAATATGATTCTCTGTATCAAGATGATGAAGGGAAATGAGATTGGACTGAAGGTATTGACGAACCACGTGACAATCGATCTCTATGTGTTTCGT